CAGCTTCAAAAATGCCGTAATGCAACTCAATTTGCTCGGCAAACCGATATTGATCGGCATTCTCTACCCACCATGAGTAGGGGCGGTTCTTTATCATGGCCGAAGCTACTTCGGCATTCTCCCATTCTGAAAACCCGGGGAGGATATCCCAAAGGACAGCGGGAACTTCATCGTCCCGTCCAGAAGCGCTCGGCTCCTCCGTTCTCTGAGGAGGAGCCGAGGAAAGGGGAGTCGCCCTAATCCCTTCAGCAGGTTCAGACTCTGGCCTTTGTCCATTCCAGGTCCCAATCCTGTTCCTAGGATCGGGAATCGGCCTTGCTCTTCTTGGAGCACGGGCTCTACCTCTAACTCCTCTTGCCATTGATTATTTCGAAGAAAAAAGTCGAAAGAAAAGGGGAAGGAGTTCGAATTCGAAGAAAAATAAACTGAAATCAAAGGAAATTACCTTAATCTGAAGCGAAAGTTGCCGATTTACGAGTTCGTAGTGGCAAGTCTCAGTTTCTAAGCTTAATGCTCGGGGAATTTGCGAAGTTTTGATGCGGGTTCTTGGTTTCTCTCTCGAGAATTCTGGGTTTGTGTTGGTGAATAAGTGAGGAGAGATGACGCGCCTCTGTTTATATCTCCAGGTATGGAATACGAGGAGTCTGCGTTTTAATTTCTCTTAAATACTCCACTAAGTAACCGTTAAACACATAATCTTATGATTAAACTGCCCATTGCCCGTCCAACTTCCACAATCATCCACCTTAACCGTTGTTATCTCATTAATTACGGTTTAAATTCAAATTTTTGGATTAATCAAATCATTTACTTCCCTCCTTTTCTGAATTAAATCAAACCCGACCTGTCATCCTTCCAAATCGGGTCTGGGGGGCAAGTTGTTTGGGTCCAATTTAGTCCAATTGGGCCTAGGCATTAAATGATCCAATTAAAAGCCCAAGGTCAAGGTTCAACTCTCCAATTGTGCTAAAGTCAAAGGTCAGCCCACAGAGCAAGTCAATTGGGCTAAGGCCCAACCTATCCATTTATGAAGAGGTATAAAAGCCATCAATATTCATACATACACATATATACATGTTCATTCATACATTCTGATATATTCCATCAAAGCCTCAAGCAACAAACTCTCTTGCATAGTGTTCTCTTTAACACATTGTACTGACTTTAGCATCGGAGGGGCCTTCCTCGGCAACACCCCCGAGGCTAGTTTACGTGTGTTTACTGTGCAGGAAACCTTCGGCCCAACACAAATTGGACCGAATCCAGTCTTCTCCTTTTCAGCGGACCTTCGGCAAGGTCCCATTGTTTTCACCCGAAACAACTTTATTCTCTCATTAATCAATCTAGATTAAGTATGCAACTTACTAATTAAAATGCGTTGTCATTAGCCATGAACTATTTAATAATGCATGCCACAATTATAAAGTGGAGTCAACAACAGCATTTGTGCTAGCTGTTTCAGTTGGCTTCTCACATTAGTCAAGTACTTTCTCACTACTCGATAGGGAAACCAACAGGCCGGATTCATGGGAGTTTGGCTATCAAGACCATGGGCTGAAGGCGTACGTGGCCAGGAGAGTGACAATGGTAGCGCTAGATTCTGTAAGTTTGCTCATTTCTACAGATTTGTCTGGCAACAAGTATGAATAATGCTAATGCTATGATCAGAATAAGTTTATATGTGAAATTTCAATTTTTTATATTAGCGTGCTTCCTTTTGTCTAATCTTACAAACGTTTATGGTATGTCTTTAATGCTCACTAATATAAACTCCTTATTGACGTTATCACAGCCGGATTTTTTGGTGAGTTTATTCGACATTTCACATGTTTGTTGGATTACTTTACCCGAAAATGTCATTGGTTTTGTATCTCCTTGGTCCAAATATATATACCGGTAGTATCGTGTAGTTAATTTTTTCCCTTAATACAGACAAATTGTGTGATTGATTGTAACATTTTACCCTACTAAGATTATGGGAAAATTTAGTGACCATCTATGTAGTTGAACATACACTGGAAGTAACATATCCTAGTGACGTAGAAATTTTTATGTGCTGTTAATACAAGATCAGAATTTCAAAGTGAATGGGTTTTATTAATATAGCCTGTGTCTCTAGAGAAGAGTCGTTGGAAATGATCTTTAATAATTTGATCTCTATGAGTTTATCAGGCATTGGTCTCTATTTGGTTGAACGGTACCTGGAGATGGCTACAGCTGAGGTACATGGTGTGGGTTCCCCGTTGGCTGTGCTAGCCAGAAAGACTAATGCTTTCCCCAGTGGTGCTCTTTCACATTGGCAACTACTATATGATCATCATGGTATGTTATTCTATATTCCAAATTCTTCGATTATTGTTGATCCACTTAACAAGTAAAAAAAGACATATAAAGTTAATTGGGAAAAAGGAGAGAGTATAAAATGAGGAAATCCAAGTTCATATCAGATATAAACAAATGTTGTTTATATTAGGGTATTTTAGTCATTTCGCGTGGGTAAGTGAGGTCCCGTTTTGGTATCCCCGTTTCAGTACTATCCTGACGTTAACAGAAGACTTTAACTGTTAAGTGTAGATTTGACGGGGTAAAAAGGACCATTTTCACGAAAAGGCAGCAGCTTGAAGAAAGTGAGGACCCTAATCAATTCCCAGTCATCGGCACTTATCCGTCAACCCTAACCCATTACCGTCGTCGGCAGGTATCCGTCAACCCTAATCCATTACCGTCGAGTGGTGTCGAAACTTCGAATCAATTATGAGGTTATTATCGGAGTGATGGTCCTCCGCTTCAATTTCTGGCGCTCCAATTTGGAATCAATTTGTATGGTGGGTTGGATCTAAAGGTGTGCACATGCGACCCAGGATCTAATGGTGGGTTGGAAAAACGCTGTGAATTTATAATAATGGAATAAGTTTGTTTGAATTACTGTATTTCAAGAATGTTGGTTGAGTATTGTAATGGTTTGATGAATTTAGAGCAGGGTTTTATTTGATTGTGAGAATAAGCTGTAAGCTGGAATGTTGATATGCAAATTGTTGTTTGTTAGGAGATTGAATTGAAATAAGGGAATGTTATGTTGAATTAAACATGATTATTTTTTCATCATCAGGGGGAGTTTGGGAGTTACACAAATCCACCAATAGTTAGTATACTTTTCATCATGTATAATTGTCAAATGATGGTGATTTTGCCTTCAAATAGATTTTACTTTGTAGGAAAAAAGATAGAATTTGGTGTTAACATTATATACTTTGCTAATAGATCATATCAATGGAGTCAGCCTCGTTACTTAGGTAGTTTATAAGGAAAATAAAAATGTAAGTGGAAAAAAAGACGTGAACGAAATTAACTACCAAAGTGTCTTATATGATCCAAACTCCCCCAGATGAAGGCAAATTCATCATCACTTAATGTTAATAGATCATATCAATGGAGTCAAGCTCATAATGTAACTTGTGCTATTATTTAGATTGATATCATTTGTGATTTAATTTCAAACTAACATACAAAAATTATCCGAGTAGCTAGAGTTCATAACAAAATGACAAGTTTTCATAATAATTTACTCTAATAAAACAAAGGCACAAACAATGAACAAGTATTCTGCTCTTATCTACCATTGCCTAGCTAGTTGAAATGGTGTCAATCCAATCTGGAACAGGCCAAAAATTGCTGGTGTATTTAGAAGGCAAATTATCAGCAGTGATAATTCTACCATCTTCCAAAGTATAATCTCCATAGAATTTGCTAATTATGCCACAGTACTCCGGGTTTGATTTGTTGCTTAATTCAAAGGAAGATCCATCCCCATCAGTGTAATAATCAGAGTCAGCTGAAAACATCAAAGCAATTAAGACTACACAAACAATTCACATAATACAGTAGCTCCTACATTATAAAAGTCACATTATACATAATACAATATAATAATCATTACTAAAAGTCACATTATACACCCAGTGGCGGACCCAAGAATTTCCGACTGGTGAGTCACAATCGATAATCAAATATGTAAATTTTTTTTTTTACCAAACAACCAAATAATAGTACTAAAAAATACATCCAAATATTCAAACAATACAAAATACAACCAATAGGCAGCATCCTTTTCCACACTATACTCAAGCCAAGTCCAAGTACCAAACCACTTAGCACAAAAGCGACGGTTTTTGCCAAAAATAGAAGTTTGAGGAAATACAAAGTCTTTGGGCTGACAAGGCTTTCTTTGAATGTAAATTCTTCTCACTAAATCTCTATCATCTTTATGAAATTCACTCATCTTTCTCCTCTTTCCTGGATCTTGTGGAAGATTAGCAAATTCATGTTCACTTAATCTTTCATCAAAGATTGGGGCATTAGGAGAACACTGGTCTTGTTCATTTTGAGGGGAATTTTAAGTTGAATAATGAGATGGAGATGAATGTTGTTCACTTTCTTGAGGTTGAGATATAGTTTGTTCATTTTGTGTTGGATGTGGAAGAGAAGTTGGAGTAGGATTCTTTTTAGCAAAAAAGCTAGTAATGTTTTGCATTTCATTTGGAATGCGTTTTCTCTTCATTCTGAAATTACAAGACTAAAATTAACAAACTAATAACTAACAAGCTAATAAACACCCTAACTACTGTTCTCCGTGTAATAACAGTTTAAACAATTTACAACAACAATCACAAGAAAAAACTTAAGAATGATTTAAGGTTTATGTAACCACAATTCAGACACAATGTTTTACAATTCCTGAATACGCCTAGTCTATACGGAACTTCCAGCCGAATATGCGACTAGCACCACTAACCAGTCCACACTGTAATCTAATTATAAATTTATAATCCTCCTTACACTAATAGCTGTCTTATACAATGTCCGGCATCACATAAAATAATAAGTTCAATTTAACAGTCAAAACACAAATAATGCAAATTCAATGAACATTCATCGTATATACTAATTTTAAGCAACAAGTAATGCAAATTTGATCAGAAATTCACACAAAAAAAAAGAATAAATTGATGATTACCTTGCGAGACGGAAGACGCTGATTGAGGCGAGTAGGCGGAGCAGCAGGGCCAGCACTGGAGGCGACGAGGCGTGAGCCGATGAGCGAAGAGGAAGCGTTAACTACAAATCAACCAAAGTTTAAACCAAAGTTTAATAAAATTAACTAATTAGACTGAATTAAATTGAAGATAAGAAATTAAAAATAAAAATTAGAAATCAACTTACTAGTGAATTAGCAATTGCGTCGAAGCGATTGCGAAGAGGCGAAGAGCAGTGACCACGGAGACGGAGCAGGAAAGCATCAAGCAGGCAAGCAGCAGAGGCAGAGCAGGCGACTGGAGGGTGGCTGGGTGGAGGCAGTCTGGTGAAGATGAAGCGAAGAGGAAATCAAGAGGCGAAGAGGGAAGAGCAGCTGAGGAGGCAGTGAGCTAGGGCTTGAGGAAGTGTCGGGAAGTTAGATTTTTTTTTTTATTTTTTTTTTTAAAAAAAAAAAACTTAAAATTTTTTTTGGGCCCTGGTGAGTCATTTGACCCACCAAGCACAAGGCCCAGTCCGCCACTGTATACACCATTATAATAATCAGAATGAATGTTCCAAAAGTGACAAGTTCCATTTGACCCATCTGCTACAACCTCAGAATGACCAACAGGCCCATACAAAACAGCCAAACTACAATGTGACTATAGTTAATTAAACCCACAAAGACAAAATAAACATAAGTTCGTTCATTTGATGAGCACTATCAATACGAATTTGAGTTATCAGAATCTATGAGTTCTTCTACCATATCAGGATCGACACAATCCTCATACAGGGCTGACAGTGAACGCGTTGTCCGTTTTCTTTTCCCCTGCACACAGTAATTGTAACAGCATAAACAGATTGTCTGTTAGGAAAAACTTAGACATTCAGTAAACAAAGATATACACACACCTAAACAATAGGGGTCTGGTCAGATGGGTTGCCTTTCTGGTCAGTTGAGGAGTCCTTTGCCTTGGTCTTACACCCAGTCTCTGCATAACTCTTATACCTAGACCCTTTGGGCCTACCACGAGGCTTCTTTCTTACAACCGGATCCTTCACAGCCTGCTTACCAGTTGAAGTAGGTGTCTGCCCCTTGGTTGCCAAGGTGTTCGATCCTTTCTGAGATATTGGAATTGGAGGTAATGCAGCCTGCTTCTCAAGGTAGGTTTTGCGGCTCTCCTTCACATCCAAATGCAACTGCTTCAGAGAGCCGATGACCATGTCAACCGTCTGTACATCGTCCACTGCCGAAGCCTCTTCACATATAGGCTCAAACTCCCTCATCATTTTCCGGTAGTGTTGGACCTCCGGTAATTCATCCGGGTCATGGTAAGCCACTTTAACACGGGTATGTTTCCGAGGAACATCTTTCCTCCACCTATCTAGTATGTATTTTTCGGGGATGTCAAACACACGGTTTAGTTCTAAAACACGTATCACATGCTTGCACAAGATACCAAAAGTTTCAAATTTACGACACTCGCAAACCACATCTTTGGTCTCGTGACAGAAAGTGACCCTCACGAACCGATAACGGTCCGTTATCACATCTTCACTCTTCCCTTCGGGTACGATCCAAACCCGATCCTCGAGGACATACTCCGTCTTGTTGTTCCCAATATCTTGCCTCTCATGGGGAACATAGTACCCCATCCTTGCGCACTCCTTCTGCAGTTCCTGAAACTTAGCGTCGGTATATATTTTCTGGAATAGTTTCTCAACTTTGAAACCACTTACAAGCCTCCGAACATACTTCCCACATCTAGAATCAGCATCCAACTCTGATTTCACCCGCCTCCCCATCGCCCTCGTATATTTCTCAGGAAATTCATGGAGTTTCGTTTGTCTGTTTACAAAACCATCGAAGAAGCTATTTATACTCTCCACACGTTGCGTAGTTTTCATTCCCGCCCAAAAATGCTCCTTCATAAAAGCCGAAATCCACATATGTCTTTCTTCAAATAGGTCAGTTAACCACTCATTATCCTCAAGACCATACTTTTTCATACATTATGAACATATAAAATATTATTATGAATATAAGACATTTTATTATGAACATAAAAAATATTATTAATTAAAATAATATGGTTATGAAACATATGCATCATAATTCATAAGTATTAAAAATATGAACATATGCATTCAAAATATGAACATATGCATTGGTTCATTTTGAATGCGTATGAACATAATTAAGAATTTCAGAAGGTGAATATATACATAAAAAAATATGAACATATGGATTTAAAAAGTGAATATAAGCATTTCAGAAAGTTTACAAACGGATTTAAAATATGAACATAAGAATTCAAAATATAAACATATGCATTTCGAAATGTGAACATAAAATATCCGTTTGATTTCACTAATTTTTTTTACAATTTCAATAATAAATTTCGAACAATATTCAAACAAAATTAAGTGATAATCATATAAATTCAAACAAAATTAAGTGAAATTTACATAAAATTGCCTTTTTGGGGAGGATCCTTTTGATTTTGCATCTCTTTCCTAATGTCCATTGATGTTTTTGCAGTTTTTTAGTGAAAGAATGAAATAGAGGAGAGAGAAAATCATATCGAAGAAGAAGATTTTTGAATTTGAAAATGACGTTACATTTATTGGTTGTGGGTGGGTGTATTGGGTGTGGGTGGGTGTATTGCATTTATCGTATTTTTTAGTTTTAGAGATTTTTTTAATTGGGTTGTGTCACTGTGTAATTAGGCTTTTGGGCTATATTGTTACACCTATTTAAGGTGCACAAGGGTGCACCTTAGACACCTAGAAATAGGTGCACACTCATGCACCTAGAAATAGGTGTAACAACAACACAATATGAACATTAGCTTTTCAAAAAGTGAACATTAGGTTTCTTCTCCTTTAATTTATTGCCTTCAATTACAACATTTATCAGATATTCATATTCAAGCCTCAAGCATTTAATACTCTTGCATAGCTTTCTCTCTCTAAACACTGTTTGACTTCGGCATCGGAGGGTCTTCCTCGGCGCAACCCCCGAGGCCAGTTTACGTGTGTTTGATGTGCAGGAAACCCTCGGCTCTGCATCATTTGGACCGAGTCAGTCTTCATCCACCTCTTCGGACCTTCGGCAAGGTCCCATTGTTTTCATCCGAAACAATTAACATACTTTTCTCCAAGTAATAAATTATATTAGTTTAGTTTATGAATGCAATAACTCAGTAATTGTTTAATGAGCTTTTGTTCATTTTTAAAACTAATCTCAAAATTAGAACAACTTTTGATTGAATTAGTACTCAGACCAGGATGCTATAGGAGAATGCCATTTTATTTTATATTCTAGATAAGATTTGATGAATTCGTATTTTCAAATGAATATACATGATGTACAAAGTGGCCAGCTCACGCTAATGGACCATTATTCATTCTTAAATCGAAGCTATCAAGCCAACTAGGACTTTCATTAGACTTTCTGTCGAGGTCAATTACCATTTCTTAATTAAATTGATTACGACGACGGCACTAACTTGGCTTCAACTCCGGCACCACTCATTAACCAAATTAAGTTTGCACCACACACACACCCCCACAACAACAACAACAACAAAAAAAAAAAAAAAAAGGTCAAGTTATGTGACGTGTGTCCTGAAGCCACTTGAATTTATTAACTTAAAAAAAATGGATCCATAAAATTGTAGCTGAGTTAGATTAATTTAATTAATTAGTTTTCCTCACAAAAAAAAAAGAAAAATTAATTAATTAGTATTCTGTCTGTACTGTAATTAAGTTAATTACTTAACGACTAATTTGTACATATAAATTCAATTCAAAGCTTTTTCTTCTGTTTTTCAAAGTTCCATAATTATTCAAAGTCAAAATACTCACAAAGTATTATACGTTTTTTTTTTTTTGAAAACTTGTATAAGTAGTTAACTAGTTAAGTACCCATTTCTTATTTATTTGAATTTCATAATATCTTCAAAATACATTTTAAAATGAACAATATACGTAAAACTTACGTGTGTAGTTATGATATTCTAAAATTGGATCTAAAAACTAATACCTTTGTTTATCATTATGTGCAACATTTTTTAAAAACGGATGCTACATATTATGTGCTAAAAATGTTTTCTTTCCTTTTTAAGTTACCATTTCTCTCTATCTCTTTCCTCGTCACATACATATGTATCTTTCTCTTTTCATTTAACTCTCTAAAAAAAATTTTGCTAAGAAATTCGTATCAAGGCCTTTAGTACACATAATTTGAAATAAAGGTAGTATAAAAATAAATCCACATGATTGTATTGTTTCTTTTATATTGGTGAAATTCATGGTTAAAGTTCTAAAAATTTGACACATCAAAATACAATGGAACGATCTTTAGGGAACAAAGTATACCCTTTTACAAGTAAATAATAGGGTATTAAAAGTTGAATTCAGATGCTCGCCGAGTCGGGTTTGCTCGAATCAATGTAAGTTAAGTTAGATTCGGGTTGGATAAGAGATTAAGGCCCCGTTCTTTAGAGCTGCTTTCCTCTGCTCTGCTTTGCTGAAATCTACTTTGCTCTGCTCTGCTTTGCTGAAATCTGCTCTGCTCTGCCCTGCTCTGCTCTACATAAAATTAATACTTAATATTGAATTATTATAATAATAATTAATATTTAATAATAATAATAAATAATTAATATTTTATAATAATAATTAATATTTAATAAGAATAATAATAAATGATTAATATTTAATAATAATAAATAATTAATATTTAATAATAATTAATACTTAATAATAACAATAATTAATTATTGATATTTAATAAAAAAAATAATAATAATTAATTATTAATATTTAATAATAATAATAATAAATTAATAATAATAATATTAATATTTAATAATAATTAATATTTAATAATAATAGTAATTATACTAATAGTAATAATAATACTTATAACTAATAATATTAATTATAATAACAATAATTGATTTTTATAATAACAATTAATATTAAGATAATAACTAATATTCAAAGATAATACTAATTATTAATTTTTAATAATAATAATAATTAAATAATATTTAATAATTATAAAAATTATAATTAATATAATAATAATAATAATTAATATTTAACTTTTAAAATTTAATGATTATAATAATAATGCGATAATATTAGTAATAATAATAATAATAAATAAATAAATAATTACATAAATAAATAAATACTAATAATAATAATAATAAATAAATAAATACTACTACTAATAATAATAATAATAATAAATATTTAATAATAATAATAATAGTATTAGTAATAATAATAATAATAAATATTTAATAATAATAATAATAGTATTAGTAGTAATAATAATAATAATAATAATAATAATAATCAAATTTGCTCGGCTCTGCTGAAATCTGCTCTGCTCTGCTCTACTCTGTTTTGATCTGCTGAAATCTGATCTGCTCTGCTCTGCCCAAAAGCTCAAAAAAACAGGGCCTAAGTCAAAATTAACTCATACTCTCTTTAACTGGATATCCGGATCTATTTGTTAATCTCTCTCTAATAGAGTACTAAAACATTATGTTTCCTTCTTTTGAGACTAAAATTTTAAATACTTCGTTCCTCCATAATTGATACGGTTAAACTGGCCTATTGGGCATATATGCCAAAGATTTAGTTTGATCTTACATATATATGATTAAATATTAGTAAAAAAAATTACATATTTTGAGACATAGTAAAAAATACATATAAAAATTAATATTATGAAACTTTATATTAATATCTATATAATAATATATTTCATGATAAATTTGCATTTTATACGTTACTTTTTATTGAAATAAAGACTATTGTATTTTAAATAGTGAATAAAAGTCAAACGTATCAATTATTTAGGAATAGACGAAGTAAATCTATATTGAACGAAAGCACATTACGCATGAGCTATAGCGACGTCTGAAAAGAATAATTCTTCTTTTCTTTTCATTTTTAATGTATACATATAATGTGGTATAAATTACTTCTCTAGGAGTACACAAAAGAACTTCACAATGGCATGGGAGGGGAGAGATAGAGTTGATTGAAACTGATAGATATCATTATTATCAGCTTCATGGCAGAATTAGTGTTGTCCTTTGCTGCCCAACACATCAATGAGGACTCCGATGCTTTAATTATAAGTGTGGGATCTGAAGCGCGAGCCCTAAGCAATGATCTCGTGTTATTAGAGAAGTCTCTTGTTGATGCCGGAAGAACCAGACAAGGTATGGCCAACAACGAGCAAGTTCAAGCCTGGTTCATAGAGCTGAGAAAGATAGCTTATGAAGCAGAGGATTTGGTCGATAGCTTAATCTCCAGCACAGATTGCACGGCATTCAGTAACCTGAGACATCTAAAACGTGCTCGCCAGGCCTCAAAGAAGCTCAGGGGATTCAGAGAACGAGTTAAAGAGATCAAGTCCACTCTGAATAAAGAAGGTTCGTCTAAGAAGAATCTGAGGGTGGGTCTAGTAAGTGGTGCGCTGTCCTTGTTCCAGCAGGCCCATCAAGATCTCCGAGCTGATGATGGTTTTGTCGTGGGCATCGAAGCTGATGTGGATAGGCTGGTGAAGATGTTACTCAGTAATTCCCAAGACGGCATTGCGATTGTAGGAATGGGTGGCTCTGGCAAAACTACATTAGCTAAAAACCTATACAACCATCGAGAGGTCAATACTCACTTCAAATACAAAGCATGGGTCTCGCTCTCTCAAAACTGGGATGCCTCTCATGAGGTACTACTGCTGTCCAAAATAATAGAACAAATTATCACAGGCAGTAGTAGTAGTAGCAGTAGCAGTAGTATTGGTGCCAATAAGCTCCACCGCTTTGATTCCTTACCTTCATTTCATGATCAAGGTGATGGGGATGACGGTGATGGTCCGTCGTCTAGGGTTCTGAAAAAGAAGAAGTTGCAACTCCAAAATTTGTTGACGACGGAATCATGTTTAGTGGTTTTGGATGATGTATGGGATTGGAAGCCGTTCCAGAAGATGCTTAATGAATTACTCCAAGAACCTTCAACATCATCTTCGGATGTATTCAGACAATCCAAGATAGTATTCACTAGTCGACGCCTTCCATCACCAGCAGACACCCATTTGAATTGGGCTATCCATGAGACTAAGTCTCTTAATGAAAAGGATAGCTGGAAATTATTCAAAAAAATGTCCAGAAACGATACTGGTAAAAAATTAGATAGGGAATACCGGGGTTTGGCTATGGAGATGTTGAGAAAGTGCAAAGGCTTGCCATTAGCAATCGTGGCGTTAGGCAGGCTGCTTAAGAGAAAGGACTCCATTGAGGAATGGGAAAGGGTGTTCTCTCAGTTAAAAGGCGATGAAGGTTCTCATTTGTATGAGCCAATAAACGATATTTTGGCCCTAAGTTATAACGAACTGCCACATTACTTGAAGCCTTGCTTTCTTTACATGGGACTACTAGCAGAAGATTCCACCATTCCGGCTGGAATGCTGAAGAGGATGTGGATTGCAGAAGGGTTCGTAAAAGGCCAACGACAAGAAGGGGAAACTTCTGAAGATACAGCAAGACGGCTCCTACAGGAGCTTGTTAACCATACAATGGTTCAAGTTGTGAGCAAGACTTACACTGGCAAAGTCAATACAATCCGGCTTCATGATATGATGAGAGATATTTGTATCAACATAGCCCGGAAGCTAGACTTCTTAACCTTATTTCCTTCCGATTCTGATCAAGTTCACTCACGCCGAGCTGCTATCAATCTCAGGTATGTATCTTCTGAATTAGCTACCTAGGCACGCTTATTAATTCATTTTAAGTTACTTTCATAAAGGGATATGATGAAATCGATACTCATATAAACGTAGTACAACTCAAACTATCACTCTTATCAGTAAGGACATCAAATTCATACTCCTCAACGTTTTACACCCATCACACACACACTGTTTTTTTTTTTTTTTTTTTTTTTTTTAAACCTCATTTACAATCTTTCATATGATGTTACATTTTTATTTTATTTTTCATCCTATCTTTTATGTAAATTGCAAATGTGGTAAAAAAATATGTTAAAAAGACCATAGCAACTACATTTTTTTTTCTCTTTATTTGGTCAAATGAAAGTTCGTCGCTTCTAATTAAGCAGGAAATTCCGGGAAATTCTTTGTTATGACTGACTCTAATGAAGAATGACGAGTTCATAATATGTTGCTTCCACGCTAGTCTGTAGAATAAGAATATACTCGTATTATAATTGTTGACTAGCTAACAAGAATATGTAAGCTTCCAACTGGTCATCAGAAAAATATACACAAGTGCCGCAATACAAATTCTAGTTAATTCCTAGTGGTTTAGTTTAATACTCCAATTAGTATATTCAATTTTGCATAAATCAATGATGTCACGTTGATTATTTTGATCTAAGAATATTAATAACTAAATAGCTAATATGATATGATATGATACACAATATAGAATTATTGTCTTGTACTTCGTCATTAATTAGTTTCTTTACTGTGTGCTGAGCCAATACTTATTAACTCATGAAAATGAAGGTTTGAAAAGTATGTGATTAACTAAAATTTCATGACAAGCTAGAAATACATTTTCTTTCTTTTTTTTTTTTTTAAGAAACTACTCCATATGTTATTTTTATTATGAGTAATGTTCTTTTCATATAAGGTATTCTTGTTATAAAACTTAATGTTTTTTTCATATTAAATAATGTTCTTTTGAAAAAGGATAATGCTCTTTTCATACTAGGTTATGCTAATATTGCATCTTGTGATACCCATCTACAATAGGTGGGTAGCAATATTGCATCTTGTGATGAACTGCGTGCACGATAATTAGATGCATGCACTATCTAATTTGTGAACTATGATTTGAATATTGTGCAAAATGGAAATGGGACAAACAAAAACTTGTAGGAATGATTAATTACTCCCTCCGTCCCAAAAACTTCGACTCTTTTTGGGTTGATTTGCAGTTATTAATAAACTTAAATCAAAATAAATAAAAACATATTGAAAAGATAAATTTACATGACATTTGTAAAAAAAGTAAAATACATGAAAAAACAAAATTTTATATAGGAAAGCTCATTTCCACAAATATTGTTGTAAATTAATGGGTATTTTAATGCAAATGGGTCGATCACTTTAGGACTAAAATTAAGCCAAAAGGGTAGAAGTTTTGGGGACAAAGGGAGTACGACTAAAAAAACATTTTTTATCATGCATCCCCAGCTTCATGTAATGTTAGGGTTGATTGCTCTAAGGATGAGGTACGAGAAACTTTTTTAATAATAAAAATACTCCTTATTACTCCCTCCGTTCCTAAATATTTGACACAATCAAACTTGAGACTCGTGTCAATGCACTAGTTTGATCTTAGATATACATGATTATATATTAATAAGAAAAAAAAAATACAAGAGTTGATACTATATAACATAATATTAGTACCTCTTTAACAATTATTTGATGATAAAATTTGGTTTTTATATGTTATTAAAAAACGATTATATTACTGTAAAAAAATATATATAAAGATTATCAAAGTTAGTGTGTATATGAATATATAGTGAAAAAAAAAACGTCAAACATGTCAAGCAATTATTTAGGATCGGAGGGAATAGTGTTTTATTATTGCTAACACCAGATTAAATCAAGATTTTCCCTTATACTCTATTATTAATAGTGATAAACATATTCAGAAATTCAGTCAATGTGAATTATTTTGTTATTTATCCTTGCAGCAAGTGCTCCAGAGCTCTTCCGAATAACACAAGCCTTAGATCTCTGTTGCTATCTCGAAAATCAAGTACAGGCAAGCAACACGGTGGTAGAATGAACAATCAGCAGGGAATTATGGACCTAGCCTTAGTTTTTGAGAAGTTCAAATTGCTAAGGGTCTTAGATATTAACGGGATCAAAACCTATGATGGCACCATGCCAAAAGAATTAGGCAACTTGATTCACTTGAGGTATTTGGGAATACGGTCCACAAACATACAAGTACTCCCTAGGTCTATTGGGAAATTGCACAAATTACTGACCTTCGATTATTGGGATGTTACTATTGATAATGAAATAAGATTGCCTAATGTCTTTTGGAAATTGATGCGGCTTAGGCATCTTTTCCTTCCAAATGAAATGATGAGTAACACAATGGCAGATATGAGGTTCGATACTCTCCTAGACTTACAAACCTTGTGGGGTGTAAAAGGAGGAGATTGGATGCTCAAAGAAATGGATAAGTTGAGCGTCAAACTTACTAAGCTATTCATTCAAGGAATATCAAGTGCTCTACAATTAAAGGCAGTATTCGACAGCTCCATGATCGAGAAGTATGATAATCTCCATGCTTTGTGTTTAGATTGGTATGGTTTCTCGTTAGAATCGGAGTCTCTACGAAAGTTGAGTTCGAAAAAAAATCTTAAAAAGCTAAGGTTGATGGGAAGAGCGCGAAATAAACCACAACTACCCCTTAAGTTTCCCTCCAGTCTTTGGAAATTAGAACTTTACTACACTCATCTTGAGGATTCAGAGACCCTGAATGCTATAGGGGAGTTGCCGAATTTAAAGTTCTTAGGACTATCCAAGGACTCATTCACAGGGAGTCAATGGACTATTAGAAAGGAAAGCAAGTTTCGGTGTCTTGAGGAGCTGAAATTGTCTTATCTACCAAAATTGAACGAATGGTATATCGAAAGTGACACAATGCCACATCTCAAGAAGTTATCAATTATCTCTTGTACCGGTTTAAAGCAAATCCCAGAAGGGTTGAAGTCCATAACAACCCTTGAAACCTTGAACATTCGACATATGCCAACTAGCTTCAACAATCGATTCCGGGGTGATGAAGGAAAAGACTTCCACATTGTTCAGCACATCCCTAACGTTTGGGTTAAGGATTCATGTACACAATTGGTGTACTAATCCATTATCAAGTGAGTATGTTCTTCTTCCCCTTTTCGGAAACTCGTAGTATTCAACTGATTTAAGTAACACACCTTAAATAACAAGTAATTTTTTCTTCTATACAGGGATTAAGATACAATTATATAATTGGTTTCCGAGAAAAAGAGAATACTGGAGCATTAACTATGAAAAGCAATCAGGGTTTGAAGACCTCTAGATCAGGAAGACAAGTGCAATTAAAGTGGGATATCATCATGATCCATAAATATAGCTGTCAAAACCATCATTCCTTTGGGCTGTCACTTTCCTTAGTGAACTAAAGTATAACTCTATTACCTTCGTTTCATATTATTTGCAACGATTAAACACTTTGCACTCATAGTTTATATCAAATCGTAGCAAATAATATGTAACGAATGTAGTAAATAGTTTGCCTTAGCCAGACAAAATTGTTTTAAGTCATCCAAAGTTCGTTTACAAATCTTTCTTTTTCTATTTTTTTTTCTCTTTTTTAAGCTCCCTCCGTTTCTCAAACATCTTTCCAGATTTTTGTTTAAATCTACTCCTCAGATTACTCCCTCTATTTTATTTTATTTTATTTTATTTATATTCCTATTTTCCATTAGAAATGTTCTTTAATTTTTCATCTTTACACAACTTTTTCCTCATATTTAATTGTAAAAAATTAAAAAAGATTTGTTTTCCATGTACAATTCCCTTCTTTCTTTGAATTACATGGCTAGTGTTTTGTTATTGATTTTTAATTGAACTATCTTTTGTTAAACATGATTTTTATTTACTAAAACTGTATTTTGGTAAATTAGATGTTCAGTAATTAAAACTGGTTTTTGTTAATATTGATTTCTACTTAATAAAACTATGGTGTTGTTTTATTTTGTTTAAAAATGCTTTTTATTTTTTAAATTTGTTTTTTCGCTTGTCAAATTTCAGTTTTAACATGGATGGCCAAAAATCTCTTCAGTTGCATGAGTGGACAAATATATCAGGTGTGGCAAGGTATTGCAAAGCTTCATAAGTCTACTCTCTATTTTCTTCCAAACTTACACGAAGTATGATATGTACATATATTGCCAAACCCATTTTGTACGTTAAGCCTTATTGGATTTTACAAAACTGATTTATAACCCCTCAGGAGTAAGGACGTCAAAATCCGATGAGGTCAAAAGGTGAAACTGCCAAAAATTCTATGATAGACATCTTTAAAATGACTATTTTTATATCAATTTTTAATTGGATGATTTTTATTTAATATTTATGTCAAAATTGATTAAAAAATAAATTTTAAAATTTTTTATTTTTTCACATTTTTATATTTAAAATGAATTACTTTTTAATTTCAGTAATAACCAAAAAACGTAATTAATTATGAAAAATATAAAGATAAAATCGAAAATTATTTCAAAAGTCAAAATGAATTTTAAAACTTAGAGCTTGTTTGACATCGTTTTTGTTTTCAGTTTCTTGTTTTTTTTTCAAAACAAAAAACCAAAAATAATAAAAATGAAAAAGGTGTTTTCATTTGTCGGTTTTCAATATTATTATGATTTCAATAAGTTTGACTTATTTTCTATTTGCTATGTGAAATATTATATGATTTTTAAAAACCAAAAAAAAAAAAACACAGCAATGCCAAATAAACTCTTAGATAAATTATTTATAATTAATTTTAACATTAAAAAATAAATTAAAATCAACCAATAATAAATTAGTCTAATGGTTTTACTACCGGTTATTACAATTATAAGTAATTTTTTAAAGATTACGACACTCAGTAATGCTTGGAACAAAGGTTTCATTGATGTGCGATGCATATTCAAACAATTAAATATTTATGTAATTTTGTAAGAAGATAAAATTCGGAATTCACGACTTTGTAGACACATAATTAAGGGACTGTTTATTTACTGAACTGAGCTGAACTGAAATGATTGGAGCTGAACTGAACTCATAAGAGCTAAAATAAATTATATTTTATGAGAGAAGGAAATTAGGAGCTGAACTGAACTAAACTGATTGGAGCTGAAATGAACTGAAATAATTGGAGCTGAAAAGAACTGAATTGAACTAAAATTAAGCAGAAGTGAACAGGCCCTAAGTCTCCATTGTATTTTTAACTTGATTCCCCAAATTTCAAAAGTTAAAATTTTTAGTATCCGGTTTGGAATATAATGTTTACCGCATAAATTCTAACTATAAATGATTGGAACTTGAGGAACTCACCAAATCTTATAAGAGCATATACTTCTATTTTTGGCAACTCCATATTACCATATCAATCTTAACTCCTTACCTTTCATTTGTTTTTTGTTTTTTTTTTTTTTTTGGTGTACTCCTTTCCCTTCAATATTTACACCTTTTCATTCGATTTCTCTTACGTTATTCATTTGTTTCTCAAAATCGTTTGTCGTTTGAGTGTGTGGAGATTATTATTCAAGTGTCTATGAGGGCATAAGGAAAACTATGACGCAATTGAACTTGCATGTAAGAAAATCAACTGCTTATTGATTTTAAGATTTCCAGACGGGAGACAAACTTCAATTAATTTTTCCACACAATCTTTTTTTGGTTAACTCCGCCAAGTGGCAATCTCAAACCTGGATAAAGGAAGAGGGTTACGATAGGCCAGTGACACTCAGTCACATCCCATGATATGAGCCAAAATTATAAAGATGGATGTGCAGGAACACGCTAAATAATAGAATCAGAAATGAGGTTATTCACAAGAAAGTAGGTGTCGCAGGCATGGCAAACAAAGGGAGAATCGGCTGCGTTGGTTCGGGCATGTAATTAAGACGGAGACCCGATAATGCATCAATATGAAAAGCGTTCAGGCCCATCTTTGGACATATTTTTTCTCACACACATAACAGGCCCCCAAAATTAAAATCAAGGGCCCATAGTTTTCTTTAAAAAAATCATAACCTTACATATTCACCTTCTCCCCCATAAAAGACCACCATTTCCAAACTAAAACCTAAAAATTCATCCTAAATCTTTGACTTTGCCTTTTAATTTTCAAAACAAATTTAAATTGATTATGAAGATTGATATAATTGAAGATTTTGCTTCAAAAAAATATTAGAAGGATGACACTTTTTAAATAAAAAGTTTTTGTTTGTTGTTTTATTGAATTACTATTAAACTTAGTAATAGAAATATTTTAGCTTTATAATAATTTGTAGTCCTGTACTAAAAAAAAGGCATTTTATAATAATGATATTATTTTTAACCTTTTAAAATATTCCTCCAAAAAATTTAAGGGCCCAATTTTAATAGTTAGAACAGGGCCACCAAATTGTCGGAGACGGCCTGAGAGCGTTAAACGAGGGAGAGGGATATTGAAAATGACTTGGTTGGAAGGATTAGAAAGGACATGAACCATTTGGATTTGCATTAGAATGAGGTATTTGATCGTAAGGGATGAGGAGGAAGATTTTTGAGGATGACTATACAAAATAATCACTTTTGGTTTTTTTAGCCGACCCTACTTATGGAATTAAGGCATTGATTGATTGTTAATCGTTCATTATTAAATTTACAATATTAGGGTTTAAGAGAGCTTATAGGAGATAGAGGCTAGAGATCAGATCATAAAATGCTAGTAAATCAATGAATCACTCGTCCTCCATTGTTTCCGTATAGCTTAAGTTGGTGAATTGATTAAACAGTATATGTGTTTGGTTCATTACATAGCATAAAAAATTATACATTGATTCATGACTCGATATTCTCTTAATTAAATTTATTTTTTTATGTTGACATATACTAAATTTAATTTTTTTTTTATTATTTATTAAATAATGCGATATGACATAGCTTAGTGGAATACGATTAGGTAAAATTAATATTAGAAAAGTATTAATAATTATGACGAATCTAACAGAATTGCACATGATTATAAATTTATAGTATTCTTTACCTACTAAATTATAAAATCTAGTTAATGTAAAATTGAATTGTAAAATACCTAAATAGTGCCTATAAGGGTTGCAAGTATATGTACCTCCTAAATATAAGCAACCTTGCATGTGCTGATTTATTGCAACATCTCCATATAGCTCTTGCAAACTTGCCGTGGTTTCAGCATCTTGTCTACAGAAACAGATTGGAGTACATATACGAAAGGAAAAAAAAAAAAAAAAAAAACTAATTTGCTGATCATGCCACAACATGGTAATTAAAAATGGACTTCGTAGTAGATAGATGACAAATTCAAGGAGAATCTTTCAAACGTCGTTTACCTATTGATCAATTGATAATTACGTATTAAGTCAACGTGACCTTATAACTAACTAAATAGGCAGCCAACTACTAATTCAAACGATGCTTTTATAGAACTTAAAAGGATGAATATTTCTCAGAATATGATACTCACATAATAGCTTGTTAGATATAATAATAAAATACTTTAATGTTGTATAAAACTTAATTTTTTTTCTAAATAAAATCACAACGTTTAAGATTTTGTATTCATACAAACTCTTTTTACCGCTTTTTGTGATTTATAAAAATATACTCATGTAGAATTTTGTTATTTGTTTCAATTTCTACATTCACAAAATTAACTTTTTATAATTTTTATTAATATATAGTTAAAGATATTTATAATATAAAATATGCATTGACAAGCATAAAAACTCTAATGTTGCAATTAAAAAACGAATTATGTATATTGTTATATTAGTCTCAAGGTATATTTTCATAATACAGTATTAATTTCAAATTTTGTTTTTACTAATTCCCAATTAAAGATTATTTAGTCACACTTATGTCTCAACCACGTGAAAATAAAAGCTGTTTGTCACTTAAAATATAGAAGGTACTAAACTATACACAAGTAGAAAGATAGATAGAAAAAGAAAGCACTTTGTTTTAGGCTAGTAACCACTTGAAATATTACCTTTTCCCTCCAATTTTTAAGTAACTCGGACCAAATTGACCTGTTTGTTGCTTTGATCCAATACGACATCTTCATACCTACCAAAAAAAAATGTCATTGACTCAAGCCCCACTCTATATTGAATGTAATTTGATATTAATCGTACATACTAAACTATACTTGGTATATATTTTTAGTTTAAAATTAATTTAATTAGATGCCCAGCTGTTTCAGTAAGTGGGGGTGTACGAAGGGGTCGTGAAAAGTGAAAACGACTTTGAGATCTTTGTACCTTAATTAATTAGAGCTCTTTAGCAACCAATAAATCACCCAATTTTACAGAAACAATCACACCTGCATGCCTCTGAACTTCCTGTACAATAATCAACATTTCCTTCACTAATTACAGCCAACAAAAGAAAGAATGTCAGCTTCAGCTGAAGGAGTAATATTGCAGAACCTCAAAAGAATCTTGAGTGACCCGAATAATGCAGAGCTACTATCTTCAATGGAAGATCTCAACACTTTGAAGGAATCAGTTGGTATTGTTAAGGGTGCAGTGGCAGCACTACTCGAAGAGGGTGGTCATTTGAATGGCAGTAGTCTCGGGAATCTGGGGGCTCTGCTGCATCAAGCTGATGACCTCCTAGATGAAATCATCGCTCGCTATCATGCTGGAAGGCTTTCTGGAGTTGCTGCTGCGCCTGCATATCAGCAGGATGGGAATCTGAGGGTAAACCTAGGACGTGCCTTGCAGAGAGCGGTCAGTGCCAGTAACAGAGTTACAGAAAAGGTCGGTCTTCACATTCATCCTATTTTCCCTTCAACAATAATTAGGCAAATAAGTAAGCTAAGCCAAGACTTAGGTGAGCTAGGGAAGCAATTGGATAACAAGCATGGTTCAATTGATCTTCCTGAAAGCTCGATAGATCCTCAGCCTTACACTCTCTCTAGAAATAAAGTTATTGGGAGGGACCGTAGAAAATTGAAAATCATAAACAGGCTATTGACACACAGAGAAAATGAAACCAGTGTTTCAGTCATTCCTATAATTGGATCACCAGGAGTAGGGAAGTCAGCTTTGGCTCAGTTAGTGTATGAAGACGAAAGGGTACAGAATCATTTTGACATAAGAATGTGGATTCAAGTCTCGCAGATTTCTGATGAGAAAGAAATCATTCGGGAAATTGTGGAGTCTTGTACGAATAGGAGGGCTAGTTATAGACAAAGTCCTAAAGCTGCAAAATCTCTGCATTCCCGTGTTCATCAAAATCAGCATGGGTCGTTGACATTTCGTGATATATTGAGATGTCAAAGTATTAATACTTTTGATCCCAATAATAAAGATAGTAAAGATGTAAGTAACATCTATGAACGTAGACTTCGAAAAGAGGTTGAAGGGAAACTCTATTTACTTGTCCTAGACGGTGCTTGTATAACACAAGGGCAACGTTTGAAAGACTTGTTAGCAGCAGGTGCAACAGGAAGTCGAATTTTATTGACAACACGCCACTTTGAGGGGGGATTTTTTGCAAAAAGTGAGATTGTGAAGTCCTGCAAATTAAAGGGCCTGTCAAAGCGTATTTCTAGGGATTTGTTCAAAACATTTGCATTTGGATCACGAGAGGATGAACGATATGCTGCATTGGTGGAGACAGGGCATGAAATCGCTGACAATTGTGGAGGTGTTCCACTTATTCTGAAGGTTGCAGCAAGCTTTCTTTACAACAAAGATGCAGCGCAGTGGTCATCTTTCAATGAAGAATTGAGGTCTGATGCAAGACATGAAAAGGACAAAATGATACATGTCTTACATGTCAGCTACAATGACCTCCCAACTCGGCTAAAAGCTTGCTTAAACTACTGTTCCTTATTTCCTGAGGATTTTAGGTTCAACAAGCATGATCTGATTAGTCTTTGGATAGCACAAGGATTCATTCACCCACCCGAGCAGGGTAACAGTTTGGAGGAAGCCGCAGAGCAGTACTTTATGGAATTGTCACGGCGCTGCTTCTTTGAGGATGTAATCACTGACCGCTTGGGGAAAATTGTCACTTGTAAGATGCATCACATTATGCGCAGCATAGCATGTCAATATTCAGCAGGGATCATGAACTTGCACATGACAGATACAGGGGTTAATCTGGATTCGACATGCAAACATGTTTCTTTGACATGTGATCAAGAATCGTTGAGGAATCTCTCATCCTCCGTCCTCCAAGCTCAGACTTTACGAACACTCCTCTTAGTCAAGGAACCAGATTGTGACACAAAGATAGATTCGTTGGACTGCAATATGTTGATCTCCAGTTTTAAACGACTCAGAGTGTTGGACTTGCATGATCTTGGAATAGAAAAATTGCCCATTTCCATAGGCAAACTGATCCATTTGAGATACCTGGATCTCTCTAGGAATGATGGTCTGGTTACTCTCCCGAAGTCAGTCACAGAACTGTACAACTTGCAAACATTGAAACTCAACTCCTGCACAAAACTAAGAAGATTACCTAGTAACTTTGGTCAATTAACAAACCTGACAAGATTTGAGGTTGATGAGTGTGATAGCTTGACAGGAATGCCTCTGGGATTGGAGAAACTAATTCAGCTCGAGACAATGACTAGATTTGTAGTTGGTCAGGAATTTTCCAAAGAAGTGGTTAGCAGTGGACTGAAAGCTCTAGAAAAACTAAACAACTTGAGAGGAAGGCTGGCAATTGAATTTACAAAAGGATGGAAAACCACCATACCTGAAGCAAAAGAGGCAATGTTGGTAAATAAAATCCATCTAGATGAATTAAAGATCAGCTGGGAAAAAACGGCCTTGAACCGTAAAGATAACTCACACCTCCTTTCTGATCAAGAGAAATCATCTTACGAGGTTCTTCTTGACAATCTTCAACCATTCAAAGATCTCAAAATCCTTTGTATAGAAGGGTATAAAGGACAAGACTTCCCAAACTGGATAGGGGTGGAGAGATTGGCTTCTTCTCTCCCGAAATTAGAAGACATCAGCATTGAAGGATGTGACAAATGCGAGCATCTCCCACCATTTGGAAAACTTAAACATCTCAAACGACTCACCCTAAGACACATGGCTAATGTGCAATATGTGCAGACAAAATTTGCTCCCGCATCTCCATTCTTCCAAGAGCTGGAAGAGCTTACCCTCCACAACTTCTACAAGCTAGAAGGATGGTGGGAAGAAGAAATGTCGGTTACACCTGAGAACAGAATTCCATCATTCCCTAATCTTTCCAAATTAAGGATATGGAACTGCCCAAAACTGCGATCAATGCCTTTGTTCTCAGGAGTTTCAGAACTAGACTTGCGCAACGTCAATCAGATGCTTCTAGAACAAAGTTCAAAAAATTTTCCTACTGACATTGATTCCAACGTCAAATGCCTGCAAATTAAGGGTTGCTCAACCCTCAGGAGCTTCACGACAGTCAGAAAGGGGCTAGGAGGTCGCCTTCCTTCCTTACGACAGCTTGTGATTGAAAAGTGCCATGCACTTAGTTCATTGGCCTCAGAATTGCCGAACCTCAACTCCCTAGAGAAGCTGGAAATTTCCAACTGCAAAGAGCTCGATCTCTCTGATTACGAAAGCAATGATATGGAAAACGGCAATCCATGGAAGTCTTTGGAACATCTTCACCATTTGACTCTTCGAGAAATTCCAAAGATGAAGTCTCTCCCTGAGAATCTGAAGCACGTCAGTACTCTGAAATCCTTATGGATATCAGCATGCACTTCCCTGACAGAATTGCCACAATGGATAAGTAACCTGACAGCGCTCCAGCACCTACGGATTGAGAGCTGCGAGGCTGTAACAAGGCTGCCAGATGGACTCAAGGAAGTCACATCCCTGAAGAAAGTTGAGATTACAGAGTGTTCTGCATTAATGGAATGTTGCAGAGAGTACACAGGGGAAGACTGGCACAAGATCAAACATGCTCGGGTTTTGCTCCACAAGTCGTGGCGTTATGGACATATGCCAGAGCTAGGAGCTTCACAGAACAGATCTAATGTTCAAGCACTCACAGACGTTAAGTACATCATCATTCCCATAATAGCTGCAGGTAGCTAATGGTGTTTGAGCAAACTTTCAAATTCTAGTATTCATTTTTTTATTTTTTGGACCCATTCTCATTGTTTTGTATAGCTTAAATCTATCACTTAGCGCTCTATCCCCACAAGTTGCTTCCCCCTTTAGCTTAGGGTGAAGTTGCACAACACATAATACTCTGTAATCAATGAATGGTCCTAAACCATCATTTCTTTCTCTAATTTGTTATTATAAATAAATAGTTAGGATATAGAAAATTACATTAGTAATTATCATATTGTAATGTATTAGATCTAACAAGCATATACCATTAGGCATTTTCCTATTATGGTGTCTAGCAATTAACAATTTATTCGTATACATGCCTTCTCACTATTGGAACACAATAGTAGTATAAAAATTGAAATAAGAGCAAGTTTAGCCCCAAGTCTTGGATGTGACATCATTTTTTATGGTCCCCATTGAAAATGATGTCATCAAATTCTTGTTAAGACTTACTAAGACTAACACAAATTTATCACTTTAGCCCTAAGACTTAAATATTTGACATATTAAGTGATATTATATGTAGAAAAGTGTAAGAAAAAAAAGGGATAATAAAAATAAAAGTGAGGTGAGAGTAGTGGGTCTCAATCTCAAGTCTTAAGTTAAGTCTTGAAATTTCAAGACTCAATTTAAGACTTGCTTGAGAATTTTGAAAAATGGGAAAAGTCTTAAGCATAAGTCTTAAGACTTAAAATGATGATGTCACCCCCAAGTCTTAAGACTTGGGGCTAAACTTACTCTAATCAGCAAGAGCAACCTTTTGGACACTGGAATATTGAAACTATTGGTATTTTACAGCATAATATATTTCAGTAATTAATATATTACCTCCGATACATATTATTTGCAATGATTAGGCATTTTTGCTCTCTACGTTATGTCAAATCGTTGCGAATAATATGTAATGGAGGTAGTATTTGTGGACTCTATCTATTTAAGGAAAGTTTGCAAGAAACCGGGAAACCACCTTATAATTATAACCGGTAACTGTGATTACTTCATATGATGTAGTCAAAGTTATTGATTGGTGTACATAATATTATGTTGACAGCAAAATTAGTAGAAAAATAAGTAAATAACCATAATCGCAAACACATTAAGTTGCCAACAAATTTCATTACCAAAACTCATATTGTTCACGACATCAACACCATTAAACAATCAATTGCAATAATCAAAGCCAAATAAAATATTAGGGTTTATCGATTATAAAATTGGGGGTTTCACATTATCTAATTCATTGGTAATAAAAATGGAGAACATATATTTCAGAGCATTTTAAAACTAAAATACAGTAGTTTACCTTCCATGAACTTCTTTTCTTGTTTAATTGCAAAAATCAGCTTGCCATTGTCATCAATTACACTTGACGCATAAAATGGTCGGTGAGGCAGGTGATGTAGGACTGCACGACATAACGACAGTGATGGTGGTGGTAGGTGGTTTGGATTGAGCGGTGAGATGAGATTGAGCGGTGAGATGAGGAGGATGGGTGGTGCCAAGGTAAAGAAAAGTTGAAAACAAGGTCAACTCCTTGAATAGGTGGCCGAAATTTATTGTTTAAATATGGATAAACTCTGTTAGAGGCTTAGCTGAAATGGTCAATTGATGTTTTCCGTTTTATAATAATCGCAATATTTTGATCGTAAATGCAAAAGTTTGACCATTAATATTTATAATTACTACATTCGTTTCATACTATTTATAACGATTAGATATTTTTTATTCACTTTATATTAAATCGTTACAAATAATCTGTGAAAACCCAAATTAAATCGACCTATTGTTCACTCGACCCGAATGTAACCCGACCTAAACCCGACCCAAACCCGATAAGAAGTATGACCCAACGTGACCGACTCAAGCATGACCCAACCCAAACCCGACCCGCATAGGTTATGGAATTAATCTGAATTGACCCGACCCACCCTTACCCGACCCAAACCCAACCCGTTTACCCGAATTGACAGCTCTAGGTATGGCCAACCACATATGAACATGATAAAAAAATATTTAAAAATTCTTTTCAAATATTAATTATTTGAATTTTTAAAATAAAAATTTAACTTAATTTTCAAAAATACACATTTTAGTTAAATAAAATCATTTTTAATAAGTTAAACCGGCTAAATAATATATATATTAAAAAAAAATTAACCCCTTCAAAAAAATAAACCAATCTATATAAATCTATAATAAACCATATAAAAGTTCAAGTATGGGATCACTGTAGCTTAGTAACAGTAGTTGCTTATGAATAGTAAAAACGGGAGCTTTTACACTCTTGCCCTTGATTGTAAAATCTTTCCAATTTTGCCCAAGATTGCGTTGACCGTTTTTTCTTGCATAGGTGGTTTTCCTTTAACTTGCATGGGTGGGTTTATGTGTGCTGTCGAGTCTGACTGACAGGTAAGGCTAAGGTTAATTTGTTTTTTTTTTTTTTTTAATAAGAAAAAATCCCTGTTAATTGTCCATTAGGAGTTGAATGTTTCCTTATGTTGTTGTAAGCACAGTCGTATTTGATTTGCGCTCTCAGTAATGCATGAATAGTTACATTATGATATTCGTTTCAATTAATCTGATTATGTTACCGTAATAAGGCTTAAGGTGTATTGCATGCATAGTGAGTGGGAATAGGTAACTTACTCTTGAGCTATTGTACTTCCTTGTACTGTTTTACTGTTCCCATTGCTTAGGTCGGTGATATTAGGATTATTAGCTTAGTTCATTTCTCATTTGTATATATAGAAATACCCATTTATTTGTGGTTTGTGTGGAGGATTGTGGAGTAGCTGTAGTCATTCACTTCATCTCTGTAAGTGCGATTTGTACTGTTCATTTTGTTTCCTTTTGAATTTCTCAATTTTTTTGTTTTTTTTTTTCCTCCTTGGTGTTACAGATTGGTAATTTACATTTGGTTCTTTTTTGTTTGAAAATGTCACCTTCTTTGAATTTGTTATATGAGAATTTAGCAGTTACATTTGGCTGAAAGAATTGCCTTATTGCATTGTATGTATATGATGCATAGTGAGTGGGAATAGTTATAGATTCTGGTTCTGTTTAGAGGTGTTTTGTTTTGTTACTTCTGTGCTTCTTGCTTCTTATATAAATTACAGATGTTAGTTTTGGGTGTGTATCGTTAGTCGTGCATGACTGCTTTTTGTTACTCTTGAGTAGCAGATGTATTTTATCAGTTAGTTAGTTTGTTTCTTGTATATTTTTAAAATTAGAGATATGCTTGCATAATATGTTCGTGATGAAATGCAGCTGTGCTTGCGTGGTTAATATTTAATGCTTATTTGTATGTTGCCTTTTAGCTTTTTGTTCTGTTTTTTTTTTTTTTTAACTTTTTCTCTTCTTTTTTGGTTTTTTTTCCCTTTTTTTTTTCGGGGTGTGGGGGGGGGGGGGTTGTTTTTGTTTCTTGGTGGGTTTTTCAGGCACGTTGGAAACATTGTGGATCTTCTTGTCAGTGTTGGGGACTTGTCGTTTTCCAGGTGGTGTGCTCCTTAATGCATATGTTCTTACATTTCTATAATGCTTACTTGCTTTTGAATTGAAATATGTATGTCTTTATTTGTGTTGTTTGTTACACTGTTGGTATTCTGGCTTAAATACTTTATGTTCTGTTGCTTGGAAGGTATTACAGTTGCCTTTTATTCTTTTTTGATGGGTTATGTGTTGTTTGGGTATTCAAGATTACTTCTTAGATGAGAGTAGGCCTTTCTTTTTTGAGTATATAGGCCTTTCTTTCTTGAGTATATATAGAAATTGGATGAGAAAAGTACATAGAGCCAAAAATGGTTTATAGTTGTTCTATGTCATGTTTTCAGGGTGGTTCAAGTAAAACAATGGTACATAGCTTATCCTGTCTATTATAGTCTCTAAAAAAAGGATGTTGAGTTGTTTTCGGGTCCACGTGCCTTGGATGTAGTGTCCAGCATGGTGTTGGTATTTGTTTACATGTCCTTGGGGGGAATGTCTGCTGTTGTGATGATGCAGTGATTGTATGTCTAAATATGGGTGTTGCCATTACAGGTTATGGCTGCAAGACCCAGTAAGGTTTACATTCCTTTTGAGCCTCTTTTGCAAAAGATAACTGCTTGGCTGCAGTTCCCTGCACCAGTTTATGGTTTCATTGATAGTGCTAGGAATAATGCCTGGGTCAAGTTGTTCGGCCAAATAGTCGATCACGTTTAACGCTCTTTGGTGGTGATGCAACTACAGTCCAGGAATCCCGTGACAGGGCAGCCCATAAGGCTGTGAAAAAACTGATATTTCTTTATGGTGTTAAGGTATCTGACTTCACATATGATCAGCTTAGGCTCCATGAATTGTGTTTGAAGCTGTTTAGGAACAAATGTGCTGAATTATTACAAGATAAAGGGAAATCTCCTAAGCCAGTTACAGGGGAGAGCTCTGGACATGGCTTGGGTGTGGACAATGTGCATGTATCCATTGATTATGCACAAGTGTTGGTGATCGTTGTGCGGAAAACTGGTGCATCTGTAACAACAATTGAAACAACTTGGGTAGAGGGTCATGGCTTTGTCTCATGGGTTATGATTAGCTGTCCCCGAAGTAATAGTGGAATGGAATGCATTTTTAGTGAGTTTTGTGCTTCAGCAAGCGTTGCTGAGCAAAGAGTTTCGAAGAAGGCGGTGTTTTACTTGGCCTGTAAGTATAACCTTGAGATAGTTGATGCTAACTATGGAGCTACAGCGAAGATGAGTAGAGAGTGCTACTTGCTAAGAGAGAAGTACTTAATTCTAAAGGCACATCTTCACCGATTGGAACATGCTCCTCCACAAGCTCCTACTACATCGCCCGTAGTTCATGAGGAAAATGTATCCCCAGTTGATGAAGCTGCCCCTGTCCCGGTTAGGAGCACTCTGCCAGTTACTCCAGCTAAGCGTAAGAAACTACTGCAAGTGGCTCATGAACAAGAATTAGAGGCAAGCACCTCGGGACAGGCAGTATCTGGTTTGCTGGAATTAGGGCAGTTGTTTTGTGGTTCTGAGTCGACTTAGTTAGTTATGTTTAGCTGTAGGTGATGATGCTTTTTGTGTCCTTTTGTTGTGTATGTTTAAAACCAGCTGATGATTCCCTTTGATTTGTATCATATTTTGTATAGAAAGTGTTGTTAGGGTATTGGGACTGTTGGTTTGTTCCTGATGTTGTTAGTATGGAGGCAGAGTGCTGCTCCTATGTTTGTATTGTAAGGTAATTAGAGCAGCATATATAGAATTGCTGCTTCTTTTGTTGTAAGGAAACTATGGTTTTAAGTGTCTATGTAGTAATTCTCTATATGTAATGAATTGTTATATTTAAAATTATATACTATTAGTGTTAGTTGTGATTAATATGTTGGATCATGTATGTTGATTAACAGTAATGTGTTGCTCTTGTTTAATACTTGTTGAATAACTTGTGATCTACAAATGAAATTAAATGCATATTATTGTTCTTGGGATGCAGATTCCAAGCATATATATTATGATGCAAAATATCAGTGTCCCTATTATTGCATCTGGAAGTTAGCAGAAACTGGTGGTGTCTTTATTTATGGGTATTACTGCCTTCATATTTACATAGTGATATGAATTGTATTGTGAATTTGAATGCAATTAGGTTTCATTAGTGCACTTATCAATATGTACATGTAGCGCTTTTTACTATTTAAGTAAATAAACGTATTTTGAACTTCGTAGATCGTCAGTATGGTATTCCGTGTTTATCACGTAAAAGTTATGACAGAATGAAAAAGGCTTCCCAACAGGCATCTCAGTTAGCTAAACATAGGTATATTTTTACACATTGCTGCCAATTGTATATAAGGCCTTTTTTGGAGTAGGGTGTGAGTTGAATATTAAACTGAATTTGTTTCATGGTCAATTACAAGTGAACAACAAGCCGGACAATCTTCTGTGTCACGCGTTTCAAGACGAAATCGATTACTGAATGGATCCATGGAAGTGCAATCTGATAGGTATGCTCATATATTGACGGGGATTAATTTTCTGAATTTGTGATATTTTTAATGTGCATAGGTTTGTGTGCAGAATACAGTCACATTGTGTGCCTATTACGTCTGGCAATGAAACAGCCCAGGCATCATTAAGGTACTTATCAGTATTTTTAATGTACATATACGTTGGTTGTGTTTTGAACCCACATGACTGATTCATTTGGTTTCTGTTGCCATACTTTCATTGAATTCAGTAAGCAGCACGGACCAAATAAGCTATCACGATCACGTGTAACTAAAAAAAAGCGTAGTCTTGATGAAATGGCGCAGATACAACCAAAGAGGTAGATGGTCTTTAAACCGGTGTTGTAGGTTTTTTGAATGATACTGGTTGTAATGTTGTTTGCTTCCTATGTAGTAGGTCAGTGCACAAGAAAAGGAAATCTCAACCAAAACCCAAGCCACAGCGTAGGTTGCTGAGAAGCTACTTTTCATAGAAATATGTATTTGTCGTTGCTGTGTTATTTGAGGATGGTTTGTTTATTCATATGTATGCAATTTGTGTTCATGCAGTCATTCCTGCTGCTATGTCTGGTCAGCCACTTTCAATTGCACCTCTGAAATTACCGTCTCCTGCATGGTGTGTGAAATGTGGTGCAAAGATGTTTGCTTTTGAAACTCTGAATTTCTGTTGTGGTGATGGAGATATCAAAATTGCAACAAATGAATACCCTTCAGAACTTAAGCGATTGTTCACCTCAAAGGATGAAGATGCAGTTCACTTCCGAACTTATGCTAGGCTTTATAATAACTTATTTGCATTTAGTTCTTTAGAAGGGAAGTTTGATGCAGGAACATATAAAGGCATATATGTATTTAAGATGCATGGGCAGATGTATCATTTTGTTCCAAATTTATTGCCTGATAATGGTGCCCCTAGATATTTGCAGCTGTACTTTTATGATGGACAGAATGAGGGTAAAAATAGACTAAAATGTTTTACAGAAGTGAGGCAAGAAGTGATTGATATTCTAATGCGTGTGTCTCAGCAGAATCCATATGCAGTGTTCTTTCGGTCTCTTAAGGAAAGGCAACTCACTGTAGACACAAAGATTGTCCTGAATCAGAGTACAGTGCTAGATCAGCGTGTCTACAACGCTCCTGCTGTGGATGATGTTGCTGTAATATGGCCAGAAGATGCATCATCCAGTCAGAGCTCAAGTCCTCATATCTTAGTTTATGGAAAAGGTGAAGAGTCTCATAGGATATATCATAACTATGGTTGTTATGATCCATTGCAATATCCTTTATTATTCCCTCGTGGAGAATGCGGTTGGACTCAAGGTTTAAAGAATCAGTCTCATGGAACTGCAAGACAAACTGTTTCATTGCCAGATCCTATAATGTCCTGTGCTGTGCACAGTGCTGAGGATTTGCTGGATGAAGAGGATAAGAGTAAGTTTGCTCTATAGAAGCCTAAATGTAGTACAGGTTTTATGTAATTGTGTCCTGTTTAGTTAATGGGTGATGAATAACTGTGAATGGTTTTATTATGCAGGAGCATCTAAGAAGAACACTAGAGCAGATAAGTTCATGTCTGCAAGGGAGTACTACGCCTACAAGTTGCAGATTCGCCCTGAAAACCTGTTGCTGAGAGCTGGTAGATGTTTTCAGCAATATATAGTTGACATGTATGTCAAGATTGAAAACACTCGTCTGGATTATTTTCGAAATAATCAACAGAGTATACGGGCTGAATTATATCAGGGTATCTTAGATTCATTAGACTATGGAGAGACTGTTGCTCATAATGTAGGGCGTAGGGTAATCTTACCCCCAACATTTATTGGAGGACCTCGAGATATGAAGAAATGGTACCTCAATGCCATGGCTCTGGTGCAACGATATGGAAAACCTGATTTCTTTGTAACTATTACTTGTAATGCTAACTGGCCTGAAATAAAGGCTGAATTAGCTCCTGGTGAAACAGCACAGGATCGTCCTGATTTAGTAGCCAGGATTTTCAGAGCCAAATTATTACTTTTAAAGAAGGAAATAATGGATAAAAAAATCTTTGGTGAAGTTTCTGCAATGGTGTACGTAGTTGAGTTCCAAAAAAGAGGGCTACCACATGCTCATTTCTTAATCATATTGAAATCAGAGTGGAAAATGAAATGTCCTGTTGATTATGATAAGTTTGTGTGCGCTGAGATACCATCTGTGGGTAATAATAGTCTACGTAAAACTGTTTTGGCACATATGATGCATGGTCCTTGTGGTGTATCAAATCCAGAGTGTCCATGTATGCGTAACAAGGCTGGTACATTGGTCTGTAAAAATAAATATCCTAAACAGTTTTCTGATGAAACTACTAATAATAAAGATGGTTATCCTATCTACAGGAGGCGTGATACTGGAGAAATGGTTAAGATACGTGGCACATATCTTGATAACCAGTGGGTTATTCCATATAATCCTTACCTTTCAGCACTGTTTGATTGCCATTTAAATGTTGAGGTCTGCTCTACGATTAAAGCAGTGAAGTACCTATATAAGTATGTATATAAGGGCCATGATAGAGTGTCATTCAATATAGTGCCTGGAGAGGATACTTCTGTTGATGAAATCAAGCAGTTCCAGTCAGGAAGATGGGTATCACCTTGCGAAGCTGCCTGGAGAATATTTAGTTTTGATTTATTTGAGATGCATCCTCCAGTTCTACCATTGCAAGTACATTTGCCAAATGCACAAACTGTGCATTTGCATCCACATGAGAGATTACAAGCTGTTGTTGCTAATTCTAAACGGTCACGTACTCAGCTGACTGAATTTTTTGCAGTCAATGCAGCCATTGAAGGAGGTACAGGGCACCTGTATGGTGAATTTTGTGAACATTACAGATGGGAAGCAAGTAGTAAACAATGGAAGGAACGAGTTTTAGATAGATTTTCTGTTGGTCGGTTGGCATTTGTATATCCTGCAGAAGGGGAGCGTTTTTTTCTTACGCCTACTGCTACTGAATGTCAGAAGTCCCACTTCATTTGAGGATCTTTGAACTGTGAATGGCCATGTATACCCGACTTTTCATGATGCAGCCTTGAAATTAGGTTTAATAGAAAATGATGATATTGTAGACTTAACATTGTCCGAGGCTTCAGAGGTGCAAATGCCTGATGCTTTACGCCGATTATTTGCTACAGTGCTTATGTTTTGTCAGACAGCTGATCCATCTGCTTTATGGCTTAAGTTTTACCCCTTTTTGTCCGAGGATTTCAGTCATAAATATGCTAACAATGTGTTAAAGATTCATCAGTTAACTGTGCAATCTATTGAGGGATACCTTGAAGCTATGGGAAAATCATTGTCAGCGTTTGGTTTAGAGCATTTAAACGCTCAGGATGATGTTGAGTTTAGGAGAACAAAGGATATTATTGATGCTCTTGATGCTCCTATCCCAGAAGAATGCCTTTCATGTCGGTCTAGGCTCAATTCTGAACAAAATGCTGCATTTTCATGTATTTTGCAATATGTCATTGAAGGGAAACCAGGAGCTTTTTTTATTGATGGTCCAGGAGGGACTGGTAAAACATTTTTATACAATGCTTTATATGCAGAGGTTAGACTCATGAACAAGATCGTTTTGCCAACAGCAACATCGGGTATTGCTGCAGCAAATATACCTTCAGGGCGCACAGCCCATTCAAGGTTTAAAATTCCACTTGATAGTGATGCTTCATTGGCTTGTGATGTTCCTAAACAAGGTAGTCTGGCAGCATTATTGAAGGAAACTACATTGATAATCTGGGATGAAGCTTCGATGGCTAAAAAACATAATATTGAATCTTTGGATTTACTACTGCAAGATATATGTGATAATAAAACTATGTTTGGAGGTAAAGTTGTTGTGTTTGGAGGTGATTTTAGGCAAGTGTTGCCAGTTGTACCTCACAGGTCAATGAAAGAGGCAGTAGAGACCAGTATTGTGACTTCGTATTTATGGCCTAAATTCATCAAATACAGGTTGGTAGAAAATATAAGAGCTCAAAACGATTTATCTTACTCTAAATTCTTACTAGCCTTGGGTAATGGTGAGCTGCAAGATTCAGAATCTGCTTATATACATTTACCAGCTCAGGTTGCACAGTTTTGTGACAATGAAGAGGATTTAGCTTCTGAACTGCTACGAACGACGTTCCCTGAAATGATGCAGGGTAATCTTTCTGCTGACTGTTTTATCAATCGGGCAATCTTCTGGTGCCTTGCCTACATATGTAATTATATACTGCTGCACTGTAAATGCAAGTGGAATTAAGCGCTGTGAGCATCTAAGAAGCTTGATTATTTAAAAATGTCTATGAAAAAATTGTCTCCTTGTATGTCAGTGCAGAGTATTTGAACTTCCCTTGGGAATTTGTTAACATTCAGAGTTTCAAATTATATATGCTCATCTATGTATTCCATTCATCATTGCTAATGTAAGTTCTAGCTGTAAACAAGTGCTCTGTATAGGGTTCTCCCATTTAGAGCTATGATTAACAAACGCACTTAATGGCTACATGTATAGGTTAGCATTTGAATTACAGGATAATTTCGGTTTAAATATGAGCCAATTCATCTCTCATTCGAAACTGCTCATATAGATCTGTCCAGCCTAGCGAACCTGATTTACATGTAACAAGGATACCTGTTATAAGCCCATTTAACTATTTATGCAGGTGATCCAGAAAACTGCAACGCCTTATATAATACACTAATACTTCCTTACATTATTTAGTACAGGAATATGAAAACTGCAGCATAAGTTTCTTACATAAATAAACTAGCCAGTTGCTTCTTGACCAAGAGCACCAATCACTAAAAAAGCAAGGTTTTATACCTTGCAAGAAATACGAAGTACTTATATTAGCAGTTGCTCAACTACCTAGGGTAACAAATTATTATTAGGGCTGCAGCAAGTTAACATGCAAAACAAAGCAGATTATGGAAAAAGCTATCGTGGCCCAAGCAATACTTCAAATAAAAGTGGATATCCTGGTCGATAAACCACTAAAGCACCTAAACCGATCACAACACTTGCATGTTCATATAATTAGGTCACGCCATTGCATAAGGTGCATGATATGATCCTGCCTCTTTCTTGAACCACATGTAACTCAACACACCATTGATCCCTTCTATGACGCAAGAGAACGACCGTACACGGATCCGCTGTCCAAAAATGCATTGTAGCAAACTCTATGGGAACAATCTATCGCAGGAAGAACAAATCATAAGATTAGCTGATTAGCCATTTATCAATAACTTTACTTGTATTTAATCACAGTGCATATAAATATACATGTAGACTGTCAAATTAGAAACTTACTGTAACTCCTTGGTGAATACAGTGAGCATTGAAGATATAAGTAAATGATGCCTCTGGGAGTTCTTGTTGCATTAGCCTCAAATGAATTTCCATTTCTGCATCATTTAATGGAAGCCTTCTACGAGTAACTATTGTCTGTGTTACTGGAATCCCTAATTGGGTTTTATCATGACCATGGCAAGAGAAAATTTGAGTATGAAATGTGCGTTCACCTTTATAATACATTATCAAGGTGTCTCCAACCTCAATATCATTATCAGAGATGAATTCTTTCCAGCCTCCTTCGACATACATTCCAGTAATCATATTCCCACATTTAGTTCTTCTAATAACAATATCCCATGATGGACCATCACAACCTCGCAAGATATTACCTATTCCACACTGATTCCATAGTATATGATAAAAAAAAACAGGAATCTCCTGCATCATACCAGCCATCTAACAAGTTAGAAAGAAAAGCATCTAGATATAAATCAGTGTTAATAGGAATAGGTGCTAATACATACTGCCAAGTCCTTATTATCTTCTTCGATTTTTAGTATCCACTTCATGATGGCATCATCATAAGCCTTCAAACACAAAAAGAAAGTTGTTAGATTGTTTATTTTAAACGGATAAACTAAGATTGGTGTAACATACGCATACCATCTTTACGAAAGATAAGTTTTTAATTAGAATGCTAGATAATATGCTTTCTCAAATACCCGTCTATTCTTTATATATAGAATGTATGATAAGATTTATTCATAAGTTTTAATCAATAATTGAAATAGAGAGATTTGGGACCAAACCCTCATAAATTAAAACCTTTCACGTCTAGGGCGAAGGCAACTTCGAATATGGCTAGGTGTATCAAGATCTTGTGAATGCGGAATTTTGTATGAAAAAGCAAGAAAGAAAGAATGCTAAAAGATTAGGTGTATCAAGATCTTGTGAATGCGGAATTTTGTATGAAAAAGCAAGAAAGAAAGAATGCTAAAAGATTAACGTTATTGAGAATTGATGAAAGAAAGATGATGAATAAAGAGAATTGGATGAATTAGATGAATGATGAAGACTAAGGAAAATTGGTGAATGTTGGTGATTATTGATTGTAGATAAATCAAAACGAATTTTATTAAAACTTAAGAATAAAAGAAGTGGTGAATGATAGATGATAATCCGTCCTCCAAAACGGAGTTTTTGATACTATATTTATAGAGAAAATCAGCCAAAAAAGATAATTTATCAAAACAGAGTCTGAAGATCACATAAACAACTTGGCGCCAGGACCAGTGGCTAGCGCCAGGCGCCAATGGCTGGCGTCTGGCGCCAATCCTGGTTCCAGGCGCCAAGGCCTGGGGTTGGACGCCAAACCGGCTTTTAACACGTTTTCGAAAATCTGATAAAATTCCCGTACTGGAAGATAAAATAATATAATTCCAGTCGAAAATGCTATTCGATCTAATTAAAACTCTAAAGAATCCTAATTGAATTAAGAATGATAAGACCTTCTAGAATGTTCTAGAAGACCAAAACCATTCCTAATTACATTAGGAATGATAAATCATATTAGGCCCTCCTCTAGATCATTGGGCCGTAATTAAAACTCAAACCGGGCCCAGTTTAGTAAATTGGTCATAACTTCCTCAATATTCATCGGAATTGGGCTTATAATATATCATTGGAAAGGTCTTTGCAAGCCTCATCCAACTACACCACTATTGGACCCATATCATGGACCAACTAAACTGGATTGACTGTTTTCTTAAATTATCTGTTGTCAAAATATTTGTTTGTTTGTCCATACACAAATGAGACAAACAAAAATAATGTAACACGCTAACATTAGTACATAATTGAAAGTTAAACTAAACAATGCCGATTGTTTGAGTAGATTGTTTAAATTAGACCTGGCCTCAAAATCTCAAATATTTTAGCTATGGAAATTATGTAGGAAGACTGACCAGTTGTGCATCCAGGACTGAGATAAGGGTTACCCTGGTAACCTGGTTTACAGCTGCAACGGTACCCGGTATCAGTGCCGCCATAAACATCGGTGCAGGCGGTATTCTCCATGCAAGCATAACTGGACCTGGACCGATTCTGCTGAGCTTATCGGCACGTCTCATTAACACCAACATACCAATCCAGCACCACCGGAACATTCTCAGTTGTTCTATTGATAAACTCTGCGTTGCTACCATAAAGATCAGCCACGTTAAAGGTGTATTTGTCTACCTCGGCTTAGAAAGCAGCGCTACAGTAAAACACATCATTATTGGTGGTGTTTCCAACCTCGACCATAGGTTGTTCTATGATCATTACAATTTTCAGTCCTTTGTTTGGGATCTCCGATTGGCAGCAACCGTTCCCCAAACACGACGTATCATTCTGCTTAAGTATGTCCTCGGGACTGTAACAGCTAGTTACACAGCCACCCAAGTGGCCAAGTGTTAGTGTGGTTGATGCAACCATCATAGCCAAGTCATCATCGCAACCAATACCGATGAACTTGTTTGCAGTATCCGATACCACTAGCGGTAAGTTTGCTAGATTTATATGCTGTTCTTGGTTATTCATTATTGATTCTTCTACTACCTCCCGTGGTTGGTAGCATCTTGTGGCCAATTTATTCCTGATTCGCATCTGCCCGGTTTGGGATATATCTATGATCTCCAGGCGAGTATCATTATTGTCGAACAAGTATGGTTGTGGGGGATCGAAGGAGGTGTCACAATGTATGTTGTAGGGCGTACTAAGGGAACAACTTTTCTCTGAGTCGATGCCAAATGGGTACGGAATAGTTACCTTTCCGCACCCGGGTTTGGCTATGGGAATGCTGGCAAAGCGCATGGCAAAAAATGTATACCATAGCCTTATGAAGAAAGAGAAGGGAGATAAAGGTCGGACAATTTCCATCATTTTTAGCTTTAGATGTCACTTATGCTGGCAAAGCTATAAGTAGTTTTTAATATCACTAAACGATTTTTCAACTGAAGCACGCAAGTTGGGATAATTGAGATTATTGAATCAATTTGTTGATGCAGCTAGTATATAAGTGGCCTAATTAAGCTTGACATTTAGGTCGGACTTGGTTGCACAATAGTCCAACATTCGTTTTGTCCACTCAATATCAAGCAAGTTGCTGTGTTTTCTGTATTTGACGTGATCATCAGCTCGTTTACACATTGAGGAAATATTTTATGATGTTTGTGTGTGTGTTTTGAAGGGAATTGGGGGGCGACGTTTTCCACTTTTGTTTTGGAATAGAATGTCATGTCCCTGCAACTGTGGACTTTGGCTCATTCTAACTTCCACACAACAAACATTGACCTTTGTTTTTTGTTTTTCAATTACTACCTTTTCCTGGCCTTTTCATGTATGATTTTCTTTTTTTTTTTCTTTTTTTTTTTTTTTTGTTCTGAAGAAACAAATACTCCATTCGTATACATCATTTTTTTTGTACCACTCATAAGATTGCTCGTATCCATTAAATTTGTTTTTGCAAGTATTTTTATTAGAAAGTAATGTATATATGTAAATCAATTTTTATTTCTATTTTTTTTATAACATTTTGTGGTTGTATGTGAGCTATTAATTTAGGGGGGGGGGAAATATATATCATTAACTGAATCAAACTTGATGGGATATTGATATTGCTTGGTATATATGAGACAATTTTAGTGAGATTGATGAGGTATTTAAAACATGATGTAATTAATTAATGAGTAAGTTTTGCATCCGACAATGTAACACATGTATCATGCAAATGTGCTAGATGTTTGTTACTTTATATTATTTTTTTGTCCCATTTGACTTTTCACGAGAGTCTTCTTCTTTTTTTCTCTGCATCTTTGTCATCTTTAAAAATTGCCTAAAATTCCGTGTTTTTGCAAATGCTGCAATAATTAGATTTTGATATTGTGGACAAACGCAATACTTAGATTTTGTCAAGCACCTGGGCCTGGGTTCATTCAAACCTTGGGCTGTGCCTTGGGCTGAACATGAGAAGAATTCATCTGCCCATTGGGCTAGCAATGATAGTCAACTGATTTATTGACTTTTAATTTTGAATTAGATAAGGTCACCGGCATAAGTGATGAATCCTAAAAAAAAAATTGTTTTTAAAGTACCCACTAACAAGTTTTATTTTTTTATGAATCAATCTATTTTAATAATGCAATTACAAATTTAAAAGGCACTATCATTAGCCATGAACTATTTAAAAATGCATGCCACAATTATAAAGAGGAGTCAACAACAGCAATTGCACTAGCTGTTTCAGTTTGGTTTGAGAAACAGCTCAAAATACTGAACTACTCTCTCACTACTCAGATAGAGATATCAACATACAGGCCGGATTCATGGGAGTTTGGTCATCAAAACCTCGGGCCGAAGGCGACGTACGTAGCCAAGAGAGTGACAATGGTAGCGCTAGATTCTGTAAGTTTAATTTGTTCTTTTCCGCATGCAGATTTCTTATCCCATAATCAGTGTGAATGCAATCAGAATTAGTTTTATTTGATTTGGAATTTGACTTTCAACTACATGTATTGTTTTGCTGCTTCACTAGTCTCAACCATCAATTTTTTCTTAACTTAGTACTCAAAATTAAACGATCTCATTCTAGCTTATTATCCAGTTATTACATACAGACATATGTATCAAATTTTTATGAACCTAAGAAAGAAGAATTTGATGTCATGTTCAATAATATAAATTTGCGAAATTAATTCTTTGTTAAAATGTACATTATTGATTCCTTATAAAGTCAAAGGCAATTAATCAATTAACCAATGGAGAGGATCGGGAAGGCATCACAAATCCATTAATTTCACGTTTCATCAATAATGCATGTAGTAGTTAATATTTTTATGCATCGTTATTGACTTGATTAACCAGGAGAATGAATTATGCCGGAAAAGAAATTTCTTACAAGTTCTAAGAAACGAAATAATGTTAAATTATGCCGGAAAATACATAAATAAAAATATGTATTAATTACCTATGCTCCTTTTGTTTTCTATGCTTTTCCAACACTAAAAAAAAATAATAATAAAAATAAAAAAAAATAATGTGAATTAAAGATTCTAAATTTACCAATAAAAATAAAATAGATCATGTAGTTAGTGATACTTATACGTAAATACCCATTTAAATTAAAATGGTTATTAAAAGTTGATTTTTTTTTTTTTTTTTTTTTTTTTGAAAACTTGTTAAAAGTTGATTGAATGCTGAGAATTAGATTGAAGTAGCTAGATAGGTGTTTAGTGAAACTAACTATTAAATAAATACTCAAACAATGCAAAAATTACATGAAAAAATATGGGGAATATTTTCCTTGACTTTCTCATTGATTGAACGTATCAATATATACACATTACAAGCATTCCTCTAGGCTATAATCTAGGAGAGGAATAAGGAAACTAACTCCAACAGAGGAGAGGAATAAGGAAACAAGTACAACAGAATATATTTACATATATATCTCTTAACATTACATATAATTCTAATGTATCAACTAATATGATCGACAAGACTATAATAGGTACCTTAGCTTTGTGTAGCACTTCTAACTGTTCCAAGTTCGAATTAATAAGCTTGTCAAATAGTGTATGCAATGTCTTGGTCAATTTTAAATATGAAGTATATGCTATATTTGATTTTTTCAAATCACAACTCCAGATCGACGCCCAAGAGGGCGAGTGGAGAACAAGTTGAAGGATCTTGGAGGTTACTTGCCATTATACAAAGCCGTGGTTAAAGGTGAGTGGAATGAAGCCAGGAAATTTTTGGACGACGATCCTGAGGCATTGACAGCTAAGATCACCATAGCCTCAGAAACAGTACTCCACATCGCGGTTGGCACTGGGAAAGATCTTGAATTTGTGGATAAACTGATAAAGAGGATGTCCCCTGAAGATTTGGCACTCACTGATCAAAATGGGGAGACTGCCCTTTCAGTAGCTGCAGTGGTTGGCAACATTCGAGCAGCTAAATTATTGGTTAGCAAAAATCCCGATTTGCCTAATATTTCAGGCAAATCAGGCTTGCCTATTCATAGGGCAGCACAGTATGGCCAAGAAACAATGACCCGGTATTTGTTGGATGTTACTAGAGATGACATTGAGTCGAGTCCTTTTGCAGGCGAATCTGGTGGTAAACTCCTCATTGACATTATTACTGCTGAATTTTTTGGTGAGTTCATCAAATAATATTGAAATTTCTTTGATTATTTACTGTCAGTCCACATATACAAGTATAAAAGGTTTAATGTTTTGTAATATGCTTAATTATGAAATGTTGGGACAATTTAACAAGTATTTTCATTTGAGCAAGAGTATTTAACAAATAACAATGCCCATAAAATTCTATGGATGAGTTGAAAATGATTTTTAATTATTTGATCTTTATGAGTTTAATCAGGCATTGCTCTGTATTTGGTTGGACGGTACCCGGAGATGGCCACAGCTGAGGTACATGGTGTAGGTTCACCCTTGTCTGTGCTAGCCAGAAAGTCTAATGCTTTCCCCAGTGGTGCTGTTTCACGTTGGCATTTACTATTCGATTATCATGGTATACATGCTATTCTATTCAAATTTTAGCCTTACTGTTAACAACATATTCTAGATTCATTTTCCAACTATTAGAATATTTCAGAAATAATTAGCAACAGAGTATTCTTAATTAAATAGCTATTTACATAATTTTATGTATGTATTAATATTAAGCACTGCTATTTTGTTGTTGTTGCAGTTAAATTTCTTCAACAAATCCAACAAAGAGCACAAATGCAACATAACGCACTTGAGCTAGTAAAAAGCTTGTGTACGGAGATACTAGAGTTAGATGATGCCAAAGCCTTCTCTTTACTTCAACAACCACTTCTGATCGCCGCGAGGTTAGGCACTCATGAAATCATAGAAGAGATTGTAGAGGCATTTCCCCCAGCAATTTGGGCTTCAGATGAGGAGAATCACAACGTTTTTCAGTTAGCTGTCTTACATCGCCGAGAAAATGTTTTCAATCTTATATATCAAATGAGTGATTACAAGCATCTAATTACAAGATATATAGATCACCCACATGATAATAACATATTACATTTGGCCGGTCAATTACCATCTTCAGACCGGCTTAACCTTGTCTCAGGCCCAGCTTTACAAGTTCAACGAGAGTTGCAATGGTTTAAGGTTTGCTTGCTGATTCTTCTACCACTTTAGTTCCAGTATTTTACTGAATTGGTACAACAAAAGGCACAAAAGCTAATCATAATTATAATGCATATTTGTATATGTTTTTAGGAAGTGAAGAAGTTTGTGCAACCGGGTCAAAAAGAGGCGATAAATAAAGATGGAAAAACCCCATGGATGGTCTTCAGGGAGGCACACCAACAACTGATGAAAGACGGGGAAGCATGGATGAAGACTACAGCACAATCATGTACAGTTGCCGCGACACTGATTGCAACAGTAGCGTTCAATGCAGGACTACATATACCTGGAGGTAATAACAACCAAGACGGCCAACCCCTATATTCTTACAAACCTGCCTTTGGTGCATTTGCTGTGGCAGACGCGATTTCCCTTTTCTCTTCAGTCACTTCCATCCTTATGTTTCTGTCAATCCTAACATCACGTTACTCAGAAGATGACTTCAGAATTGCACTGCCAAGAGGGTTGGTTGTTGGATTGAGCATGCTTTTTATTTCCATATTAAGCATGATGATAGCCTTCAGCTCAGCAATCTACCTTGTGTTCGGTCTTGAGAGGGCTAGGACCGTGATTCCTGTGGGTTCGGTTCTTGTGCTGCCAGTCACCTTGTATGTGTTATTGCCCCCTCTATATCAAATAATTTTCAAGTCCAAAATTATTGGTCCTGGCATTTTTGGCAAGCAAAGCACCCGCATACTTCACTAAGTAATTCCATACCATTTAGTTAATGTTGCATCACCAAGCTAAGAATGGAAAGTGCCAAACCTTGTGATCTAATATATCTTGTAATTTTAACGTTCATATTTGTCATACCGTATTTGTAAATTTTTTTGAAAATTTTGATATTATGAAGTAATCTAAAATGATTCTAACATATTACATATGAAAACATTATTCGTCCTTTTTAAATTGCATTCGTTGAGATTTTTATGCTTGTCAATACACATTTTATATCATTAACATCTTTAATTACACGTTGGTGGTTATTATAAAAAATTAATTCTGTAAATATATATATCGAGATAAATCTAACAAGATCCTACATGACTACGGTTATCATAGTTTATAGATCACAAAATACAATAAGGAGTGTATGAATAGCGCAAAATTTCAAAAATTGCGATTACAAAAATAAAGGAGGAACTGTAAATTAGGAAATACAGTCAAATTTTTAAAGTTTAGCCAAATGAATAGTGGGTGGGAAGACCAAAGAAAAACGTATTATACATAGTACAATTTTTTTTTTTTTTTGAAGCAAATACATAGTACAATTTTCTTTACTAACACATATCACTATTATAAATTTATAATACTCTTCCTATGTCTTTGGAATTATCTACCCGTTATGTAGTTATATACTCACACTTACTATAATTCTTATTGGAGAACATCTTGGGAAGTCTTCTTATTAGTCTTGACTTTCACTGAGATATAAAAAAGTCAACTCTTCCTTAATCAATTAAGATTCTCAATCATAGGGTATTCACACAGCTATCTCCATGTTTTTTCTCACAATTCCAACTATGAAGGTCATGCTTATTGGATCCAGCTAGCTTCTGGGTGAGACAAAGTAAACATCCAGCTAGTTAGAGAGAATTTCAACTAGGAATTCGTCTTAGATTTTCGCTATTGATTTGATTGTATATTTGTATATGTAGTGTAATAATGTCCTAAAAGTAAAAATTGGACGGCCTTAATAATATCGGCACGACCCAAAGAGTAAGAGTTGTGAATCGTGAGGGTGGGCTGGTGGAGATGGCTGAATCCGCGGTGTCCTTTGCTGCAGAACACATCGATACTCTGATTCTTGAAGATTCCAAGGCTTTATATGATGTGGAATCTGAAGCAAAAAACCTGCACAAAGAGCTGAGGAAATTGGAGGAGTTCCTTGATTCAGTAAGAAACAAGGAACCGAGAAACATTGAGCAGGTTCGGTCCTCACTGGCTGATCTTGGAAGGATTGCTTATAATGCTGAGGATGTTGTGGATACGTTTGTATCCGAAACAGAAGGCAAGGTATTTAGAAGCCTGATGCCACGCGGTCTCTTCAAGTCCTCTCGGGTTCAACAGGCCTCCAACAAGATCCAGATGCTCCTAGAGGAGATGAAAGAGGTAAAGACCAAGTTGAAAGATCAGTATGATCATGAGCGTGGTGAAGGATCGTCGAATACCCCAAAGAAGAAGTTGAGGGAGGCACAAGTCCATGGTGCTCTGGCATTCCAGCAGGCTCATCTCCAAGCTGACAATGAATTTGTCGTTGGCATTGATGATGATGTGAATAGGCTGATTAAGTTATTAGTCGGGAAATTGGATGAGCATGCCCAGAGTCGCAGTCAGGCTAGCTCGGAGCCAGTTGATGTGCTTGCCATTGTAGGAATGGGTGGTTCTGGCAAAACTACTATTGCTAGGAACATTTACAAACACCAGAAGATCAGTAAGCATTTCAAGAAACAGGCATGGGTACCGCTCTCTAAAGAATGGGAGTGGAACTCATATCATGAGAAAGTGCTAATGTCCGAACTTCTTAGACAATTGGGAGGCAGTGGAACTGGAAATAAACTCCTTGGAGGCGTTGCTTCCACAATAATTTCTGGTCATCAAAATCAACCAAACGATGAGTCCACTGAAGTCTTTAAGTTGACCAAATCACGGCTCCAATATCTACTGAGCAACGAAAAATGCCTAGTAGTGTTGGACGATGTATGGCACTGGGAATATTTCCAGAAGATCCTCCACAACTTGTTGATCAGTGATGAGGATGAATCTTCTAGTGTCTTTACTACCGCTGGCACCAAGATAGTAATCACTACTCGACAGCATCTGCAGCTCTCTGCAGACATCAACTTGAAATGGCAATGCCATTACACACGATTCCTCAGCGATGAGGACAGCTGGAAGCTGTTTAACGAGATGACTAAAAGCAACGAAAGAGAGCTAGCTAAGGAGCACCGGGGATTGGCTATGGAGATGCTAGGGACATGCAAAGGTCTGCCATTAGCTATAGTGGCATTAGGCAGACTCCTTAAGCTAAAGGACACTATCCAAGAATGGGAAAGGGTGTTTTCCCGCTTAGACAGCGAAGAGGGCATGCATCTATACAGGCCAGTAAATGATATCTTGGCCTTAAGCTATGATGAGCTGCCATATTACTTAAAGCCATGCTTTTTATACTTGGGACTCCTAGCAGAAGATTCCACCATCTCTGCAGGGTCACTGAAGAGAATGTGGATTGCTGAAGGATTTGTTAAACGGCAAACAAAAATCAACGAAACGCCTGAAGATGCTGCAAATCGACTCTTGCAGGAACTAGTAGAGCACACAATGGTTCAAGTTGTGACCAAAACTTATGCTGGAAAAGTCAAGACTCTTCGGGTTCATGATATAATGAGGGACCTTTGTATCCTGAAAGCCCATGAGCTAGACTTCCTCACCATTTTTGCTTCAGATGCTGATCAAGGCACCGGGACTCATTCATCACGCCGAGCTGCAATCGACTTCAGGTATGTATACATTTTTCTGCCTTTCTTTTCCACCTCGGGTCATATATGGTAATTAAACAATAACTAGAGATAACGAAGTAGTGGTGACTGGTGAACCCCAAAAAGGAGTAAGGAAGGAGATCCTAATCGAATTTCTCAAGCAATCTAAAAGGTATTTTTACATTAAGAATTGTAACAAATAAAATGTGCATTGCCAATAACTTCAGATTAATTACTGCATCATTTCTACTTCTTTACAAGCTTCATGACCAATTTATGGGATCGCATACGGTTTCATGATCAAATAAACTAGATATGTTATGGGCATTGAAGTTCATACAATGCAAGATATTAGATGTATAATTTTGACCGTTTCACACTAGTTTACTGTGGTTCATTTAAAAAATCACCTCTTAAGATTATTACCATCAACAACAAAAGTCACTCAATCTCACAGTAAGTAATCATTGTGAGACTTCCTCATACAAAATTTTGTGTTGAAGTTATTGCAGTTATTTGCAATATTATAAGTACACAAGTATACAAAGTCTCTGAACTAGTCAATTCAGAAGCATTTGCTTACGAACCAGGAAATTTCGAGGAAATAGCACACTAAAAGGAATGACCTTAGTTGCCTGCATTATTTTACTGTTGTTTGCTAGTCCATTGTGAAAATTAGTCTGTTAGGCTGTATAAATAATTATGGAATGTGTACGCATTAGATTCTCGCCCCTCAATTCTAAATAAGTACAAGTGACTATAGAAGATTAATTAGTATCTGATTTTAATAGTTTAACATAGTACTTATTTATTTCTACTTGCACAATTAGTCTACATCATAAGATATATCCTGATGATGACAGGTTGTACGAGTTGTCTGACTTTTTCAATTCTTATCTTCGTGATTTCTATTACCTCTTAAAATGTGACCATAAACTATAAAAACAAATAATAAGTAAATAAATAATAAAACTAATACTTCATACAATCACACATCATTTATACAGTTACCTTAATCAAACTTACAGGAGGCTGAGACACTTCTGATTTAACACTGCAATAAGTGCAGTGGACACTTTACGATGTTCTTACATTGCTTCCCTTCTCCATGCACCTGCCAGTCCTGCACAAATATATTCAAGACTTTGTTATTGTTCACAATTCCTTCAAATATTATAAGTTCTATAATATACAGGATATTCTATGACTGAAACTAATTTATTTATGTACATATGTCCATGCAGCAAATGTTCCAAACCACTTTCAGCAGATAACTCTCATCTTAGATCATTGCTGCTTTTTGCACAATCCAGTGCTGGTGTTGGAGTTGGCAAACATGTTAGTAGAGTGAGCCAGCAAGGTAAATTGGACCTGGCCTTAGTATGCGAAAAGTTCAAATTGCTAAGGGTCTTGGATATCATTGGAGTTAAAGCCTTGGATAGCACCATGCCAAAAGAAATAGGCAACTTGATTCACTTAAGGTATCTAAGGGTAAGATCAACAAACATACGAGAACTCCCCAAGTCTATTGGGAAATTGCGGAAGTTGTTGACCTTAGATTATTGGGATATATCAGCTCATAATAATGAAGTAATAATACCTAATGTCTTGTCAAAGTTGGAGTGTCTTCGACATCTTTTCCTTCCGGGTGATTCAACAAGTAACACATTGGAGGACTTGAAGTTGGATACTCTCGAGGAGCTACAAACGTTATGGGGTGTAAAAGGAGGAAATTGGATACTAAAAGAAATTAAAAACTTGAGCTCCAATCTTAAAAAGCTATGTATACAAGGGATATCAAGTCTTGAACAATTAGAGGCAGTGTTCAACTGCCCTGTGATCAAGACATATGATCATCTCTATGCCTTGGCTTTGGATTGGTATGGGCAGTATAGCTTCTCATTGGAGTTGCCTCTAAAAGCGTTGTCTTCAAAGGAGAACCTGAAAAAACTCAAGTTGATGGGAAGAGCACCAGATAGGTCAAACCCAATTAAGTTTCCCTCTAGCCTTGGAAAAATAGAACTGCACTTCACTCAGCTTGAGGAGGAGGAAACTATGGATGCTTTAGGAAAGCTGCGTAACTTAAAGTTCCTACGATTAGCCAAGGACTCGTACATAGGGAGTGAATGGATTTGTAAGGAAGACTCGTTCCCAGCACTTGAGGAATTGAAATTATCTAATTTGCCGAAGTTAAAAATATGGGATATGAAAAGGAGGACAATGCAATGTCTTAAAAAGATGTTAATATCCTCTTGTGCTGGTCTAGAAAGAATGCCAAAAGAAGTGAAGTTCATAAGTACTATTGAAACCTTGGAGATAGCACGCATGCCAACTGAATTCAACAGTAGATTCAGAAAGGCTAAATCATGGGATTCAACTAGTATTGGAGGCGAAGATTTCCACATAGTTCAGCACATCCCTAACATTAGAATTCGAGATTCATGTGCCCCATTGTTGTTCTAGCTCATACCCCAACAAGTAAGTTTCATGGAATAAAAGTTTCTCTTTGGAAAAAAAATACAGATTTCTGGTATAATCAATCATATTGCTAATATTGAGTTCAAATGTACTAAGTTGAAACAAAGTAAAACCACAAAAAGGAAACAACATTCACAGTACAGGGGGTGGCCAAAGCCTATGCCGGCCATCCCCTGGCCCTGGTGTTGTCCCTGCAGCTAGTAATAGTTGCAACCAAGAGTATCTGGTCTTTGTCACTTCCTCTGTCTCAAAAAAATTTGCAATACTTTGACCAAAAAGCTCTCATATTATTAGTCAAAGTGTTGCAATTTTTTTTGAAATGGAGGAAATATATTACGATCTTCATTGATACAGAACATCATTTTAAAACATAACAATCATTGGAGAAACAAGTCAGAACTGCAAAGTTTAGGTATTTTGAAATGTTTTACTCAATTTTACATAGAAACACAATGAATATATTGCTAATTCACATTATTTGAATCTGACATTATCCCTTATCACTGACTGACAATGTTCTGTTTCAGGAAGTAAAGAACTAGAGATTCTGGAGCATTAAGAATTTATGAGACAGCTACTTGTCATGCAGAATGTTGGACAATTGGAGGGCAAACTATTTCAACTCATTTGATAGGAGGTAAAATTGAGGTGACTAATGGTAATGAATTGATACATAATTTGGCAAGGAAAGTCTCTGACAATGCTCATGGTAATACAACTCCACCTGTAGCTGTGAAATAATCTTCATAACTTCTCATTACCTCTAAAAGTGGTACAGTAGGAAGTGACGGATTAAAAAAAATATATATATCTTCCTATTTCCTACAGCCAGAGTTGCATTACCATGGACATTTACATAGAATTTTCCTCACCAAATTACATACAATTTCATTACCATTTCCTGCCGCCTACAAGAAGAACCATAAGCTACTAATGAAGTTAAGTAATGTTCCTCCTGAGTCCTAACTGAAAAAACTAGATCGGAAGGACTTCATGAGTTCTTGCATGGGTACTACTCATGCAGATCGAATGGGATTCATTGAAAGAAAATTTGAGAAATGTTCATGGCTACCATTCAACCGTTGAATTGAAGAAAATTGACTATAGTATCAGCATGATTGGCTAGTTCATCTTATCGATAACAAATTTCAAATTGGAAGTATTCAGTCTTATACATACATCCTCTTAGTTTGAATTTTAATTTTGGCGTATTTACGTATTTAATTTTAAGGAAGCCAAGTCTTCTGCGATAATAGTTGTGTTGTTTTTTATTTATTTTTTTATTTTAAAGCTCCTAAGTTACTTGGGTTGTAAATAGGTTTGTAACTTTGTAAGACATGTCAAGTTTGTCCAGTTTGATTAATAAAGATGAAAGTTTTGAATGTATCATCTGTTAAAGACCCCTTTTCAAGGTGCTTAACTATATCCTCATTCAATTGCTCATACTGCATGCTCACTGCATAATCCTCCTCATAGGCTATTAAGCCTTTTTTTTTGTGCTACAAGTCCATAAAATTTCACCCTACCCTAGAATTGAAAGAGTAAGCCCATAAACTTATATGTTAGTCATTTTCACTCCTTTTCATCAACGTTTGACAATTTACATATGAATTTTTCTCTGTAACATAATTAATGATCTAAGTTCATAATCAGAAATTGTGGAACATTATATTATGAAAGGGATAACATATTACTTCCTTCACTTACATAAAGTTACAATACTTGACTTTTATGTTCATTAATACACAAATCTGACAATTAACATCTTTAATTATCTAATTTTGTAGTAAAAAAAATTAAAAGGAGATGAGTCAGTAGACTTTTCCTCCATGTGTAGATTTTGTACATGTGACTACACTATATATATTACGAGTGATTATTAGAGTAATAGTACATATTCTAATATCTTAATTATATACGAAGTATAAATATAGGAATGTATAACAAAAAAAAACTTATTATACTTAATATTTTTATTTTTACTTACAAAAATCACATGTTGATCAGTCTATACCATTTTGCTAATTATTATATGCTTCACTAATTATCCACTTATATAAGTCATTCTGTCTCTGGGAAATCTGACATACAGAATTGAAGATTGAAGAACTCTCTAAAACACAGCACATAGGAAGACAATTACGGTACACCTAGGCCATGTGAAATGATTCATGGAGCTTTCTTTCTCAAATGGAATATAATACTATAATAGTAATAGACTTTGTTAATCAGATGGATTAAGACTTAGTAAACAACTAATCATCAATCAGATTAGTCAATCTTGATAAATGTGCCTCCTTGTAATGAGAAGACAACCCGTCTGAATAATAATTTAAAAACTCTTTTTAATAATGAGGGTACCAAATTTCTTATTACAGTTTGTAGTGTACTTTCACCAATCATCTTCAAGTTTAAAGTATGTGTATACTAACTTATGTTACTTAATCTCTCTATTTCACATGAATACCCAAGTCGAATTTTCAACCCTTTAACATGAATACGAACACACTTTAATTTTCATTTTGGCCTACAATCATGGAAAACTTCTTTCACAAATTAAAATAGTCGAGTTGACCACTTCAATATATAATCGTGCCTAACATGTGTACCTAAGTCCGAATATTACAAATGGGCACTTTTTTTAATTAATAACAGCATCAAGTTCGGTTATTGTAGTTATGATGGCATCATAATTAAACATGCATCTTAACAATTATAACAGAAAGTTGAGAATTCTCACCAGTTGCCACAAACTAACCAACAAGCGGAGACCTAACCTTGCAGCCACTAAATTTTGCCAGCCAATTCCACCCTGAAATAGAGCAATTGAAAAGAAAGTCAATACGTCTTTTGAATCATATATGCGATTATAGAACTATATTATGCACGTTTAAAATAATTTATACTGACAAACAAATTGTAAATAATGGAATCAAAACCATTTGATCTGTGAATTAGATTTGATTTTTTTTTTTTTTTTTTTGGGTAATAGTACCTTCGTCTTTTCAAAGTTTTAATGTACTTTTTTTTTTCACAATGGAAGATTTTAACCCAAAAAAGGAATGGTGAAATAATTTTAAAATCGTCATACAGAAAACAAAATTTAAAAAATATTACAGGAAATACAAATAATATTGGAGAAGTGATTTGATTCCTTGTCTAACAGTACCAATTAGTGGGCTGCATGAAACATTCGTTAAAACGACTTTGAAACTTGAAAGACATAAACATAACATTCTAAATTATTTTCAGTTTCTAAACCTCCTGTACTGTACAATCAATATTCCAACACTACCTTCATATCAGAAAACCAAAGAATGGCAGCTGAAGGAGTCATATTGGAGAACCTTGAAAGAAACTTGAGCCGCGAGCAGAATCAGTGGCTACTCCCATCAATGAGACTGGTGAATTTGAAAGAGTCACTGGAGATGATAAAAGGTGCAGTGGCAGCACTGGATGTGGATGAGGATCATTCCATTCGCGGCAACCTGAAGAATCTAGTGGCTCTGCTTCATCAAGCTGATGACCTCCTTGATGAAATTCTTACTAGGACTAATGATAGAAGCTTTCCTAGAGATGAAGATCAGAATGGAAATCGGGTGGAAAATCTCAGACGCGGCTTGCAGAGAGTGGTCAATGCCAGTAACAGAGTTGCACAACAGGTCAGTCTTTTATTCCCCTTTTCCAACAGACTTTTAATAGTGGCTAGACGAGTTGAGAAGATAGGCCAAGAAATTAAAAGTCGTGGGATGCAAATGCTAAACAATTTCGACTCAAATGACCGTCTTGAAAGGCCATTTGAGCCTCCCCAGTACACTTACAGTCTCACTAGGAGCAGAGTGATAGGGAGGGACACTGAAAAACAGAAAATCATAGAGATGCTGCTGCGACCACTTAAAAAAGATGAAACCGGCGTCTCTGTCATCCCTATAGTTGGGCCACCAGGGATAGGGAAGTCGGCTTTGGCACAGTTTGTTTATGACGATGAAAAGGTTAAAGGCTATTTCGACTTAAGGATGTGGATTCAAGTTTCACATATATCTGACGAAAAAGAAATCATTCAAGAAATTGTAGAATCTTGTACAAATAGGACTATTAATAAGCAAAATTCTAAACCTGCAAAACATCTGCATTCCCGTGTTCATCGAAATGGGTTGACATTTCGTGATCTTCTGGGATGTCAAAGTATTGATACTTCTCAGACTCCTAGTCCTGGCTATAGTGAAAGTAAGAATAGAACAAACATCCACGAGCGCCGACTTCAGAGAGAGATTGAGGGGAAACTCTATTTGCTCATCCTAGATGATGCTTGTATCACACATGGACAGCGCTTGAAAGACTTATTAGCTAAAGGTGCAAGAGGGAGTCGGATTTTGGTGACTACACGCTCTACTGCAGTAGCAAATTATGCAAAAACTGGAGTTTATGGGTCTTATGAATTAGGGGGCTTGTCACAAGATTTTTCTTGGTCCTTGTTTGAAAATTTTGCTCTAGGACAAGAAAACCAAAGGGATACTGAACAAGGAAATGAAAGAGATCCTGTGATGGAGAAGATAGGTCGTGCAATTGCCGAAAATTGTGGAGGTGTTCCACTTACCATAAAAGTTGCAGCAAGCCTTCTTTATGGAAAAAATAAGGAGAAATGGTCATCTTTCAACAGCCAATTGACATTCAGTGCAAATCAAGAAGAAGACATCATGCAGCATGTCTTGCATTTCAGCTACAGTGATCTTCCAACTCGTCTGAAAGCTTGTTTTGGCTATTGCTCCTTGTTTCCTGATGATTTTACATTCAACAAGCAAGATTTACTTAGTCTCTGGATAGCACAAGGGTTCATTAACCCACAGCATGGTCGAAGTTTAGAGAAAGCAGCAGATAAATACTTCCTGGAATTATCACGGCGCTGCTTCTTTGAGGATGTGATCACAGATGATTTGGGGAACATAATCACCTGTAAGATGCATCACATTTTGCGCACCCTGGCATGTAAATATTCAGCAGGGATCGTGAGCTTGTGCATAACCGATAATTCAGAGCTTAATCTGGATGCGACATGCAAACATGTCTCTTTCACTTGTGATGGAGATTCATTGAGCAAAATCTCATCAACCAAGCTCGAATCTAAAACCTTACGGACCCTTCTTTCAGTCAACGAACCAGATTCTGACACAAGGATAGGTCCATTAGTATGCAATACGTTGATCTCTAGTTTTACTTGCCTCAGGGTTTTAGACTTGAATAATCTTGGGATAGTGGATTTGCCAGGTTCTATCGGCAAGCTGATCCATCTGAGATACCTGGATCTCTCCAAGAATGATGGTCTGGTTGCTCTCCCAAAGTCCGTCACAGACCTGCACAACTTGCATACACTGAAACTTAACTCCTGCACAAAGTTGAGAAGGTTACCATGCAACTTTGGGGAACTGGTAAATCTTGGCCGTTTTGAGATTGATGAGTGTGATAATTTGACTTGCATGCCTCTTGGTTTGGAGAAACTAACTCAGATTGAAACACTGAGTCGATTTATAGTCGGTGAGGATTTTTCCAAAGACATGGCTGGGCTAAAAGCTCTTCAAGATCTCAACAACCTCAGAGGTCGGCTGGCTATTGAATTTACAGGAGTTTCGGAAAACATTATATCTGAAGCCTCACAAGCAGAGTTAAGCAGCAAAACGCATCTAAGGGAATTAAAGCTCAGCTGGGCAAAAACTGTCTCAAATGTGGAGATAGTGTCGCATAACCTATCCGAAGAAGAAAGAATTCCTTACGAGCAGCTTCTTCAGAATCTCCGTCCAAACTCAGAGCTCCAAATACTCTGTATAGAAGGGTACAAAGGGGGGGACTTTCCAAACTGGGCAGGGGTGAATGGATTGGCTACTTCTCTCCCAAATTTAGTTGTTATCAGCATTGAAGGATGTGAAAAATGCGAGCATCTTCCACCATTTGATGAACTTCCTTCCCTCAAACGACTCACCCTTAGACACATGGCCAATGTACGATATGTGGAAAGAGAAGCGTCAGTAGATTCTCCATTCTTCCCATCCCTGGAAGAACTTACCCTCCACAATTTTTACAAGCTGGAGGGTTGGCGGAAAGAAGTGACTATTTTACCAGATTCGATCATTCCCTTAACCACATCAAGGCAGCAAGAACCAATTCGATCATTCCCCCATCTTTCCAAATTGATGATATGGAACTGCCCTAATCTGATATCTATGCCTTTGTTCATGAAGGTTTTAGACCTTAACCTATGCAATGTCAATCAGATGCTTCTAGAAGAATGTGCAAAGAAGGCAGTTCGACAGGTTGGGAAAAACTCCAGCATCAGATACCTGCAAATTAAGGGTTGTCCGAACCTGAAGAGCTTTGATGCGGTCAGACAAGGGTTAGGAAACCTTCCTTGCCTAAAACATCTTGTGGTTGAGAGGTGTCATGCACTAAGTTTGCTAGCCTCGGAGCTGAAGCATCTATCCTCTCTAGAGAGGTTGGAGATTTCCAGCTGCAGAGAACTCAATCTCTCTGACAATGGAGCTAGTAGCACGGGCAACTTTAATACCCAAATATGGATTCCAGGCAGAATAGTTCATCACTTGCGTGGAAGCTTAAGAAGTCCATGGACATCATTAAAATGCCTTCGCCATTTAACCCTTCGGGAAATCCCAAAGATGGAGAGACTCCCAGAGGGGCTGAAGCACGTCCAAAGTCTCAGATCACTGTGGATATCAGCATGCCCTGCCTTGAAAGAACTGCCAGAGTGGATTGGTACTCTGACGGCACTTCAGCACCTTCGTATTGAAAGCTGCCGGCAACTAACAAGACTACCAGAAGGGCTACAGCACGTAATATCTCTAATGAAAGTGGAGATAACCGAGTGTCCAGAACTGATGGAGCGCTGCAAAGAACACACGGGGGAAGACTGGTACAAGATCAAACATGCTCAGGTTTTGCTCCACAAATCATGGCGCTATGGACTCATGTCAGAGCTAGAAGCCTCAAAAAACAGATCTAATGTACGGACACTCACTGATGTGAAGTACTTCATCGTTCCCTTGATAGCAGCAGGTATATGATGATTCAAACTAGTATACTGTGTTCTCAAATTTCACTTTCACAATTCCCTTTAGCTCTTTCTTAGATTTTTTAAAAAAAAATCCTTTTGGTTTCTTTGTTTTAGAGATTTAACTTCAATTCTTTTACAGAAGCCTTGATCTGATATTTCATTACAAATTAAATGCAAAGACTCCACACTGTAATACATACAAGCATTCGCAGACGGTATAAAATATACTACTTGAGGCTTTCGGAGCCATAGCAACAAAAGAGCACAAAATTCATTACCAAAACTCAAATTATGTTATTATGATGTAATGAAAGTTATTGATTTGTGTACATATTACTCAACTACTTGTTATCATGATGTAATGAATTTACAGAATTGATTTGTGTACATATTATGTTGACAGCAAAATTAGTAGAAAAATAACCATAATCGCAAACACATTAAGTTTACCAACAAAATTAATTACCAAAACACAAATTGTTCAATACTACACGACATGAACACCATTAAACAATCAATTGCAATAATCAAAGCCAAATTATAATATTAGGGTTTATGAATCAAAAATTGGGGGTTTCACATTATCTAATTCACTGGTAATAAAAAATGGAGAAATATTTCAGAGCATTGTAAAAGTAAAATACTGTACTTTACCTTCCATGAAGTTATTTGTCTTGTTTAATTGCAAAAATCAAGTTGCCATCCATTATAGTTGACGCATAAAACAGTTGGTGAGGCGGGTGATGTATGATTAGATGAAAGTGATGGTGGTAGGTGGATTTGGATTGAGCGGTGGAGATGAGGAGAATTGCTGGTGCTAAAGGTAAAGAAGAGTTTCTAAACAGGTGCTCAAAATTCTATAGTACACGTCGTATATTGCCTAACTTGCCTAGTGCCTACAACTCTACAAGGCTACAACTAAGAGAAAATACAATTTCATTTTTGTGATAATTAAAAAAGCGTTTATTTAGGACTCCCTTCGTTTCATAATATTAATGTCATATGAAATCAATCACGTAAAGTATGGAAAATAAATATATTTGAAATCTAACATTAAAGTACACATAATTCATAAATAGTTTACCTTATTTAAATTTTTTAATTTTTTATTAGAAAAACACGAGTCATAATTGCATAATTTAAAGTAAATATTTCCTTACTTAGAGTCATGTCATCAACCCACAACCAATTTATTCCAAAAAAATCAAGTTATAAATTAAATATATTCAATATGAGTAAATCTTTTTGAAACGCTCAAATAATATATGGGACGAACGTTATGAAACGAAGGGAGTAGCTTTATAGTAAACAAATTAACAACTTTTTTTTTAAATGCAGGTTTAATAAGTACGAAGTATTATTTATTTACAAAAATGTCATGTTGAATGAGATATTTTGTTGATTTATATACTAGATAAACAAATTTTGTTTTTCTTGAAAATTATTGAGGGTCAGATGAGTTTAGTGCAGGAAAAAAAGTTTTAATAAAGATTGCCCAAATTCAAATTAAAACTAAAATAAGTTTTAATAAGGTCGGATAAGTTCAGGTAAGTAAAGGGGCTCCCTCTAAACCAATATTAAAGCTAATTAACTATATTATTTATTTTTTTTGTATTTTTTATTTTTAATATGGATAAACTTTAGCTCAGATGATGAATTGATGTTATATTGAGTTATCAGAGGATCTATCTATTTTAGTATTTTACCACAAATTTATTTAAGACATTAGAATGATTGTTACCTGCGTTTCATAATAAGCGTAATATTTTGACGAACATATGTGTTAATGCACAACTTAATCATTAATATTTGTAATTATATATGGTATTAGTTTCTTTGTTTCTTTTAAGTTGACAAATTCAATTCTTTTTGTCACGTTTTCTTATGCGCAAATTCAACTATTACTCCATCGATCCGTCCTATAACACATGAGACGTTGGACTTTTTTTACTATTCATTCATTAACTTTGACAATAATTTTTTACTAACATAATAAAAACATATTTTATCATAAAATAATGTTGTTAGATAGGTCTTAATATAAGGTCATAATATAATTTTTGACATAATTTTCATTAATATTTAATTATATAAAAATAAAGTCAAACTAGTGCATTGGCGAGTAAGTATTACCCACTACCATCGTATGGGTAATACTACCCAATACCAGGGCCGTAGCAAGGGGAGGGCAGCTGGGGCGGCTGCCCTGGGCCCCTTGTTAAAAAGCCCAGTTTCAATACAATACAAGGCCCCAAATAAATATACTTCGTACTAAATAATATTACGTATATATACATTTAACAAAAAAAAAAAAAAAAAAAAAAAAAGAAAGAAAGCAAGAAGTGTGTACTGTAGAACACTACAATAGTATTGTAGAATTCCAAAATATCAAATGTCATTTTTGGTAAACATATTTCTTCCCTAATTTTTTGCCCAAATTATTCACTATCCCAAGTGAATTTGATTAAGAAAAAAAAAGTCATTAATTTTAGTTGTATCCCCATTTTTGGTAATTTTATTTTTCAAAATGTATCTCATTACAATCTTCGGTTAGTTAAATTCTTTCTTTTTCGTGATTCAATTGAAGATGAAAACTATAATAAACGGTCATTTTACTCTTAAATTTTCAACGGGATTAATCTAATTATATATATATAATTCTCTTTGCATACCCTACTTTTTTTTTGAACGATGCATACACGACTTTATTCATCAAGATCTCTTCTTCATATTAAATTATATTTTTCTTTGTATTAAAAAAAAACTAATGGATTGGTTGGATACTTGGTTTGAATGGTTCGGGTGGTGTAATTATTTAACGAGAGTTACGGGAATGTAATTTCAATGTTTTATGAAATTTGATGTTTTTAAAGATTATTGATCATAATAAAATATTTTTGCATACCCAATTTTTTAAAATTTCATATAGTATATGTAAATTAGGGCCCCGATTTATGTTTTTGCCCTAAGCCACTGAAATCTCAGAAATGGGCCTGCCTAATACCACAATTTTTTTTTTTCTTTTCCCTTTTTTTCCCTTTCCTCTTCATCTTCTTCCTTCCTTAACCCCTTTTCCCCACTTCCATGTATAGCTCCCATTGCCAACCAAACCTCCGCCCATCACACCTTCACCTCCGACAGCAAGAAGCCCATCCCACCTGCTACTACCTTGGTCGAAATCCAAAAACACGCAACTACCTCTATTAAAAATCACCGGAAACCACCCAAAAAAAAATAACCCAAAAACGAGAGACACAATTTTATGACTCTAGCCATTAAAAACTGTGAGTTCTATGCTGGAAATCGCTGAGTTCGGTTGAAATTGACGCCGATAATTTTTTGTCGGTACTCAGTTATTATTAATTTCTATAATATTATTATTGGTTTGTGTACTGTTACTCTTGGTTTTTATACTGTTATTCTTAATTTAACTACTGTTATTGAAAGGAGAGATACTGCATTTTTACAACATGTGTAAGTAATACGTGAAATTATATTTTTGCCCCTAGTATGGGCCCAACGAGCCCATACTCGGTAGTGGTCTATCACTACTCTGCATTGGCATGTGTGAATGTCGACTGTGTTATGTATTCTGGAACAAAGGGAGTATTTGTGGTGAAGTTTAGTACTTACCTCCATTTTTCTCCATTTTTTTAGTTGACATGTATTCCTTTATTTTTAGGAAGTTTATTTTTAGTTGACACATTTCCTTTTTAGATAAGTTTTATACTTTGCATTTATTAGTGTACACCACTTGTTTTATATATAATTCTCTCTCATTTTTCTTCTTCTCCTTAATATATGTGTCTAAATTAAAAGTGTCAACTAAATAAAAACGGAAAAAGTACAAGTTAAGCTAATATTTTTATTTGTTTGAATTGTATTTAGTTGCTATTATCAACCTGAATAAAATATCCAAAATTAGTTTTGCTTATTGAATATATAATTGTTATACAAGACTACAATAGCATTTTTAATTTGTAGTGTCTAGAGAAATTGTGCATTGCCTAACTAATAGATTTTTAAAAAAAAAAATTGTATATAATTTTCAAGGGTCCCTTTTTTTAATTTAGAACAGGTCTCCAAAAATAATTACAACGGTCTTAGTCATTATTGATATAAGAACGAAACACAAATCTAATTTGTGGTCATTTTAATTTAATTTTTTTGGTGAGAATTAAATTTGTGGTCATGAGTAGTAATTACTTTGTATCGCTCGCGAATAACGAATATAGACGTATAGCGGTATAGTAGGACTTTGGTGATATGCATTTCCATAAAATTTTTTTAACGTAAGAGGATGGTTGAGACTTGAGAATATGTTTTATACTCTATCACTCCCCCTCGCATGGGCGGATGAGATTCGAATTCGTAACATTTGTGTCACGCTTACTCTAATACCATGTTAGAGGACCAACTCAACCAAAAGTTTAACCTGATGGTTAAAGCCCATGAATATATTTTATGTTCTATCAAGAGCTGAAAATAAGTTATATGTAGTATTTTCATTAAATACAGTACATATCATTATTTATTACCGTTAATTCATTAAAATACTTATAATATACAGTGCTACGTCGCAACTCTAAATTCCACCCCACATTTTGATATTCTCATTTTTTAAGTGGCCTATAAATATAGATACGTTATAGCCCGTTACTGCAATACTTTGCAACCACTTTCCTTTTTCTATTACTCGTATTTTCTTAAAAGTTTCCTTCTAGGGCAAAAAATGAAGGGTGAAGCAATGAAGTTTCATCTTTTGATCTTCATGATGGTATTCTTAGTTACTCTTGCTTCTGCTGCTTCATTCCCTTCAGTCATCATTGTTGGAGCTGGAATGTCCGGTGAGACACGTTTTTCATTACTAGCTTTTCTAAAGAACGAAATAATAATAAGTTATTCCCTTCATTTTATTAAAAAATAATGTTACAGATCATAGTATGCACAGTGCAGTTGTGAATGCATATAAGCATATTTAATTTATTAACGTCTATCCCATCTTTAAAAAAAATGTTACATCTCATACGTACTACATGGAAAATTATAAATTGTTTATGTTTAATAACATATAACATATAACATAGTATATTTCTTAACGAGGTGTTTATAGACTCAATCCATAACTAAATATTATAATTGATAGTTTAATTATTTAATTATAATTTGAACATAAAATTAATTTTGATCAGACGAACAAAAAAGGGATTCGATCATAGTACTACCCCCACAAGACCTTTACTAATTAATTAACGAACTAACCTAGTTGTATGCTGCTTCATTTATTTCAATGTCAGTTAGGGTACGGTTGTACTTACATATTCACAATTATTTGCCTTTTTAGATTTTTCTTTTTCTTTTTTTTTTTTTTTTTCTTGACGGGGCCTTTTTAGATCTTGTACTATACCTTTTCTTTATTCTGTTTTAAGTTTTGCTCTTCTCATTATAATTTTGCTGAATTAATTACGTAATTATTTGGCCAACTTTACTTATTTTATTTAACTTTATTATCTCATTATTAATTCATGAGTTTTAATTTAATTTTATGTTTTTCCATACATACCTTTTGCATTATTCATACAAGTTTAGGGACGCACAATAGTTGTGATCGATTTTAATTAAAGTAAATTTCAGCTTATTAAATTTGAAGTATTCTTTATGAGCCCTTTCCCTAAATAATGCTAGCAAAACACTCAATTCTTAAATTACGGTCAATCTTTTATTAATTCCTATTATACCGTCCATGTAAGCTAAAAGAAATAAACCGTTTTTTTTTTTTTTTTTTTTTTTTTTGTTTAGCTATAAACCTACTTGAAGTAGCGATATATATAAGAAATCCGCCACTTGAAGTAGTGGTTTTCAAAATAGAAACCGCTACTTAAGGGTTCGTTTGGCATCATTGTGGTATTCTGTTTTTTGTTTTTTTGTTTTTTTAAATTATATGATATATATCACATAATGAATAAAAAATTAGTTAAACTTATTAAAATCATTATAATTTTGAAAACTGACAACCAAAAAGTGAAAACACCTTTTTCTTGTTTCCTGTTTTTGGTTTTTAGTTTTCAAAAATACAAAAAACTGAAAACAAAAAACGATACCAAACAAGCCCTGAAGTAGCGGTTTATGTCAAAACAAAGTAGTGGGTTTCAACATGAAAACCAGTCGCATAACTCGCAAGCTTTATTCTTGTTGTTCTTATAAACTCACCATTATATACAATCTCCAAAATCAATGCTTATTATTTGTCAAATTTATTATATAAAATGAAAATAAGAACAAAATTAACAAGTTAATTAGGTGAAAACAAACTTAGGGTATATAAAATAACTCTTCATATGACCCCTAATTTACAGCAGCACCAAGACAGGGTTGGGGGGGCTAAAACGACGGCAGTAGGGTGGCAAGAAGCCAGCGGCGGTAGGGGAGGAGCACCACCAGAAAGGGTGGAGGTGTTCTTCGTAGTTGAGGCAAAAATCCCTGCTGCTTGAATAAATGGTACTATGGTAGTGGATGTTTATTAAACAAGAAACCGGTTATGAGTAAGTATAAACCGCTACTTTAAGTAGCGGTTTTCCAACGTACACCGCTACTTCAAGTAGCGTTTTTCCACTTAAATAATAAAATTCCCTTAAATCGGTGACGTGGACGGTAAAGTGGGAATATTTGTAAAAGAGACTGTGGTTATGGAATTAGGTGTTTTGCTAGCATTATTTAGGGAAAGGGCTCATTCTTTATAGTGTAAAACAATAATTTTTTCTACTGTAGAATAAAATAATACAATTCAACGGTTAAATATAACTATAGGGAAATAAAATTTTTTTTTTTTGGTTGAAGATAGGGAAATAAAATCTAGCTATACATTCACTTCACTTTATTTTGATTTTGCCCAATTGAAATTATTTTTATTAAACTAATTTTTACAGATTCCTTATTATGCTTCTTCCTCTAACCACAAGGATCAAAGGTGGGGTTGAAGCCACTGCTCCAAACCCCCTTCCTCTCATAAGAGTTATTATATTTGTAGTATAACATACGGGTTTTAATTTTGATAATGCACTTTATTTTCTACAACAAATATCAGGAATTTCAGCAGCTAAGAAACTGTATGATGAAGGCATCAAGGACTTTATCATTTTGGAAGCAACCGATAGGATTGGTGGTAGGATTCACAAGACTGAATTTGGAGGCCATATTGTTGAGAAGGGAGCAAATTGGCTTCACGGCGCAGAAGGTCCCCTTAAGAATCCCATGTATGAGATCGCCAAGCAAATCAAGCTTAAGTCTTTTTACTCGGACTTCAGCATTGTCTCATATAACACCTACAAGCAAGAGTGAGTAGATTAAGTTGTAAATAAATTATTATAACTAGTATTGGTTATTTCAGAGTCAATTATTTTGAGACTAAGATTTTGTCGTTGGTATTATATATAGGGTCATCGTCTCATCGATGTATGTAGTTAACTCTCGGTTAAAGAGAACAAAGCCTAAACAACTAACATCTATTGATTGGTAAATATGTACTAACTTCATTGTTTTATTATTGTTGTCTTAAAGGGGTGGACTGTATTCAAAAGTCGAGGTGGATGCAGCATTAGACATGGCAGAGAGTAATGAAGAGTATGCAGAAGAGATATCAGAAAGGTTTAGTGTTGAGAAAGGGAAAGATGATGATATGTCTCTTTTGGCAGCTGAACGTCTTAATAGAAGGTAGCAATGTTGTCATACTCTAGATACTTCATAGTCCATATATATGTTGGCGTATGAGAGTGTGGGATAGCTCAAGTGATTAGAGCTTCCTTTCCGATTCCAAGAGATTATGGGATCGATTCTCACCCTCGCCCTTGTGGTGCTCTAAAGACCAAAAAAAATATGTTGGCCTCAAGCAAACATATGTATCCTCTCGAATATAGGTTAAAAATATGAAAAATACTGGTTAATATAAATTTAATACGATCTTACTATTTCATGTGTTTTATATAATACATGTGACATTTACGGATGATATTATTGTGATTGAAATATTGGATATACAGGGAGCCCAAAACACCTTGAAAAGATGATTGACTTCTACTCTTTCGACGGCGAGCAAGCAGAGGCACCTAGGGTAACAAGTCTTAAGCATATAATTCCAAGGCCAGAGTTTAGTCTATTTGGTGAGGGTGAGTACTTCGTAGCTGACTCTAGAGGATTCGAGAGCATTGTTCATGAAATTGCCAAAACTTACCTCACCTACACCAATGATACTGTCAATGACCCTCGGCTCATCTTTAAACAGGTATACCTAGATATTAAATTACTACATGTTCTTATGTTTTAGACAACAATAATTATTATTTTGAAAATCTAATTTAAGCAACTTTAATTTATCAATTAATAACTTCATTCATCTTCAAATAAAATGATAGTTTCCATTTATCTATCGTGAATTTTAACAGGTTGTGAAAGAGGTTGATTACTCAAAGAGTGGACTAGTGACATCACAAACAGAAGACGGCAATGTATACACAGGCCAAGCTGTCATTCTATCTCCGAGTATTGGTGTTCTCCAAAGCGATCTTATCTCTTTTAAACCAGAATTACCCGTAAGTATTCTATCTTTAGCTAAGTAAGACTCACATATTTCTGATCCAGTATTATTGTTATAGTACCAACTCAACCAATTTGGAATCAACCAGTATTAGTGTTTTAATTTTTCGCCAAGTATCAATATAGATTGACTTTGTAGCAAAAATAGTTAATTTAGAATTCTATTTTCAATCAAATTGAATCATAATAGTATAATTTTATCTTAAAAGTCCATAAACTACCCGGGCATCGCCGGGGCACAAAACTAGTATATATATAAAGGGGAGTTTTTCCCCGAGCTTTTAGAGAGCCACGTAGGATTTAATTTTCTTAACGCGCTATGTAGGATTATAAATTTAAGAGCCAATTAAATAAGAGATTATTAATTTCTTTTACAATTAAATAATTCAAATGACACGTAAGCAAAATTGACGAATGAGATTTTAAAGTTTAAATTAATTAAATACAAAATATTATCTTTTGAAATTAGGAATTTTATCTAATATTTTAAAACTAATATAATAACAATTTTAATCACATAAATATGAAAAATTATTTTTTAAAAAATACTAACAAACCGTGCATCACACAAATTTTAGTTGTAACCAATTAAATTAAGAGTTATTAATTTATTTTAGAAATAGTTAACTTAAATGCCATGCAAGCAAAATAAGTTTAGTTTTAATAAATATAATCATAACTTTTAATGAATATCGTATAATTTAGTTTTATTTCCATCATAAAATTCATTTAAAAAAGTTCTTTAAAATAAGATCTAATTATTTAGTTTATAAAAATAATAGAGAATAAGTAAAAATAATTTTTGTAGAATAAAAACATAGATATCTATTTACAAACAAAACTACAAAAAGTACACTATTATATATATGATATATAGGGGTGGTTATTGGGCGGGTCATTGCGGGTCATAAGCGGGGCAAGTTGATTGCGGGTCATGATGATTATTTAGTGGGTGAGGGTCGGGTTAGGGTCAATAAAGGTCATGGTCGGGTTAGGGTTGGGGTATAAGTGAAGTGGGCCATTAACGGGCCTTTACCCACATACTTCCATTTAGCTGCTAATATGAACATGAACAAAAAATAGCAATGCATATTCACATCAAAAACCCAGAAAATATAAAATATAAATATTACTTAAAAAACAAAAATAAAACCCCAAAATTCCTGATTCATCTTTTCAATTTGGTTTAATTAAAATAAAAAATTGTGATTGTGAATTGGAATTTTAATGCACTGTATATAAGGTACCAACCACCTCTAGCACCACCAAACCAACGCCATGAATAAGATAACTCATACAATTTCTCTTCATTTTCTCTCTCCTAGGGTTTCCACTTCTTCTCTTCTCCATCAATGGCGTCCAAGCCATGGCTGCAACCTACTACTACGTACAATCCATAAGAATCGTTTTGGGATTCCGACGAAGATGCGCTTGATCCTCGTTGTGGTCATACCCTTACCACCGTCGCAGCTACTAAATTTGGATGCTCGAAAGCTCGAAAATGCTGATTAGATTACTCTTAGGAACGAATCAAATATGCAAGAATTTGTAAATCAATTGAACAATTTTAGGGTTTTTATTTTTTCTTCAGAGCATCGAAAAGAGGGGATGAACGAAATTGGATATATTTTTTTTTTATTAATTCGTTTTAATTTTTAAAAAAAATTGGGTTTATTCTTTCTAACAATTTGGCCCATTAAATTAGCCCTTAATTTTTTGTTTGATATTAATGGGTTGTCAATTAAAGCCTTTTTTAAGTACCTCTAACAAGTTTTATTTTTATATTAATCAATCTAGTTTAATTATGCAATTACAAATCTGAAATGTGCTGTCATTAGCTATGACCTATTTAATAACGCATGCCACAATTATAAAGAGTCAACAACAGCATTTGTGCTAGTTGTTTCAGTTTGTCTTGAAAAACAGCTCAAAATACTGTACTCTACTCTCTTTCACTACTCAGCTAGAGTCATAGAGATATCAACATAACCGATTCATGGGAGCTTGGTCATCAAGATCACGGCCCGAAGTCGTACGTGGCCAGGAGAGTGACAATGGTAGCGCTAGATTCTGTAAGTTTGTTCATTTCTACAAATTTTCACTTATAAATATGAACAATAATTAGTTTAGATTTGGAATTTCACTTATTTTACCATGTTTATCATCAATTGTTCCTAAAAAAAAAAATGTTTTTCATCAATGAATCAGTATTGCATGTATCAAATTCAATATCAACCATATAAGAACTGCAGTTAGATCACATATCAACAGAATTCATGATTATTATATACTTCGTATTACTACTACAATAGTATATCCAAGTTTAGAGATTCCTTTTAAAAGTCAAGTCAATTAGCCAATGGGGAGGGTCGGAAGGGTATCACACACATGAGTGACACCGCATGCACATCCAAAAATATTTTCACGTTTCATCAATAATCCATGCAATAATACTATTTAGTATTAATTTAGATACGTTATTAAAAAAGTGTAAAGCTTTACAAAAACCAATAGAAGTATCTTTCATATATGGAAAATTTGTTAGAAAGGTACTTATATATTCACTTTTTTGTGAAAAAGGATCTTATATGTTCAAAGTGGTGAAAAAGGCCTTATAAGTCACTTTTGTTGTGAGGAGGGACCTTGACATCGGAATATGGCCATTAATTTTACTTTTCCGGTGTTGACCATCACTCACATGGTACGTGATGTTTTTAAAAAGCCCTTTCGTTCATTTTTTTCCCCAAGTTTTCACATTTTCTCTCTTACTATCCCCTAATTTTCTCTCAAAATCCCTTCTCTTTCCTTAAAATCAAGAGAAAAAAAGAAGGAAAATACATTTTTAAAACATCACGTGCATATTGCATGATGGTCAATGCCGGAAAAGTGAAGTCGGTGGTCATATTCCGATATCAAGGTCCCTCCTCACAACAAAAGTAACTTATAAGAACCTTTTTCACCACTTTGAGCATATAAGGCCCCTTTTCACAAAAAAGTAAACATATAAGTACCTTTTAGACAAATTTTCCTTCATATATATTAGTGTTGCCAGTAATTTGGATAACTTTACTAGAGACTAAAGTGATGCAACAAAATGCATGCAATATTACGAAGTATTTATAATTAATTCAGATGAGTTATTAAAGAAGTGTAACGTCTTTAAAAAAAAAAAAAAGAAAAGGAAAAAAAAGGACAACTTTACTAGAGAAGTGATGCAAATATTTCGGGAGCTCTTTCCCTAAATAATGTTGGGAACTTATCTAATTCCCAAAATACAGCTAATCTTTTTTTAATTCCCAATCTACCGTCCACGTCAGCTAAGTGAAAAAAACCGGTTTTTTTTTTATCGGTCCAGCAACAAACCGCTACTTCAAGTAGCGATTTATAAAATTAAAACCGCTACTTGAAGTAGCGGTTTATAAAATAGAAACCGCTACTTCAAGTAGCGGTTTTTGATGTAATTTTTTTAAAAAAAAACTATCAATAAAATACAAAGAGAAGGGGAAAGTGATTTTTGACCACCACCCACAATAATAAAAAAAAAAAGTGCCGAGTTCTCTACCACCAATTGTTGCTGGAACTAAATTGAAATCAAATCAACTTAACCACCACCACCACAACCTAGTAACCCCCACCTTAACCCACCCAAACACACCCAAACCAAACCAAGATCTACAACCCTAACCAAACAACCACCCAAAAATTAACAAAAAAAAAACATACCTTAACACCGAAATTGAATGTTAATTTCTCATCGAATTTGGTTTAATACGGCCAAATTCGATCATGAAGCCTCTAGATCTAGAGGTTTCATGGTCGAATTTGACCTGAATTACCATGCGACACCGGCGAGAAAGAAGGCAGACATCACCTCCAAGATGCGTAGGTTGCGTAGACAGCACCTCCAATGGCGGAGGAGAGAGAAGGAGGGAGGAGAGAAGGAAAGAGGAGAGGAGTTCAGAGAGAAGAGGAAAGAGGAGAGGAGAGAGAAAGAGAAGTGAGGCGTAGAGAGAGAAGAGGAGAAGGGGAAAGTGAAAGGAGGTCACTTACCCAGCCTTTACCTCCCATGCGTAGTTGAATGTAAAAATACTTAGTAAATATAAACCGCTACTTGAAGTAGCGGTTTCTATTAAGAAAACCGCTACTTGAAGTAGCGGTTTTTAGTAGCACACCGCTACTTGAAGTAGCGGTTTTCTAATAAACCCGTTTTTAAAAAAATTCTCACTGAACCGGTGACGTGGACGGTAGATTGGGAATTAAAAAAAGATTAGCTGTATTTACGGAATTGCAATTGTTCTTGACTATATTTTGGGAAAGCTGTATTTACGGAATATGATGAGGGTAGATATAGTTAACCTTAATTTGTAAAATCAAGTAATTAATTATGTCATCAAACAATGCAATCCTTATTATTAAAGGTGTAAATGACATCTCCAGTGTGTCGGCGTGCAAGAGGGCGAGTGGAGAGCAAGTTGAAGGACCTAGGATGTTACCTGCCATTGTACAAAGCTGTAATTAAAGGTGACTGGAATGAAGTCAGGAAATTCTTGGATGAAGACCCGGAAGCGTTGATGGCTAAGATCACCATAGAATCCGAAACAGCACTTCACATTGCAGTAGGCACGGGAAAACATCTTGAGTTTGTGGAGAAATTGATAAGGAGGATGTCCCCTGAAGATTTGGCACTCACTGATCAAAATGGAGATACTCCTCTTTCAGTAGCTGCAGCGGTTGGCAATGATCAAGCAGCTAAATTATTAGTCAGTAAAAATCCAGAGTTGCCTAATATTTCTGGAAAATCAGGCTTGCCTCTTCATAGGGCAGCGCAGTATGGCCATGAGAAAATGATTTCGTATTTGTTGGAAGTTACAAGAAATGATATGGAGTCTTGTCCTTATGCTGGCGAATCTGGCGGCAAACTCCTAATTAATATTATTACTGCCGAATTTTTTGGTGAGTTTTTCAATGTGTTTTCTATACGACTGGCCACACTATGTAACCACTTGTATAAAAATAGAGTAATCCTATAACATTAATTATACTTGTTGAGAAACTCATATAATACTAACTAGGTAGCCCCTATAACTCTAACCGAGTTAACCCCTATAACATTAATCAAGTAACCCCATATCATTGTGGCTATATCAAAGTAAGTGTAGTTAAAATACTTCGTATGAGATATTGAGACAATGTAACAAGTATTTCCGGGGCAAACTAATGTACTTACTAATGCCCTTGGCTCTAGATTGGGAGAGTTAAAAATGATGTTTATTATTTGTCTAATCACTTTGAGTTTAATCAGACATTGCTCTCGGTTTGGTTGAGAAGTACCCGGAGATGGCCACAGCTGAAGTGCATGGTATGGGTTCCCCCCTGTCTGTGCTAGCCAGGAAGTCTAATGTTTTTCCTAGTGGTGCCGATTCTTGGTGGAAAATATTTATACGTTATCACGGTATGCTATTCTTTTCAAAGTCTTGGTTTGTTATCCTTATTGTTATACAAATTATTTTGAATTCTTGAAGGAAAAAATTGTGAAAAAAACCTTTTAAGTAGTCGACTTTTTAAAAAAAGACCTTTTAAGTGAAAATTTGTGAAAAATTATCTTTTAAGATGTATTTTGTTTGTATGGGTACTTGGATGAACTTGCATGATGGTCAACACCGGAGCTTCGGGGTTGACTATCACGTATTAGTCATGTATTTTTTTTAAAAAAAAAAAATTAAAAATTTTCCCCAAATTTCCATCATTTCTCAACCTAACCGTTTCATATAATATTCTCACGAGGGTCGGGAAAGGGGGAATTTTTTTTTTTTTTGAAAATAAGTCATGTGACTAATATGTTGGTGAACGCCGGAGCTCCGAGATTGACCACGTCGCAAGCTCACACAAGTATTCCATACAAACAAAATATAGCTCGTCCTTTTTTTCACAAGTTTTCACTTAAAAGGTCATTTTCTAAAAAGTCGATCATTTAAAAGATGCTTTTTTGACAATTTTCTCATTCTTAAATGGTACGCCCCAATTGAAAGCATACATTTGAGTTGAAATCGTACATTCTGTAAATTGATCTCTTTTCGCATAGAAGAAAATTTCTCCTTTGCTGTTCTACGATCTACTATATTGTGCACATATTATTGTATCCCACCAGTACATGCATGATCCATGTGGCCGAATACTCCCTATTTACATTTTGTTGAAGGAACAGCTAAACTCTAGGTCTCTAATTAAATTGGGTTGGTGCAATGGCCTAACTAACGATCTGTGTATGATTCATGAAAGTGGGGAGTGGAAATATGCAATGCAAGTTCTCAATGCTATAACAAGCACTTATCTTTTCCCTTTTTTTTTTTTTTCTTCTTTTCTGCTCGTTATTATTATTATTACTAATATTATTTTTTTTTTTTTTGACACAACTAATATTATTATTTTGTCTGTGTTGTTGCAGTTAAAATCCTTAAATTTATTAAACAACTCCGACGTAGAGATAAGATGCAACATGACGCCCTCGAGCTTGTCAAAAGCTTATGCTCGGAGATATTAGAGTTGGATGATGCCAAAGCTTTCTCTTTACTCCAACAACCACTTTTGATAGCCGCTAGGTTAGGCACTCATGAGATTATTGAAGAGATTGTTGATGTATTTCCCTCAGCAATATGGGCTTCAGATGAGGAGAACCATAACATGTTTCAATTAGCTGTCTTACATCGCCGGGAAAATGTTTTCAATCTCATATATCAAATGAGCGAGTACAAGAATCTAATTACAAGACATATAGATAACCCAGATAATAATAATATATTACATTTGGCCGGGAAGTTACCATCCTTGGACCGGCTTAATCGTGACTCCGGTGCAGCCTTACAAGTTCAACGGGAGTTAAAATGGTTTAAGGTTTGATTGTTGATTCTTCTATCATTTTAATTTCTAAATCTTAGTTGATACAAGATTATAATATACTTGTCTTACCTGTAATGTTGGGCATACATATAAATATTATATAATATAGTACGTAGTACCCATCTTAAGAAAAGTCACATGTGAGTGTCGCTCATTAATAAGAGATTTAAAAAAAAAAAAAAAGTATATTCTTTTTATGTTAATTACTTGATTTTGGAATGGAACCTTTTTTAGCTACTCATAATGTGTAGTATGTATATGTTTTCAGGAAGTGAAGAAATATGTGCAGCCTGGACAAAAAGAGGCAATGAATAAAGATGGAAAAACCCCATGGATGGTTTTTGGGGAGTCACACGAAAAATTAATGAAAGACGGGGAAAAATGGATGAAGGCTACAGCGCAATCATGTACAGTTGCCGCGACACTGATTGCAACAGTAGCGTTCAATGCAGGACTAAAAGTTCCTGGAGGTGATAGCAATGATGGTCTTTCCCAATTTTTTAATCATACTGCCTTTGGTGTATTTGCTGTAGCAGATGCAATCTCTCTTTTCTCCTCAGTTAGTACCATCCTTGTGTTTTTATTAATCCTAACATCACGTTACTCGGAAGAAGACTTCAGATTGATACTGCCAGCGGGATTATTCGTTGGAATGACCATGCTTTTCATTTCCATAATAAGCATGATGGTAGCCTTTGGCTCAGCTATCTACCTTGTGTTCGGTCCTCATAGGGCTAAGGTTGTGATTCCGGTGGGTTCGGCTCTTGTTCTGCCTTTCACCTTGTATGTGCTATTGCGCCCTCTATATCATATGATTAAGTACAAAACTATTGGTCCTAGCATTTTTGGCAAGCAAAGTGACCGTGAACTTCACTAAGTAGTTATTCTTTTTTTTTAAGCACCTGCTTCCTACAAACCAAAATGTTTAAGTTTATTACATGGGGAATGTTGGGGTGTGTATCCCACATTGAAGAAATTAGATAGTTGTACTTATACGCTAAGCTAAGTGTCATATGAAGTACAATTTTGGGTGGAACCACCTCGAACTAATAAAGTGGATACTCATGACAGGTGCGGCCCATGCTCATTTAGGACGCTTGGATCAAGTGTACTTCTAATCTAAGTTTCAAATTCAGCTTCTTTAATTTGAAGGAAAATAATTTCCAGAGGTTTTTTTTTACAAGTTTCCAGAGGTTAAAATTAAATAAAATCATTTGATATAGAGGGCGCAATAATACATAAAGGTATGATTGTTATATTAAGAACATTATTAATAGAAAGTAGTATTATTATATTATTTAGCGTCGTTTTTATTCTTAAAAAAAATTTATTTAAAGTGGTTTAGTAAACTTAAGATACAGGATAATATATTATACCAGGTAATTTAGGAGGGAAGGTGCTACAAGAGTGAGCCCTTTTTATATTACTTAGTATTATGTAAATATAATTTAATACTTTCAATAATGCAATCAGCTGAAGATAGATGAGGTACGAAGGTGGCCAGCTCACTCTAATATTCGTAATGGACCAGGTTGAAACTTTGAATAGAAGCTATATATCAAGCCAATTGGCAAAATTAGTAGTCTTTCTGTCGAGATCAATTACCATTTACAAGTATTATTAAATTTGATTACGATCAAAATAACTTGCCTCCAACTCCAGCACCTCTCAAGAGTCAACGCTATCACTATGCAAAACCGCATGCATCTTGAGGAGTTGATGCGCTGATGCCACTTGAATAAATTAAGGACCTGTTCTTTTCCTTTCATAATTAAAGTTCCAGAAATTTCTTTTTAAATCTGATTAGGTTTTACGGCCATTTAGTTTGCATTTGCATGAATTCAATTTAGTAATGTGCCGGTCACGTGACGTTTAATTCATCTTTCCCCATTTCCCCCAAGCCTATCCATATAATACCCAAGATGAATTAAATGTCATGTGACCGGCACATGACTTGGTCAACGCCGGAAAAATTTAGTCAACTCTCACTTTCCAACCAAGGGTAGTATCATACAACATTTAGCTTTTATAAGGTAGTTTGTTACAACATTTTTTTATAAGGTAGTTTCTCGCAAAAAAAATTGCTTTAAAAGGTAGTTTCTCACAAAATGTCCTTTTATATTTTCAATACTCCTAGCATATTCTCCTATTTTAACCATTCTCCTTAATTACCGTGTTATTTGAGAAATAGGCACCAAATTATATGATGGAGGGGGTAGTTCTTTGGTGTTTCATAAACACGAACAAGTTAGTTAGGGATACAATTATGCAACTTATATATGTAACCAACCCAAACCAAATTTTAGTCTTTTCAAGCAAGGTTTGATACCAACGAACTACATATTAGTGTTTAAGTTCTTGTTCGATATGTGCTTAAGTCATCAAGGGTATTGTTGTATTCGAGCTTTAATTCTATATTTAAAGTAATTTTTTACTTTCTTCATTTCTTTTTGTTTATCCAAATTGGAATTTAAACACTATATAATACAAAGTATTTTGAATATATTTTAACATATATGGATCGAGTACAAGAATTGCAGTTTATAAAATTGCGTAATGCCTTGTTTAATACTCGTATATTCAATTCATCTCAATAAGTACTACATTTATTGAACTCGATACAAAGTATTTTGAATATATTTTAATATATATGGAGTACAAGAATTGTAGTTTATAAAATTGCGTAATGTCTTGTTTAATACTCGTATATTCAATTCATCTCAATAAGTACTACATTTCTTGAACTCGATATTTTTTATCGTTCCCTTGAATCAAAATAAATAATTAAATAAATAAATAATAATTTGAATAAGGAAAGTGATGCACGAGGTGACATCATCAATTTGAATCTAAAGACATAAGCTTAAGACCTTTCCCATTTTTCTTCAAAAATCTCAAGCAAGTCTCAAGTTGAGTCTTGATTTTCCAAGACGTACTAAACTTAAGACTTGAGATTGGGACTCACTTCACCCACCTCACTACTATTTTTATTATCCCTTTTTTTTAACACTTTTCTACATATAATATGTCAAATATCTAAGTCTTAGGGCTAAAGTGATACATTTGTGTAAGTCTTAGCGAGTCTTAACAAGAATTTGATGACATCATTTTTTAATGAGGACCATAAAAAATGATGTCACATCCAAGTGTTAAGACTTGAGGCTAAACTTGCTCTAATAAATTAAAACGTAAGGTGAAACTACCTCTAGCTCTTAGGATATTGGTGTGGTCTAGGTAGTTAACAGGCCTTTCAATTCATATGAAGATAACTATGACATAGAGGAGTAATAAAAAAATAGTGACCTTTCATGACTAAAAATTGCATCATTCATGATAGCTAGGTATGTCCCATCAGAACAATTTTCTTTTACATATATACATTTCGTAGTCTATAAATCAAAGGTGTGCATAGAGGAAACTTTGATTTTCACCACCCTAAATTATTGCGTTGATTTCAAATTTTTGATGCACGGCAGAAGAGGGAGGAGAATTGAATGATGTCATAAAAATAAGTACCATCTTCAACATGGCGGAGGTAGTGGTGTCCCTTGCTGCCGAAAACATCCAGGAGGACTCTAACGCTTTAATATCAAGTGTGAAAAGTGAAGCACATGCCCTATGCAAAGATCTTAAGGAATTAGAAAAGTCCCTCGTTGATGCTGAAAGAAACAGCAGACCAGCTATGGCCAACAACGAGCAGATTCATGCCTGGTTCGCAGAGCTGAGAAAGATAGCTCATGAAGCGGAGGATTCGGTCGATAGCTTAGTCTCCGGCACAGACTGCACGGCCTTCAGTAGTCTGAGATACCCAATACGTGCCCGCCGGACCTCAAAGAAGCTCCAAGGATTGCGAGAAGATGTAAACAATATCAAGTCCAAACTTAATAATAAGGAAGGGTCGTCGTCCAAGAAGGTGAGGTCAGTGAGAGATGCGCGACACTTCGACCAGCAGACCGATCCAGATATTGGTGCAGATGAAGACATTGTTGTGGGCATTGACGCTGATGTGGATAGGCTGGTGAAAGTGTTGGTTAAGAAAAAAATTGAAGATGATGCTGATCCTCATCTGTCTTTGATGAATGTTGTTGCGATTGTAGGCATAGGTGGTTCCGGCAAAACAACATTAGCTAAGAACATCTACTACCACCGAAAGGTCAATAATCACTTCAATTATAAGGTATGGCTCACGCTCAATCAAGACTGGGATGCCTCTCATAAGCATCTATTGTTGTTCAGAATTGTACAATCTATCAGAGGCAGCAACAGTAGTAGTGGAAGTGTCAAAAAGCTCCACCGCGTTTCTTCCCTACCATCTTATCGTGGCCAAGGTGATAGTGGTGACGTGTCATTGAAGGTCCTGAAAACCCTCCAAAAATTGTTCAGGACAGAATCGTGTTTAGTGGTGTTAGATGATGTGTGGGACTGGGAACCGTTCAGGGGGATCATTGACGAATTGTTCCAAGTACCACCAACATCGTCTCCCGGTGTAGCCTGCACCTCTAAGATATTATTCACCAGTCGACGCCTCCCATCGCCTGCAGGTGCAGACACCCACTTGAAGTGGGTTATTGTCCATGAGACCAAGTCTCTTAGCCAACAGGACAGCTGGGAATTATTCAAAAAAATGTTGTCCAAAAGCGAGAATGGGAAAAGGTTGGATAAGAATTACCCGGGTTTGGCAATGGAGATGGTGGGAAAGTGCAAAGGTTTGCCGTTATCTATAGTGGCTTTAGGCCGGCTACTTACGAGAAAGGGGTCCATTGAGGAATGGGAGAGGGTATTCTCTCAACTAAAAGGGGAACAAGGTTCTCATCTGTATGGGCCGGTCAATGATATTTTGGCCTTGAGTTATAGCGAACTGCCACACCACTTGAAGCCGTGCTTTCTTTACTTGGGACTGTTGTCAGAAGACTCCACCATCCCTGCTGGAGTACTGAAGAGGATGTGGATTGCGGAAGGATTCGTCAAGGACCAACAAGGCTGTAAAACCCCTGAAGTTGCTGCTAAAGATCTCCTGGATGAGCTTGTTAACCACACAATGGTTCAGATTGTCACCAAGACCTTTACGGACAAAGCAAATACACTCCGGCTTCATGATATGATGAGGGATATTTGTATCAAGATAGGCAGGACGCTGGATTTCCTAACCTTATTTCCTTCATATAGTGATCAACTTCACTCACGCCGAGCTGCTATCAACCTTAGGTATGTTCTTTTTTTTGTTCATTTACTCTTATTTTTCAAGTTACTTACTGTCATGTTTATTTCACCGGGAGGGGTGTAAAGCCTTAAGGGAAAATGGTGCAGTCGATACTCATACATAACTACTATGTCCTCCTAACCCTTGTTTTTATATTACTCGTGCATCATTTATTTTCTCCTATACTCTATATATGGCTTTATCATAGCTTAAACTAGCAATTACCAATAAGTAGATATTGATACAGCTAAACTTTGAGTTTTACCCCAATTACATTCGATATATTCACGTTTAATCTTCGTATGTAGCACATTAGTAAAAAATTTGAAAAAAGACCACGGATTTTACCTTTGAAATTATGGTTGGTAGGTTTGGTACCAGAGGTTTTTGTCAAATGAATGAAAGTCTTATGATTAAGCAGGAAATTACGGGGAAATTACTCTTAGGAGGAATGACGAGTTCATAATATGTTGCTTCCACGCTAACCTTACAATTAGAATAGTATAATTACAGGATAGCAAACAAGAATACGTAAGCATCTGCATCTTCACAAATCATCATTAGAATAATATAAAAGCGATGTAATACTATTTCTAATTAATTGTAGTGGCTTAATTTAAAACTCATATTTATATAATGTATTCTTAATAATGATGACATGTTGATCACTTTGATCCTGAATAAGAAAGTAGTAATGATCTAAGTAAATGAATAATTAAGTTTTGTGGCTAATATGATTAAAAATTAGAAAAAAAAAATTGCCAAAAATAATATAACCCTTGGCCGGTTCTTTTTTAATTATACAACCTTTGAATTATTTTGTAATAATATAACTTTTAAGGGGTGTTAATAATAAGACAAAATCGAAGCTTTAGTACACCATTGTATTTTAAAAAAAGAATGGGCCAAATGTTGTATTATTTTTGGCAAATTTTCGTTGAATTTTTATAGTGATCGTTTGAATTATGACTACCATAATATTTTAATGATTATGTAGTTTATAGTTTTTTCTCCAAGTAATAAATTATATTACTTTATTTTTGGTATAAAATGGTAGTTTTCCTTGAATTTATGCTTTAATTCCATGAAAATGTTTTAAATCAAACCAAACGGGACCTTAGAAATAGAAATTTCATGAGTTGAAGTCTTGAACAAATCTATTGTAATTTGTTGATTATCCTTGCAGCAAGAGCGCTGGAGCTCTTCCGAATAATGCAGGCCTTAGATCTCTGATGTTATCTCAAAAATCAAGTACAAGCAAACAATACGGTAGTAGAATGAATAATCAGCAGGGAATTGTGGACCTAGCCCTAGTGTTTGAGAAGTTCAAATTGCTAAGGGTATTAGAAATTAAAGGGATCAAAACCTATAATGGCACTATGCCAAAAGAAATAGGCAGCTTGATTCACTTGAGGTATTTGGGAATAAGGTCCACAAACATCCAGCAACTCCCCAGGTCTATTGGGAAATTACACAAGTTACTTACACTTGATTATTGGGATGTTACTATCGATAATGAAATCAGATTGCCTAATGTGTTTTGGAGGTTGGAGAGGCTTAGGCATCTTTTTCTTCCAAATGAAATGATGACCAACGTGATGGCGGATATGAGGTTCGACGGTCTCCGACACTTACAAACCTTGTGGGGTATAAAAGGAGGAGAATGGATGCTTACAGAAATGAATAAGTTGAGTGTCAGCCTTACTAAGCTATACATTCAAGGAATATCAGATGAAGCACAATTAGAGGCAGTGTTCGGTAGCTCTATCATCAAGGAGCATGATAATCTCTATGCTTTATGTTTGGATTGGTATAGCATTTCATTAAAACCCGAGTCCCTTAGTAAGCTGAGCTCCAAAAATAATCTGAAAAAGCTAAGGTTAATGGGTAGAGCGTTAGATAAACCACAACTACCCCTTAAATTCCCCGACAGCCTTTGGAAATTAGAACTTTACTATACTCACCTCGAGGAACCCGAGACCTTGAACACTCTAGGGAAGCTGCCTAATTTGAAGTTCCTAGGACTATCCAAGGGCTCATTCACGGGGAGAAAATGGACTATTAGAAAGGAAATCAAGTTTGAGAGTCTTAAGGAGCTGAAATTGTCTAGTCTCCCAAATTTGAAAGAATGGGAAATCGAAAGTGGCACCACGCCATGTCTAAAGAAGTTATCAATTATCTCTTGTATGAATTTAAAACAATTGCCACAAGGGTTACAGTCCATAAAAACCCTTGAAACCTTGGATGTTCGCTCAATGCCAACTAGTTTCAACAGAAGATTCCGGGATGTGAACGAAGGAGAAGACTTTCACATTGTATCTCGCATCCCTAACGTTTGGGTTAAGGACTCATGTACACATTTGTTTTACTAATCCATCATCGAGTATGTTTTTCCTCCCTATTATTAGATTCATAGTATATCCAACTGATTTGAATAACACCTTGATTAAAACCTTAATTTCTTTCTTCTTTACAGGGAGCTAAAACTCAAAAACCGAGGAAAAAAAAAGATTACGGAGCATTAACTAAGAAATTATCAGTATTTGATCTCAGACCTCCAGATCAAGAAATCCAGTGCAAATTTCCAATCTGCTCCTATCCTCAAAGTTCTCCCTAACTATGCTATATCACAATCACGTTTGTCATTGAAAATTGTTTTCTTTAACATTGTAATATGTTTTCCATCAAAATAAATGGAGCTTAATAATACTCGTGTTTTTTCGTACTTCAAATATTTCAAAAAGATTCACCACTGCTTTTTACTAATTCACTCTTTGGTGTAATTTTTTTTAAAAAAAAAAAAATTAAACTTCATTTTGTGAAAGTAATTTTTATTTACTTAAAACTGTATGTAAACATTAGATTTTCAGTAATTAAAACTGGTTTTTGTAATTACTACCCCTGATTCTACTTACACTAATAAACTATTTTACATTATCTACTGTATACATTTTTTGTTTGAAAATGCTTTTTATCTTTTTTAATTTTGTCAAAATTGAGTTTTAAAATGGATGAGCAAATATTTTCTTCACTTGCATGAGTGGACAATATATCAAGCGTCATATGGTGGTATTCCAAATAAAGCTTCAAACTTCTACCCTCTTCCAATCAAGTGGGTACATGAAAAGATATATTTGGTCGGTCCAACTCCTATCTTATAGTATATGATATATGTGTACATATTGCCAAACCCATTTTGTAAAATTAACCTTTGAGGATTAGACTAATTCACTGCTTAATATCTTACCATGCTTTGACTTTTGCAATTATTTTTTTTTTTCAAGAAATCACAATTCTTTAAATGCCTTGAATCGATAACTCATCTATCAAATAAGGCTTTGTTCAATACATCTGTTTTAAATTGAAAATAAATTATTAAATATTAGGAAAATTTGTGAAGATGGTCCTTTTAAGTAGACATTTTTGTGACAAAGGCCCTTCTATAAAAAAAATGGCACAAAAGGTCCTTATATCATGTTTGGGTTGTGAGAAGAGTCCTTTGACCATTTTCCAACGTTGACTTTTTTTTATTTTCCGGCCAAAAAAAGCCACGTGTAAAGCACGTGAATTAATAAGTTCCCTTTTTTCCCTGTTTTCTCTCATTGTGGGGAGGATTAGCTTTGAATTACTTTTAATAGCCTTCAATTTTAATTTATGGGATTACAATTGAAGTTTTAGTGTTAATTGTTTTCAGAAATTAGGGTTTAATAGGGGAAAAACGAGGTAAAAGAGGAGGGAGAAAAAAGAGAACTTAGATATGACTTTTTTTGGCCGGAAAATAAAAAAGTCAACGCCGGAAAATGGTCAAAGGACCCTCCTCACAACCTAAACATGATATAAGGACCTTTTCTGCCACTTTTTTTTATAAAAGGGCCTTTGTCACAAAAAGGTGTACTTAAAAAGACCTTCCTCACAAATTTTCCTAAATAATATTAAGTTAATTTATACTTCCTCCGTTCTTTTTTACTTAACTCACTTTGACTTTTACACTAATTATCATCTCTTTAACCGTCTTTTGTGAATAATAAGTAAGGAAAAACATATTTGTGATATTAGATCTTTAAATCGTCTCAATAATTACTATCATAATATATATCTTTTATAATTTTTACTTATGGAGAATTAAAAATATACATGTAGGGTTAAAGAGAGATAAGGAAAAAGAAAAAAGTGGTTGAGAATTATTGAAAAGATAGAAAGAGAAAGTGTTGGGAATTGTTGTTAAAAGTACAAAAGAAAAAGAAAAAGTATGACTTACACGTCATAAATAAAAAAGAGGGTTTTATTGTTAAAAGTACTATATGTAAATAGTAAAAGGCTCCTCGTCAATAAATATATATATATATATATAGTAATAGGCTTCTAATTTTGAATACACAAAAGGAAAAACAGGATTTTAATAATGAATCCGAGGGAGTAGGTCAGGTAAAAAAAAAAATAAAAAAAAAAAAAAGAGAGAACAATGGAAGTACGAAATTTTATTTTATCTAAACTATATTATTCTGTTTGAAAATATGTTATTTGTTTGAATTTCTATTATATTGTCTAAATTGAACTTAACTTATTTTGTACTCCATTTGTCCCACAATACTTTACACGTTACCAAATATGAACTAGGACTACAAATAATATTTTCCTATATTTTTTCTCTCCTCACTAACCCCACCCTACCCCCACTTGTTTTCTTGCAACATAAAAATACAAAAATGAATAATTATATAATTAAACAAATATTTTAAATGAATCTGTTTGTAGTTTACTAAACTACGTGTCCATCCTAACATCCCAATTATTATGGAACGAAGGAAGTATTAAATATTTTTTTAAAAAATTACTAAAATTATATGTCTTAAATATTTGACAAATTCTTATATGTGGCTGGCCACACCGTGTGGCCAACCGCCATAGGGGTTACTTCGTTAGTGTTAAGGAAGTGCTTGCTTAGTGTTACAAGAGTTACTTCATCACTTTTAAGGGGGTTACTCCGACAATGTTAAAGGGGTTAAATTACCTAATCAGTATTGCAGGGGCTACTCCGTCAATATTATAGGGATATTTTGTTCATTTACAAGTGGACACACAGCGTGGCCAGCCGCACACAAGAAGCAAGGTCTGTTTGAAAATTATTTTATTATTTAAAAAAAATAGATATGATGAAATAAGTAGTTCAAATAAACTTCTTCATAAGGGTTTTTCTCTGTTTTTTTTAAAGGGCTTTCCTGCTGATGACACGACTTTGCTTCCATTATCAAACAGTCTCGACTGGTAACTTGGTAAGTTATAGACATAATCGACTCTCTTTATGCAAATCTTCCTCTTAATGAGGACGATGGTGGATCTAGGTGCTATTGATTCATCGCACCCCATTGAAAAATTGAAACTTAAATATGACATTCAAAGGTCAATGTATGCAAAATGACTCCAAAACCTTAAATTGAGCAATTTTTTGGACACCTAAATTTATAAAATAATATTTATATTTTGGCTTTAAATAATTTTTTAGTTGACACCGTTTGAGCTTTACTCTATTCACGCAATACACTTTGACTCGTTTTTGTGATTTATAGATACGATAAAATTATAATCATATGGAATCTTGTTTGAATCGTCTATATGACTATAAGTATATTGACTCGTTTTTGTGATTTATAGATACGATAAAATTATAATCATGTGGAATCTTGTTTGAATCGCTATATGACTATAAGTATATTTTATTATTATCCACTTTTTATAATTTTACAATGTTAATAATTGAAGTTATTAAGCGTTTAAAACATACGTTGACAAGCCTGATAATAGAAAGGTATCAACTAAAAAAAATTGAGGAAGTATACAGGTATGCGCATGATATACCCAATTGCACCAACCGATTATTAATGATGAGAATAATGAGGACCCCTATCAATATATCTTAGGGTTTGCCGACCTACAATGATATGGTTACCTAACTTACCTCTTAAATATAAGCAAACATACATGTGCTGCTTTGGATTTTGCAATAATGTACTCCGTAGCATCAATCCTGCCGTGGACCGTGGTTCCAGCATCTTGTCTGAAATTAAAAAACGCATTCTGAATTTTACTCGATCGAAAGGCCATATGATGCAGGGGAAAAATAATCCATTAATTCGTTAATCGTGCAACAACATGCTAACTAATACTCCGTAATATATTGAAAATGTCTAATTCAGATTAGCAATGCAAAGAGAATCTTGACGAAGTTTACTAGTTCAATTGATAATTACGTGTTTAGTCAACGGGACCTTACAGCTAGCTAAGCCGAATAGGCAGCCAGATACTAACTCAAACAAAGCTCAGACAAGCTAACTAAAATGGGTGACATTTCTCAGTTATTAATTATGCAAATAAAATGATAGATAAGGATGATGCACTTTGTTATGTAACCCTCAGTCTCTAAACTCTCTAACTATATCATGATTATTATCCATCGATGTGTAATTTACTCAAATCTGCTCTTATGAGATGTAATGAAAGCAATTATGCGATGCTCAATTTTTCATACAAAAGGATGTAGTCTGTAGATATATACTCTGTAATTTATTTATTTAATTAATTAATTATTTTAACGGTAAAGAGAAGACCCTGACTGAACCTCAACCCTCATGGTTTTTTTAGTTCGGTATTTGCGGGTCAAACACTTTGAGAGTAATATAGTAAGGGGGAAATATAAGGGATCTCTACCCTCAAAATACCTCTAGTGGGGATTGAATTCCGGCCCCAATCTCAAAGTTGGAAGGTACAATCTTTCTCACTATGTCAAGCTTAGATTGGTTATACTCCGTAATTACTACAGTTGCAAATCAACTTTTTGGCGGAATTTGAAAAATGCATAAATAATATAGTATTTTAATGTTTATGTAATTTGATTCTATGGCCAGCTGTCTGAGTGAGTGGGGGTGGTGTATGTAGGGATCATTGGAGGGGGGGGAGAAAAAAAGAAAAAAAATTAAAAACTTTGGATCAATTAATCAAACAATTAAACCTCTTACCCTCTCTACAGAATTCATCACCTGCCACTAAATTCCTGTACAATAATCAGCATTCCTTGACTAGTAACGGCCAACAAAAGCAAGAATGTCGGCAGAACAAGTGACATTGGTGAACCTCAAGAGAACCTTGAGTGACTCAGAAAATGAGAAGCTATTATCTTCAATGGAAGAACTCCAGGCTTTGAGGGAATCAATTGTTATTGTTAACGGTGCAGTGGCAGCAGCAATGAAAAAAAATTATCATTCGAGTGGTAGTAGCCTCAAGAATCTGGGGGCTCCGCTGTATCAAGCTGATGACCTCGTTGATGAAATCATTGCTCGCTATCGTAGTGGAAGGCTTTCTGGAGTTGCTGCTGCAGATCTGGAAAGAAATCTCAGATATGCCTTGCATAGAGTGGTCAGTGCCAGTAACAGAATTACAGAGAAGGCCGGTGTTCGCTTCTCCTTTTCTGTCCCCTCTTCGCCAATGGCCAAGCTAAGCAAAGTCTTAGGCGAGCTAGGGAAGAAATTGGAGGAGCAGCATGGTTCAATTGATGACGATCTTCCTGTAAGCTCAGTCGACCCTCCTCATGATTACACTCTCTCTGAAAATGAAGTTATTGGGAGACAAAGATATAAGGATAATATCATAGATAATCTACTTAAACACAGAGAAAACGAAACAAGTGTCTCTGTCATTCCTATAACTGGATCAGCAGGAATAGGGAAGTCAGCTTTGGCTCAGTTAGTGTATGACGACGAAAGAGTAAAGAATCATTTTGACTTAAGAATGTGGTTTCAGGTCTCAGAGATAGCTAATGAGAGGGAAATCATTCAAGAAATTGTGTGCTCTTTTGCAAATAGGGGGTCTAATTACAGGCGAAATCCAAAACCTGCTAAATCTCAGCATCTCAATGGGTTGACATTTCGTGATATGTTGGGATGTCGAAGTATTGATACTTCTGGGATCCATCCTAATACTAGTACTAGTAAAGATGAAGAAAACATGGAAAACTCCTTTACTACTAAAGAAAAAGAAGATGAAGATGTAAATAACAACTACGAGCGCCGACTTCGGAAAGAGATTGAAGGGAAGCTCTATCTACTTGTCCTAGATCATGTTTCCATAAAAAAATACGGGTCCCCTTTGAAAAAGTTATTAGCAGCAGGTGCAAGAGGAAGTCGAATTTTATGGACTACACGGCTCTTTGAGGGGCCAATTTTTGCAAAAAATGAAATTATGAAGTTCTATAAATTACAGGGGCTGTCAGAGGATGATTCAAAGCGTCTGTTCAACAGATTTGCTTTTGGAAAAGACTCACAAGAGATTGAAGAAAAGACTACAATGGTGACGGAAATTGTTAAAAATTGTGATTTTGTTCCACTTACTGTAAAGGTTGCAGCAAGCTTTCTTTATGACAAAAACAAAGATCAGTGGTCATGTTTCACTAAAGAATTGAAAGATAACAAGGACAAATTTGAACATGTCTTACATGTGAGCTACAATGATCTCCCAACTCGGCTTAAAGCTTGCTTGAATTATTGTTCTTTGTTTCCTGAAGATTTTCGTTTCAACAAACACGACCTGATTAGTCTCTGGATAGCACAAGGATTCGTTCACCCACCCAACCAGGGTGAAAGTTTGGAGGATGCAGCAGAGAAGTACTTTCTGGAATTGTCACGACGCTGCTTCTTTGAGGACGTCACCACTGATTGCTTGGGAAAAATAGTCACTTGTAAGATGACTCATATTATGTGTAGAAAAGAATTGCAATATTCAGCAGGGGTTGAGAGCTTGCACATGACAGATAAAGGGGTTAGTCTGGAAACAACATGCAAACATGTTTCTTTGACATGTAATCAAGACTCGTTGAAGAATATCTCATCATCCGTTCTCCAAGCTCAGAGTTTACGGGCACTTTTCTTAGTCAAGGAGCCAGACTGTGACGCAAAGATAGATTCATTGCAGTGCAACACGTTGATCTCCAGTTTTAAATGCCTTAGGGTGTTGGACTTGCATGATCTTGGAATAGAGGAATTGCCAATATCTATTGGCAAGTTGATCCATTTGAGATACCTAGATCTCTCCAGGAATGATGGTCTGGAAACTCTCCCGAAGTCGGTCACAAAATTGTACAACTTGCAAACACTGAAACTCAACTCCTGCACAAAACTGAGAAGATTACTAGGTAACTTTGGTGAACTAACAAACCTTACACGTTTTGAGGTTGATGAGTGTGATAGCTTGCCTTGCATGCCTCTAGGCGTGGAGCAATTAACTAAGCTCAAGACGATGAGTCGTTTTGTAGTTGGTCAGGATTGTTGCAAAGACATGGTTAGCAGTGGGTTGAAAGCTCTGGAAAAACTCAACTTCTTAAGAGAAGACATGGTTAGCAGTGGATTAAAAGCTCTAGAGAACCTCAACGACTTGAGAGGACGGCTGGAAATTGAGTTGAAAAGAGGTTGGACAGCCACGATAGAAGAAGCCTCAAAGGCAAAGTTGAACGAGAAAATCCATCTAGACAAATTAAAAATCAGCTGGGCAAAAACGGTCTCAAATTGTAAAGATACTTCACAGAGTTCACACAATTCCAATCAAGAAAAAGTATCTCACAGGCAACTTCTTGATAATCTTCAACCAAACCCAGAACTCAAAATCCTCTGTATAGAAGGATATAAAGGGCAAGACTTTCCAGATTGGGCAGGGGTGAGTATGTTGGCTTCTTCTCTCCCGAATTTGATTGAAATCAGCATTGAAGGATGTGACAAATGCACACATCTCCCACCGTTTGGGAAACTTGAATACCTCAAACGACTCACCCTGAGACATATGGCTAATGTAAAATATGTGCAGAGAGAACCTTTCCACCAAGAACCTAGTCCTGCATCTCCATTCTTCCAAAATCTGGAAGAGCTTAACCTCCACAACTTCTACAAGTTAAAAGGATGGTGGAAGGAAAAAGTGCCGATAAAATCTAAAGAACAAATTCCATCCTTTCCTCGTCTTTCCAAATTAAGGATATGGAACTGCCCAAAGCTGCGATCAATGCCTTTATTCTCAGGAGTTGAAGAACTAGACTTGCGCAACATCAATCAGATGCTTCTAGAAGAAAGTTCAAAGAATTTTCCTACTGAGACTCATTCCATAGTCAAATGCCTTCAAATTAAGGACTGCTCAACCCTCAGCAGCTTCGCAGAAGTCAAAAAGGGGTTAGGTGGGCTCGCTTCTTTAAAACAGCTTGTGATTGAAAAATGCCATTCTTTGAGTTCATTGGCATCAGAATTGTCGAACCTCAAATCCCTGGGGGTGCTGGAGATTTCCAACTGCAAAGAGCTCGACCTTTCTGATTACGTATCAAATCCATGGACCTCATTGGCAAGTCTTCACCATTTAACCCTGAGAGATATCCCAAAAATGAAGACTCTCCCTGAGGGACTGAAGAGTGTCAAAACTCTTAAATCATTATGTATATCAGCTTGCACTTCCCTGACAGAATTGCCATCTTGGATAAATTGCCTGACAGCACTCCAGCACCTTCAGATTAAAAGCTGTGAGGCTGTAACAAGGCTGCCAAATGAACTCAAGGAAGTAAACTCTCTGAAGAAAGTTGAGATTACCGAGTGTTCTGCTTTAATGGAACGTTGTAGAGAGCCTACAGGGGATGACTGGCACAAGATCAGACATGCTCGGGTACTGCTCCATAAGTCATGGCGTTATGGACATACCTCACAGAACAGATCTAATGTTCGTGCACTCACAGATGTTAAGTACATCGTCATACCCATTATAGCTGCAGATACCTAATGGTATTTGAGAAATTTCAAATTTCTAGCAAATGTTATCATTTTTTATTGTTTTTATTTTTTTGGGTCCTTTCATTTTGTCTTGTATAGCCTTGAATGTATCATATAAAGAGAATTTTATCATCTTTTACACAAATCCTTCAGATTATTTTCCGCTTGGCTGAAGCTGTACAAATAATACAAGTACAAGGTTTCAAAATAAAATAAAAAATAAAAAGAGTAGTACAGTCTTAATCAATGATTGATCCTGACCGTTACTTTTTTTTTTCCTCAAAGTATGGTCTTGCTTGGTAATTACATCCGTAATTATCATTGTATTACTTCGCCATTCTTTTACTATTGCTATATGAATGGTGATTATGTTTTCCAAAGTATATATTAATCCTGATACAACATTAATAATATTGCGGTAAAGATAATAATTAAGAAAAAAAAAAAAAAGCATATACCAGTAGGCAATAAGCATGAGCTTATCATGGTGTCTAGAATGCCTTCTAATACTAGAACACAACATGAAAATCGAAATAATAAGCAAGAGCAACCTGTTGGACACTAAAATATCAGAACTGTGTTTATAAAACATGATTAAATCTTATCAATTTATTTTGTTTTCCAACTGCTCACACTCTGCAGCTTTGAGCTAAAAGTAATATTATGTTACAACGAGAAGAATAAGTTGAGCAAAAAGGGTATAGCATACGACCAGTCAAATATAATCTTCCCTTAATATGAGCGCGAAAACTTTACAACTCTCTATCTAGAAGCTGAAGGAGAAATAAAATTACAGTTGGGTAACAGAAAGAAGTAAAGAAACAAAGAAACCCAAAGCTTTTGCTGATGGCCAGAATTCTGGGACCTTTAATCGATTATACACCAGAACGTATGTGGATGCCAATGGCAATAGTCAAGATAGTAAGGATACAAAAATAAATAACAGCATGGATCAAAATAGAAATCCCACTGGTGCTCATATTTCCAAACTCCACTATCCTTGTTCTCGCAGGCAGTTGAAACAGCAACCCTGGCGACAACAATATGAACAGCCCCACAGACACCACCACCGGCCCCCAATCTACCATCATCTTTCTCTCTGTTTTTTTTTTCCTGACTCCTGCTCTCACCCTCCCTCTGCTTCTCTCAAGTGCTATTTCTTTAAGTGTCACTCTAGCAAACACCTGTCTCTCTCTTAGTCTTTAGAAAAGTGTAAGGAGAAGGAAAGAATTCAGAGGGAATATGTAGAGCAAATGAGTGGGAATTCCTTGGTGAAGAAGGATAAGAATGAAGGGAAGGAAGACAAGCTAACGAAGGAAAAGAGAAGCAAAAGAAGAGAAGTGGGGTAATAAAAAAAAGCTAAGGAGGGAAGGGATCAGGAAAGGTATAGATGTTTTAAAACACTTAGTGGGTTTGCTTTAGTAGATCAAACAACTGTTTTTCCAATTTACGCTTCACAATATAGTTAAGAATTACTGTCTGTGTGTGTGTGTTATCTTCTTTATGGGTGCTTTGCCTTTGCTTTAGTTTTCGATCGTCGGAAAAAGCAGCAGGCAATGTGTAAAGTTGTGGACTCAAGACTTGGAAAACGTATGCAAGGCTTCTTTTTTTTCTTGAGTTGGCTACTAGGCTGGTTATCAAAAGCTATTTTGTCTAACAAGATTGATAAAGCTAAACATGATTAGATACAGCAAAGATCCTTTCACATTTTATATGCCACTCATTACTCGAGAGAATGAAAACAGACATATGTATGTACATACTTTATGAAAGGTAAGTTATAATACTCTCAAGGCCAAAACCACGCTATTTACATGTATATAATAACACTTGACATATTTTTATCTAAATGAAGGGGAAAAAAACACTCTAACCAGACTATAACCCTCATTTTCTTGGAAGTGAGGGGTTTAATATGCAATCATCATTCTATCACAAGGAAGGATTCAATCTTAAGACCTCAAGATTACAAAATGAATCATCAACCAATTATAAACCTTACTTGGTGAATAAAACAATTGATATTGACTTCGGATTTCTTCTCTGTTTCTCATACCAAATAGTACCAACCTTATGTCCAACTTTAATATCGCGTCTTCATATTAATACATGCTACTAATAAAGACTCACCACTTAGAAATTAAAGGTTATATACTCCATTCAATAGACTACAGAAAGAAAGGAATCCACTTCTTTTATCCATCCTTCATTTGTACTCATTTACTTCCCATGTGGTGATGTGCATGTAATAAATTACTCCCTCCATTCTTAAAAGAAAACCTCATTTTTCCAAAAATTATTATCTCTAATTAAAAACTTGTCTTTCATATGGGTGAGAATGTGTGATATGTCATCCACTAACTTCTATTCTTTAATCAACTTAATTCAACAAAATCATGTAATGTCACTATATTTTCTCACTTCCCCAAAAACAATACACTATTCTCACTGTCTTTTTTTATTCAACTAAATCAACGATTCCGTGCCAAAATTCCTCTCCTCAAACCTTCATGTCTATGAAAAAGGTTTTTTTTTTGGTAATATTTTCATTTTGTGTAATAAAACTGTAGTAAGACAAAATATATAAACCCACATTACCTACGGGAAACCAGCAGCCTAACATTACCTCTATTGGTACTCAATCAGCACATTACCAATTCAAATAAGCCAACAATAAGTAATACTTTAAATAAAACACAATAGTCATAAACAAAATCAACAGCTAATAAGTTATATATAAAAACGACTTTTAATTATTACCATATTATTACCATATTTAGAAAGAAAGCATTGAAGATGCTCTAGATGAGGACAAACTGGTTTTCTTTTAGAGGCTAACTTGAGATAAAAGCAAAAGCTGAAGGTAACCCTCTACGGGATGTCATCTACCATGAAGTACAGAATCAATCCTAAATCCCTATCAAGTTCCATGATTTCGATCTCGTGATGTTTCCTTCCAGACTGGGTCACCTCTTTTGTCTGAGCACTAATCAAGTTGTATTAATCTGTCTCTCTCTATCTCCCAATCTACTGGCCCAGAAACTATCCTGTATATATAAATGAGACTCTGTTTAATCTCCAAAATATCACACCAATCACCATCAATACATCACTCAAGAAGCCATCTAAAAAAAAACAGGGCAATCAGTAAGGCAGAGAAAGAGTAATGGCAGATTGGGGACCAGTGGTGGTTGCGTTGGTTCTGTTTATTCTGTTGACGCCAGGACTGCTGTTTCAGCTGCCCGGAAAGAACAGAGTTGTGGAGTTTGGAAGCTTGCAGACCAGTGGGATGTCAATAATAGTCCACACCGTCATCTACTTCTGCCTCATCACCATTTTCCTAATTGCTGTTGGTGTCCATATATACACCAACTAGCCCTCACTCCTATGCTGAGATTTTCATGTTTCAACTGTCTGCTATTTTGATTTGTTATTTATTGGTTTGTTGGCATTCAAATCCATTACTTTAAGATGTTTGACACTCCTATAATGTAATCCTTTAAAGATGTTTAATGATATTACAATTTCTATACTCAGACCACTGAGAAATACTTGATCTTTAACAATCACGTAATTGCAGCAAAGCATAAACTACACAGTAATCACTTGACAACAAGAGAATGTATTAACTAACAAACAGCAAATCACAAACTATCATGACAACAATAAAGATTTTGCACTCTGCAGAGTGATGCAAAATCTATAGTATATCATCAAATATGACATTGACCTAAAGTTTGTGTTAACAAATAACACCCTTGGCTATGGCTATGTGTTAGGATCCAACCTCTTATGTCTTTATTTAGCTTATGTTAAACTTTCAATGTATTCGTGTAAGTAGTTTAGGCGCTAGAGGAGATTATTGTGTTACTGTCATTTCAGTGTTCACTAGTATTTCTCCATGTAAGCAATATAAAGCTCTATATGGAGCGATGGTTGAATGAATGAAAAAGCTCCTATTCGGGTTGCCTTGCTTTAAGACTTGTGTGTTGATTTAAGCCTTTATAGATATTGTGTTTGCCTTGTTTTAAAGCTCCCCACCAAACCAAGAGACTCTCAAAGACGCCTACATCCTTGTCGGTTCCGCTTGTGCCCGCTTCGAAGTATCGGCCATCACAAGCCCCGACCCTGCACTCGTTACTAACGATTGCCTCATTGAGATACCTTTGGTCCGTGTTGCTGTGTGCCCACGAACCTCTCTCACTCTAGGCTTGCGTTCTTGTTTCTAAAAGATAAGAGTGCGCCGCACGATCCGGTGTCAAACCACTCGGACCGTGACAGCTATGGCAATAGCATAATAGCATATGTAAGCCTGATAAACGCGTAGAACATTAGCATAGCATTTTAAATATACTTGTTAAAGTAATTTTAGCAGAACAAAAGCATATTTGACATATCCCACAAAGGAAAAAGAGATTCTACTCTGTTTTTTTTTTAAATAGCTAGGGGATTCAAAGAAGTTTGATCAAACTGTAACAGGAAAAAAAATAGAGACAAATTTGATAAGAGTAACAAAACCTTTAACCTAAAAAAGAAAAACTAAATCTGATCTAGTCAAATAATGAATCTAAATTGACCCGAAAAAGATAAAATATATATATATATATGCAAATAAATTTAGTAGTTCGTATTAAATATCTAAAATTAACAGTTTAACACTATAGACAAATATAATTGTGGTGAAAAAGATGGACAAATCAAACCTTAAAAGTTAAAACATAAGAAAAAGAGTTGCGGTTCTTTTTACTGTTCAACTTAAGAGTTTGTGCCAAATTGCGTTCACTTACGTTGAAAGGGTCAAAAGGAAACTAGTCAAACTACAACACACACACAGACAGAGTCTGGTCAAACCCTCAAAAGAAATCTAGGCTGTTCAAGTTACTCCAAACCCTCAATAAAATAAAATAAATTAAAATTTTAGAAAAATATAAATAAAATAGAATGAAAAATGGTGCTAGAGTTGAACCCATGTATTTCGACTATTTCCATAGACCATTTCTTTCTGATCTAGTTATCCCTTCCCAATAGAACATAAACCACTGTATCCAGAGAAATTCAAGATTACAAAACAAATGGCACTTTGGGGAGTATCCCTGGTGTTGCTGGCATTTATATTAAGCGTAGTGCTATCACCAGGAATGGAATTCCAGCTACCAGGTAATAGTTCACAGTGAAATTCAAGAGGAGGCACAATTGTTCTCTGTATTTTTTTATTCCACTTTTCTTTCTCGCTCTCATCGTCATTTTATTACAGTAGCATATGACCGGGAAACTAAGAGTCCGAGACACACAGCATGTGATTGTATTTACTATCCTTTTGGTCTCAAAGCCCCGTCTAGTAGTTAAAAATATGGCTACAAATTTTATTTTTATTTTTTTGGTCTAAAGTAATTCATTTATGCTTTTCATATGCAGACCCCTTCATCTGTCTGCTCATCTGCAGCGCACCTTGGTGCTAACTTCTAATTTCATTAGTAAGTGTCTAGCATCTTTGTATCTCAAATGTCAGGTCAAGTAAGCACAGAAAGTAAAGAATTTTGGGGCTACAAGAACAGCTGAAGTGTGATTTTTACTACGAGGACGAAAAGGAACTGTGAAACATGTAAATCAATTCTGTATGTTTATTTTTAAATAAATCCAATCTCATCCCTTCCTGTGTTCAGGGTGTTCAGCACTCACACTTTTTAACTCTACTCAATCACAACCCTTTACCCTTCTTAAAGGTTTGATACAAAGGCATGATCACCAAATAAACCTAGGCATAAAAATCCCCGGATATTTAAAGAAACAACAAACAACACTTTTCAACAGCACTACAACACTATATTCATTAAGTCTATATGCTGCAATAAGTTTAAGCTGTACATTTGTACTTCTTTTAGGCTAAGTCCACTACACTGTATGAAAATAGTTGCAAAGAAATTATTGTACATGGCAAAACTAGGAGGAGGTTTTCTAGGGGAAAAAAAAAGAAGCTAGTAACTAATTCTGTAATGCAGAAACCCCTAATGAAATTTAGATTTTATGGTACAGAAACCTGATTCTGCATGTTCTTAAGCACAGCGCCATTTCATTTGGTTAAGTCATCCATTTCCTGGACATGATTGCAAAAATGCAAGAAGTCTGCAGTCATAGTAGGATTTCCAGTAAAGGTGTTCAGTAACAGATGGAAATTTCACTACAATGAAATGATCTGTAGCTGAATGAGTACCCAGAAGAGATATAAAGCCATAAAAAGGTACAAGGATGAAGGTTGATCAAAAAGAAGACTCGGAAGGAAGAAAGCTAAAGGAAGTTTAAGAGACAACATTGCCACAACAGAACCTGACTTCAGACCTTACAGAAAACCCTAAAACCTACTCACTTAGTAATTTGATTCTGACTTCCGAGCCAAAACAAAGCACATCCAAGTGACCCAACACTAAATTATCCAGAGTCTACCACTTAGGCACTTACACCAAATCCAGAGTCAAATAAACAGAAATGTCTAAACAGTATCCAAGAAATTACTTCCAGCACTACAGAACAGCAAAATTTGGCTGGTACAATTACTTTTGGCATACATAAAAACTAAATGAGCAATTACTATATATTTATATGTTTAACAATAAGATAAAAATGCAGAAATCAGTCAACTAGCATTCATAGAGCAGAAAAACAATCTTACAACACTAATGTGGACAAGATTCAGCCAACGTAACTCAGCAACCGAATTTCTACAATTGACAGGCCATATCATCCTCATGAGCATTTCCAAGCTGAAAAGAATGAGAATGTTTAAACACTAGTCAATAATACACTACCACCAGACCCAACACACAGCTATTTCTGGCCTATTTTAAAAATGATCAATTATCACAAATGCATAATTTTAGCAAGAGTATGAGAATCCAAAAACCAGTCATCTAGTATTCATTAAAGAGAAAAACATTCTTACAAGTTACAACACTAATATACTAGGACAAGAGACCGCAACCACATTTCAGCAACCCAAAAGTTCTCTCTACAGTTGACAACCCACGCCGTCCTTATAAGCGTTTCCAAGCTGAAAAGAATACAACCAAAACACAATTAGCACATGCACTATGGCTAACCAAACTTAAGTTTATAGAACAACAATTAAGCACATGAAGGAACTAAAATTTAGAAGCTCAACAATGGGCTTCAATTTCCTAAAGATTCAGAATCCAAAAATTGTCTCTCTTTATTCAATAAAAACTAGAACTAGTGAACTACACAAACTTGCATTAACAATTCTAGCATATAAACTAAAGGATGCTTATCGTAGACAACCTCAGACCAACCAAGTGAATCGGATATTGATTGATACATAATTGACTGGACACTACTTGAAACTGGCTATTCTGTTCCAAAACAGAATGTTCCAAATATCTATTCTCAAAAAGGAAACATTGATTAGCAAGTGCGAACATAGTATAAAATTGAGGTTTTGCCAGTTATTCGGTTCAAAAAGGTAGCTAACTACTTAAAAACAACAGGTTCCATTAATCTTTACAAAAAAACATGGACCATATATATACATCATTTCAATCAAATAACAAAATCACACATTATAATTACAGAAATAGAATGAATATAATCAAATATACATAAACCAAGAAAAAAAAGGGCTAAAAAAACCCTAAATTGGAAAAAAAGAAGAACCCTTACCAGGAACATGTTGGGGAGATAAAGCCCAGCAAAGAAAAGAACGTCCAAAATCAGACAAATTGGAGAGAAACCCAGCAAAATAAAAGACCAAAACAAGTCCAATAATCCATGGCATCAATATAAATCCAATCAGAAACGCCACTGATCCAAGTATCATCAAAGTTAGCGAAATTCCCAAGAACAAACAAGCAAACGACTCCGGAGAAATCTGTGTCGGGTAATACGGCGTCGTATTACGGCGGATTGATAACGAGGAAGAGGGAAAAGGAAGTGTGATCGGAGTTGGATACCGGAGAATATGAAAAATCATAGAACAGAGGTCGTATAAAACCCTGATTTGCGGATCATCTTCTTCGTTTCTAGACATTTTTTTCCAGGAAATTTCGATGATTTGATTTGGATATTAGGGTTTGAGTTGAAGGTTTGATTGTTTGAGATACAGAGAATGATGGCGGCAAAAAAAGATAAGGATTTTGATTGAGTTTGTAACTGAAATTTTGGAATTTTGACAGATATAGTTGAGTGATTGCACGGTGTACGTGTACCCCTAATTGGCCAACTAGAAGGAGAATCCAAAGTGACTGAGTATGGGCAGTGAAGCGAGCCAACGAGCAGGAAATAGCGGGGCCAGGTCACTTTCCGGTGCAATTAAGTGTTCCCAAGTCGAGAGAGTCATTGGGTCGGCCGGTCGGATTTCTTCAAATTTCTCTTTCCGATATAGAGCAAACTTTTTGCTTAAAAAAAAAAAACATATATATATTATCTCTTCTCCAATTTTCTCCACTACTTTTATTTTATACAATTTTTTATTTTCCGCCAACCTCACTACCTCCATATTTTATTACTTTTTCTAATTTCTCCTAAAACTCCAATCATGGAAAAATGGAGAAGTATATATATATATATATATATATATATGGGAGGGATCCGGTAAGAACCCCTCCTTATATAAGAACCCTACTTATATAAGAACTAATCTTAATCGTAAGATTAGATTGATATGAACGGCCACGATTAAAACAAATCACAAACCCTCAAACTCAAACAGCTTTCACTTTCTCTCTCCTCAATCTAACTGTTTGTGAGTTTCTCTCTCCTCAAAAGTGCCAGAAGCTGAACTTCGAAGAACTTTCAACAATTTTCCTTCATTTTCTCGGTTAAAATCAACAACATCAATCATAAAATAAGTTAAATTTCACAAATTAAGAGCAAATTTTGGCGAAAAAACTCTAGATATCACAATTCAGGTATGATTATATTCGACCATTTGTTTGTTTTTTCACGAATTTTCAGTGATTTTTGTGATTTGATATTTGCGTTTTATCTGTTTTGATTTTCATAAATTTTGCATGAGTTCGATTTTTCTGATTTGATTTTAATGAATTTCGCATGGAGTTTGATTTTTTTGAGTTCGATTTTTGCAAATTTAGGGTTCGAATTTAGGGTTCGATTTTTGCGGATTTAGGATTCGAATTTAGAGTTCGATTTTTGCTTATTTTTGCGGATTTGTAGTTCGATTTTAGATTTCGAATTTCGGAGATTTAGTGTTCGAATTTAGGGTTCGATTTTTGCTGATTTTAGCGGATTTCGATTTCGAATTAATGGCTGGTGGAGGCCAGCACTGCTGTCGGTGATGGCTATGAGGCTGTTTCGCCGGCTGACGGTGTACCGGCTTATTGCGAAATCCCTAGACTGATAGAAAACCTTGCTTCAAGCCTCAATGGTGGTTCACTAATGGATGTTCAAATTAGGGATAGGTGATTTCAAAGTTTAAGCTCCTTCATCTTTTTTGGCTTTTCTTTTTACATATTTTGGACGTCATATCTGTTTATGCTATTTCAATTTCATCGCTATTAGTACTTAATTCAGTTATATTTTGTTATTGAATCTGCTTTTATCAATTAACTCTATTTTTTTTTCTTTCTGTTAGCCTGTATAATTTCAGCATAGTTACTTGTCAGCTAGCACTCAGGCTCCCAAATGGAAAGAGAGAAAGTGGAGAGAGTAATGTTGGGGGGGAAAACATTTCAAATGACAGCGATCTATGTGTTTTAATATTTAGGCCACTGATAAAGTCCTCATAAGCTGGTAATTATTGCCTATAATTTAACCTTGATAGTTGATATTGTCCTTATAGATGCTATATGCCCTATTTTGATATCGAAGAGAGTATTGCTCGCATCTAGCATTGAACTGATGTTTTTGTTGCTGGTATACTTTTAGAAGGTTGAGTTCCTAAAGAAAGGAAGCTTTAGTCCTGCTGAGCTTGAGGCTCTGGTCTCCATCATGCAAATAGCTGGTGAAAAGGCCAGGGCAGAGCAAAGCTGGTGAAAGGCCAGGGGCAGAGCAAAGCTGGTGAAAGGTCAGGGCAGAGTAAACCTGGAGAAAGAAGTAGTTCTACAGGAACACCATCGATAAGTAAATCAATTACTAGTTTGGAAGCCATGGGCGTACGTGTATTCGGCCTTGATGAACCACTTGTTGGTAATGCCAAAGAAGAGGTATCATGGGATACCATTGCTGGCTATGATCAGCAAAAGAGGTATTTAAAATGCGGGGCTTTGACGGTGAATTATTTCTGATGAGGGCTTCCCTAGTTCAATTCACTAATAATTTCAAGTAAGTTCTGATAAGTTTAGAGAAAGGTCTTTAGGTGAATTAAAGGAAGTCAAATTAAAATGGTATACCAGAATGGTCTCTCCTAGATGGAGGGTATATGGAAACAAAAATTTAGAACATCAAGTCAATTTGATTTGTATAAGTGTTTGTGAGTAGTTGGTATGGCTAAATTTAGAACATAGGAAAAAAAACTTTAGAACATAAGTAGACTAAATTTAGAACATAGGAAAAAAATAATTTAGAACATAGGTAAAAGAATATTTAGAACATAGGAAAAAAAAAACTTTAGAACATAGGTAGTAAAAATTTAGAACATAGGAAAGAAAAAAAAACTTTAGAACATAAGTAGACTAAATTTAGAATATAGGCAAAAGAATTTAGAACATAGGTAAAAGAATATTTAGAACATAGGAAAAAAAAAAAAAAACTTTAGAACATAGGTAGAAAAAATTTAGAACATAGGAAAAAAAAACTTTAGAACATAGGTAGAAAAAACTTTAGAACATAGGTAGAAAAAACTTTAGAACATAGGTGTAGAATATACGAACAACTTTAGAACATAGGAAAAATTTAGAACATAGACAAAAAAATTTGAATATAGGATATATATGTAGAACATGGACAAAAAAACTTTAGAACATAAACAATAAAATGTAGAACATAGGAAAATAGTTTAGAACATATATATATTTAGAGCTTAGATTGAAAAATTTAGAGCTTAAGCAATAAATTATAGAACATATGCAAATAATATTTAGAACATATGATAAAACCTATTAGCTCAATTGGAAGAGCACTATGCAAATGCATAGAGGATGTAGGTTCAATTCCTACATAGGTTATCTTTATAAATAACTAAAAAAACTTCAAATGTTTTTTTTTTAAAAAAAAAATCCAATAAAACAAATTAAATTAGCACTAAGTTATATGAGCAGAAAATAAGTAGACTAAATTTAGAATATAGGAAAAAAAACTTTAGAATATAAGTAGACTAAATTTAGAACATAGGAAAAAAAAAATTAGAACATAGGTAAAAGAAAATTTAGAACATAGGAAAAAAAAACTTTTAAACATAGGTAGTAAAAATTTAGAACATAGAAAAAAAAAAACTTTAGAACATAAGTAGACTGAATTTAGAACATAGGCAAAAGGTAAAAGAATATTTAGAACATAGGAAAAAAAAACTTTAGAACATAGGTAGAAAAAATTTAGAACATAGGAAACAAAACTTTAGAACATAAGTAGACTAAATTTAGAACATAGGAAAAAAAAAATTAGAACATAAATAGACTAAATTTAGAACATAGGAGTAGGCAAAAAAATTTAGAACATAAAAGAAGAATTACAGAAATGCCATTACTAAAGGATCATTTTAGGTGGTTAGATCAAAACTAATAAAGGGCTGAGATTGGTTCTTATATAAGATTGGGTTCTTATATAGAGGAGGGTTCTTACATGAGCCTTCCTCTATATATATATATATATATATATAAAATATATATATATAACTTTTACAATAAATCATCATTGTTTTTACGGTTTTTAAACCATATACCCTTGAATTCACCATCAAATCAAGTCATCACTAATGTATAAAGTCGGTCTCGAAGCCAAGCTATGAGGCATCGTCCGCATCGACACTCGACATTCCAATTTTTCGTAAGTGTCGAACCATGTAGGTGACAAATCTAATCTAATATCATATAATAACTAATATATAAGGGATTTGTTAAACATCGCCCACAAATTACTACATAAAGCCCACAAAATTCACTTGGTTTGACAAAATTGCCCTTGACCTTAAAAAAAAAACACTCACACTCTCATCACTCACACTCTCATTGCTCATCTTCTTTCAACCTCTCTTAAAAAAAAAAAAATTTCAAACAACGGCAATGTCGAGGCGGCAAGGCAAGGAATTGGCGGCGGCGGAGGGAAGGATGTCCCAAGGAGGCAAGGTACAATTTGTAAAATAAAAAATAAAGGGAAAAACCGCCGTGACGGCGGTGGGGCGCCCTGGCTGGACGCCCAGCAAGCGGTGGTGGCGCCAGCTGCAGACGCCGCCACCAGTTGGTTGGCGCCTGGGCTGGACGCTATAGCCACGGTTGTGGCGTTTATAAAAGGCGCCGCAGCCATGGCTGTGGCGTCCAACCCAGGCGCCAGCCCACTGGTGGCGGCGTCTGCAGCTGGCGCCACCACCGCTGGCTGGGCGTCCAGCCAAGGCGCCCCCCCCTTTTTTTTATATTTGTTTTAAAATATTGTTTTTAATTTTTTTTTTTTTTTTTTTGTGTAATATATTTTTGAATTGTTTTTATATTTTGTTGTTTATTTTTATAAATTTTTTCAATTTCGTTGTATTTTTTCTATGTTTATATTTTGTTTACAATTATTTGTATGTTTTTAGTTTATTTGATTTAGGAGTGGTAGCTATTTTTCGTATAAATTTTTGTATGTTTATATATTTTAAAATTTTGTGTAGAATTCACTGGGTCGTCATGGTGCGGGGAAGAATGTAGAGCTTCTTAGTAGAAGCTATTCAGTGGAGAGGTCGGGGCATAGACATGTCAGATCCCGTGGTATTTCGGCCTCAGCTCGTAGAGAACGGATCCACCGTCGGGATGAGGATGACGATGATGATGCTGAGGAGGGTGACCAGGAGGAGGAGCAGGAGGAGGGCGCAGATGAGGATGAGGATGTGGACGATGGCAGTGGACCGTATGATGATTACGGTCCATTCAGTCAGAGGGTTGATGACATGTACGAGACACATATGGTGGAGGTGCGTAAGGGTAGGGGTGGTAGGTTTGTTAGTAGATCTGGCACATCATCTGCGTCCACTGTATCTGGGGCAAGCAGGAAACGGTCGAGGGCCGGTAATGATTCTTGGGTTGTTAGGAGTGAGGTGCCCGGTGGGCCTGTTGACGGGAGTGTGATTCCTAGCTTTCTAGGACACATAGCTGCCCGTATTTGGGAGGACCAGGAGAGGCCTTCAGTTACGGGGTTGTTGAAATGTCATACCCGGGAAAAGACTTGTAGCTTTTTGCGTACATGGGCTGAGGCTTGGCCGGCGGAGAGCGAGATGTTCGAGCGACTGGAGGGCACTGGGGTGAATCACGTTCCTGCCACCATGCACGATAAGATTGACAGTACGCTGATCACGGCTTTCATTGAGCGATGGCAGCCGGATACAAACTCTTTCCACCTTCCGTTCGGTGAGATGACGATCATGTTACATGACGTCGAGGCCATTCTGGGGATTCGTGTTGAGGGTAAACGACTTTGTGCTGTGATTGATGCGGATCAGGCAGATTTGCTGGCAGAGTTGTTGGCGGTGGACAGGGCTGCACTGTACACCGAGGCGCTAGGTGTTTGGGAACACGGAGGTGTGAAGATCGCATCCGTGTTGCAGCGGTGTTTGTACCCCAGTGCACGTAGGACGCACGACGCACAGCTGAGTGCTTATGTTTTTCTACTCCTCGGATGTACCTTGTTTCCGGATAAGAGCGGCGGAAACAAGCTCAGGCCACGCGTTTGAATGTCTGCATGCTCACCAATAACAAGCGTCCTCCAGAATGAATGGACCTGATCAACATGTAACGACGCCCTTTCCTCTGTAATGACGCGGTGAATGGTGCATGCGCAAGGTAATCCATGAGTTACTGAAATAGCACACCCACACCGAGCATACACTTCGTCAGCCAAGTCCCTCATCCTGTTCAGCTCAGTGAGAATCAACCCCAAGCAGTAGTGCGACACACGACCATGGAGAATCTTAAATATAAAATGGCTATACATCGTACCATGTCGTCGTCTGGAGTCCTCTAGAGAGTTCCTGATGTCGTTCTACTGAGTTTCAATTGACTTGTTCAGTCTAGCGAACAGTGTATCCAAAGCAGCGGTCGATGAATCAATCCAGTCCTTGGTAGCTCTATGAGCGCTCTCAACTCTACATGTTGTAGTGTTCCCAAAATGAAGTACCTGGTTTGTCCAATATTTGACAAAATTTTCCCTGTGAGGGACCCATTGCTGCATCACATAGTCCACCAGTGCCGGACACCACTGGTACGAATCCCTGAAGTTAGCCAATGCTCGCTCATACGCTTCCTCTGTGGTAGCCTGTAGGATCTTCCGCCACTTACCATTCACCAATCTCTCTGCCATTTCCAAATTCTTCTTGAAAAGGTTGTAGGCTTTCACTTTCACGCAGTTGTTGATGTGCCATGTGCACAATAAGTGGTTCGATTCGGGAAACAGCTCTGCTATGGGGGCAAAGAGACCTCCCTCACAGTCGCTGACGATGGCTGCTGGATGAACATTAGGCCCGATGTAGTTTCTCAGCTTCTCCAACACCCAATAATAACTTGGAGCCGTCTCATCCTTGATGATTGCATGACCAATCAGAAAGTTCTGGTTCGTTGGAGTCATCCCCATGATCTCAACCAGTGAGAACTTGTACTTGTTTGTCTTGTACGTTGAGTCGATCAAAATCACAAATGGCCAAGACTTGATCATATCAGCACAATCAGGATGCACAAGGAAAAGATGAGTCACCTCCGCTGTATCTTCATCAGAATCAAACCAGAACAGGTAACCACGTGATTGTGCCTGGTGTAGCAGCTGTTGTATAGGGTTCCTTCCCTCTGACCGTTCAAACCTGAGTTGCTGTCTGACGTTGTAGATGTGTCTTCGGTTTGGATGGTCTTCTGGAAATTTCTCTAACACAGATGCTAATATTTTAGCAGGCTTCACTTGAGCATCACTCATTTCTTTCACAACTAGTTTCGCAGCAGGACTTAAGCCGCTCAGTTGTCGATGACCCTCTTCATATACTATCATCTCATGGTTGTGATACCCCCATTTAGAGTAACCAATCACTTCCCAACCGTCACGACTCCGTAGTTGTCGAACCTTTACTCTGAACTCACACCCACAACCTTTCCGCTTTGTATCAAACCGAGTGGCT